TAGAATGTCAGGTGTGTGTGTATGTGTGTCTGTCAGCGAGTGTGTAGCTGTCAGTGTTTATCTTTGAATGAGTGTGTGTCTGTGAGGCAGCACAAAAACAAAATACACAACTGTTAAGACCCATATGAATGTTTGCTGCTCTTGCCTCCAAACTTTTTATATCCAGCACCTTTTCTGGTATGTTATATGTTCAGTAGAATGGACTAATCCACAAAATGTATAACAAATAACAGTGTTAGATAACACACAGTTCTGCAAATGTATTACTTTTTAAATAATAAATAATAATAGGAAAAAAACAATCTCAATTATTTTTTTTCTAAAATATGGAAGTTCAATATTTATTTATTTATTTATTTATTATTGCAATTTATAAAGCGCACACAGATTCCGCAGCGCTGTACAATTAGTTGAGAAACGTACAATATACACAAACAAATACAAGAGGTAAGAGAGCCCTGCCCGTAAGCTGATATCTAGCCATTGGAGCTCTTTTATGCAAAGTGCTTAGCTAGATGGCCCTTGAGCTTACAATCTAAAGGATACCAGGGGGATTTGAGACAAAAGGTAGCAGGGGAAGTTTGGAGGTGATAGCTGAAAGAGTTAACAGAGAAGCAGCTATTGGTAAGATGTTAGGGGAATGAACAGGTAATTGGGTGAGAATCTCGAACAGCTGGAGGAGCATGCTATATATTTAAGGGGAGCCTGGGTGGGCGGGAGGAGGGGAGGGTGGGTGGGAAGTGGGGAGAAAAAAAATGCAGTCTTCACTGAGTTGATTGTGAAGTGAGGCCTGAGGAATAGAGATAGAACAATTAATGAAGGTATTTACGACAGGGGAGGGGAAAAGGAGAGTGTGAGAGGGGGAGGGGGGGGGGGCAGAGTAGGCATGTGTTATAGACTATTGAAAAGTTTAGCAATAAAAATTCTATCACCCAAAATATTAATAACTGTCTACATGAAATATTGGTCACAAACATTAAATGACAGTGGTACACACTGCATGCACATAACAGTGGCAAACTACAGGTATCAATTGTAACAACTCTATAGTAACACATGATAATTTTTTGTATAAATAAATGTTAAAATTGTGACCACATATCACAAGTCAAGTTTTTGAAAATGGACTGAAATGGCATGTGGGTATATGTGAGGTTTCATTTCTGTATTTGTTCTGAAATAACATCTGTCTCATGCCAAGACCTGACAAGAAACAGAATTTTTTTTGTGACTTCTTTTATTCATGTGTTGTAAATTGAATAAATTATACATAGAAAGAAAACAAAATAAGCAATCAATTCCTTTGGCTGTGAAATAGAACACTATTAGCAGACATGGGTAAATCCAGGGGTGGATTGACGACTCTGGGAAGTGTGAGGGGAAGAAGCAGGACCAGGAAGTTACATCACTTCCTGCACCCTCCTCCTGCAGAGTCTGCTGAAGCTAAGGAGCGGAATGACAGAATATATAGGTATGTAAATATTTTCTTTACCCCCCCTTTACCCATCCAGCCCCATGCCTCCCTTTACCTACCACAGCCCCTATGCCCTCCTTTACCCATCCAGCCCATATGTCTCCCTTTCACCATCCAACCCTATGCCCTCCTTCACCCACCACAGCCGTTATGCCATATTTTACCCTATTAGCCCCATGCCAACTTTACCTACACAGCCACTATCCCACCCAGCACCCAACACAGCCCCTATGCCCTCCTTTACCCTTCTCAGCCCCATTCACCCACCACAGCCCCTATACACTCCTTTACTTACCACAATCTCTATCCCAATTATTAGCTACTGTGGTAAATAAATGATGGTTCCCTAGGACTTTGTCTTGATCCCATGGATTTAAAAGCCAGTATTGAGATGGGGCATTACCAGATACCATCAAGGAATGAAATCCCGGAGTGAAGGCAAATGCCTGGGTATTTTTCATCGAGGACTCCTAGAATGGATGTTAGCAGATGTCTCAGGTTAAATAAATCAGGGGCATATGTACCTTCAACACACCCTTTGGCAGGTATATTCATATATTCTAAAAAGTCTGCATTTAGGACTACGTTTATCCCTGTAAACATTTTAAAGTTTACATTACTGATATACAGATTTGGGGTGCCACAGAAAGTGAACTTAATGACAGACTTGAGAAGGTTCTGGCGATTGTCTAAAATAATGAATTACAACTGAACAAAACAAAATGACAATTTCCAAACTTAAATTCTTTATTTAGGAGAAATCCAGCAAAAGTCTTATACAAAGTTCAGACAGTTATGGTTCATGAATTTTTGAGATGGTGGCGCGCCAAACTGCATTCACATCATTTGACTCCATTCCCTCACTCTGAAAATCTCACCTCCTGATTTATTGAACTCATTATATATTACAATTGCTATCAAAATAACAACAACTTTATTTTATTAGCATAACCCTTTGACAGCACGCGATATGACACACTGCAAATACATTGTGAGTAAGTTATGAAAATTGTGAAAAAAAATAAACATTTTTGGTGCTTACTAACAATTTATGCATCTGAAATGTATTTAGCACAATATCAATGTATCTTATTTACACAGATTGATTTTTAAACAAAGTTATTGTAGTTTAAAGACATCTTACTGTGAGTATTATTGCTGTAGAGTTCTGTTATTATATACAGTTTTGCAATGTTTTACAGGTATATGCAATATTGAAACTGTACATGGGATAGTCTGGCTGCATAATTCAGTGTGGTAGGTCTGGGGGCAACATTACCAGAAGTCACACAGTGTTGGTGTTTAAGGCACATATTTTCATCAGATTCACACAAAGCTGACATGGGAGAAATATTTCTGGAAGACACACGGTATCTTATTGGATGCCACAGTAACAGCTGACACACTTAGTGCTAATATTAAAACTGAGCTTTTTTTACTTATGTGTTTCCCTTTAGCCTAGTGGTTAAAGTTTTTAAAGTTTGTGCTTGGCAACTTGGGTTCAAATCCTGCTAGGTATTTACTAAATATATTAATATAATGAATATTTGATAACTACATCACACTTATGGAAACAAAATGAGCTGGATACAAAAAATCACAGCCCCTGCTATCTGATGTGTACAGAATGAACAGAAAATAAAATATAACAAATAACAAAAAAAGACAATAGTCAGTGTAACGGATCGACGGGCACCCCAACTGGGTACCTACGTTGAAGGATGCTCCTAGCGCTTCCTGAGGGTTTCCAGCATTCCAGCCAATGCCATAACCACCGTAGACTCCTTCAGAGGGCAAACCAGGAACAAGCTCTTTGAAGAGTTTATCAGTGAATATAGCAAGAGAGTATGCAGAGCATAGCAATCCCTTGTAGCAGATTCCCCCAATAAGAGACGGCACTCCAAATTGAGGGTGAAGTAGAACTGTCTGTACTGGCACATACAGCCTCTTTTATTCACATTCTACACAGGGTTTCACATTCTACACAGGGTTTTGCAGAACAACCAATCAATACGTACAATACACTCAAGACACTCAAGACACTCCCACACAAAATCCTCCCCTCTGCCTGTGATATAATTACTGAACACAATGGTCTAACTTAATTATCACAGGCAGGAAAATACACAGTTTTACACAATATTCATAACTCTAAAAGTATACATCACATTCACATAAAACTTACATTTTCAGAATACTCCAAATACAAACATACGTCAAAATCATACAAATTGGTCCCGTGGGTCAAAGTTTAATTGAAAGTCCCTTTGTGACCAAATGAAGCATGGTTTTTCTGCCCAAAACCAGTTCCACAGAGTCTTCTATCCTGGAGATAATTGGGAAGTAATCCAATTATCTCCAAGGACAGAGGCAAAACTCCATTAGCCACATGGTAGCAAAATACAATAAAATACATAAAAATATATAACTGTGCAGTTATTGCATAAAACAGGTACATTCAACATATCACCAGATAGCTTAGATCTGAGCGCACATTGTTACTGAATGGTGCTCAGATCACATACATACAGTTCAATTTCCATCGAGCCAAAGTCTTTCACATAGTCTTTCGTTATACGAATGGGCTCCATGGCATAGCTATCTGGGGTAACACTGCTCACATAGGGAAAGTACCGAATGACCCGGCTTTCGGGTCTTTGCAGGGGAAAATCAAGCATTTCAACATGGCGCTATAGTCACAGGGCAGGAGGCTGGCAATCAGTCTTCTCCAATGCCCAGTGGCGAGGCTGGTTCCGCCACAGTCAGGAATGTGAATATGGCGGCTACTCTTTCCTTTCTTTTATTGTTCAAAATATAGCTGTATGAGTAACAGAAAGTAGAAAAGAAAAATAAATAAATATATATATATAATTTTTTATTTTTTATTTCCACTAACAGCAATGGGGGACCAAGATTGGTTGAAAATACCACAATATATGTCCAATTCGTAACCCTATATTCTTTCTTCTTTTGCCTTATCGAATGGCTTTGTGGACATAAGTGACATGTGGAGGATATAGGGAGACATGTGGGAAATGGGGATTTGAGGATCTGGGAGATGTTTGGGGAATGTTGGTCCGTGAGGGCATATATTGGTCTTCAGGGAAGCCCATGGACAAATTTTGCCAGACTGCTGTCAGTTCGTAAAATAATAATTCATTTAGGATCCCTCCTAATAGTACAATAAAACTATAACTACCTTCCATAGACTATAGACATTTGTCCTATTATAATTGATCACATAACAGTTCAACAAACAGCAAGTTGTAGTGAACTGAGAACTATCAGGAAATATGAATTCTAAGAGATAAATAAAACATTTGACAGAGTTGAAATATTTGGTTAAATATAGTTGTCTATACATCACAATTATGTGTTCAGTTAAAAGTCAGAGTGTATTCTGATAACAAAAATGCTATTTTTTTTTTCCCCAACCATACAACTTCCTTATTCTAAGAAACTCCATGATTGATCAGCATTTTTGTCGTGAGCAGTGTATAAAGTTCTTAGTTTAGGCTGTTTATGTCTTGCACATGTTGAGTTTTTTTCTCTTCGCAATACAAGGTACATATCTTTAATCTTGTTATTATCTTTATAACCTTTCTGCTGACTACCTCTTTGACTTTATCAATGAAAACGATCTCTAGGAGTGATTACAACACAGTAAGTTAAATGTAAAATGTATGTTTGTTTTTATATATGTTTTTCTTTGACTATAACATACATTTTAAATGTTAAGTGCAAGAAATAAAATGCCAAAGCAGTATGAAATTAGAATTGAAAACACAAAAAATGCAGAATATAAATAATTGTATCAAGATGTTCTCCACAACAATATGCATTTCGGTTCTAAGAATTTGGACTAGAAATCTTTGTTTAATGCCCTTAATGATTAATGTTAGTTGGTATGCTCAAAGTTGAATAGTGGAAATAGAGAAACTGTATATACATTGTTTCCGAACTATAACAATATAGGCCTCATTGAGAACTTGTTATTTGAATGACTCGTTATCTGGATGATAATTTATATTCATTTTTGTTCATTTCATTTTTCTTTAATGTTGCAACCAATGTGTTAAATGCTTAGTGTACACTGTCTATGTTGTGGGTTTTTCAAGTGGTATCAGATCATAAGAGTGTAGTGTCTTCATCATCACGTATAAGTGAATAAATTATCCTTAAAAATTGAAGCCCACTTAGTGTGGAAATAAACTTTTTCTGTTGTTTAAATTTGGCCTCCTATTACTCTGGATGTTACATCATGAGTTCAAATGAATAACATTATATTGTGATGAAAGATAAATTAAACAGAGAGCTGTATTGATATTTAAAACAAAACAATAATATGTGATTAAATTGAATGATTGCTTTTATAGATTTGTCTGTAACATTTAATTAAAGATTTTAAACATAAAGCCAGAACAATATTTCTTATTTCTCACATGCATAAGATTAATTAATTGCTAATTTCAGACTTACCTAATTATCAATAAAATCATTGGACAAACCTTCCATTATTTAAATCGAAGGGAACATTTTTAAACTTTTCTCAATGCTTCCTGTCATTTAAAGCTGCATTAAAAGTTTTATATATAGCAAGAGTCATTTCAAGTCTTTCTTCCTGGCTAATCATGGCAGCATTTAACATTTAACATATGGATTTAGCAACTTCCCCTAACCCTCGAGACAGGGAATTCAATCAATTAAACAATTAAGTATTCAGATCCAGGTTATAATAGAAACCACAGGAACCCTCTCTCCCCAGTCTTTTTTCTGACTTCATAGCCCTAGGACAGTTGTTATATTTTTTCTTTTCGAGTTTTATCTGATAAGATTTTTATTTTATGCTCACCTGGTTATGTTCTATGATCTTATTCCTGTTGAGGTCAGCCTCCCTCCTCAGGAAGCCCATGCACAAGTATCCCAATCTCTGCAGAGTTAGGAACCCCTGGGAGCCGCGGCGGTTAGTTCCCCCAATATCTGAAGTTTGGATGCCTGTGAGCACGGACAGCTTTATATCTTGCATGCTCATTTCCAAGATGGCGGAGACGTGGTGTGTGGCCAATCGGCACAGGCGCAAGGCTTTAAAGGCACAGAGCAGGAAATTTGAAATGGCGGTAAGCCAAAAAATAAAACTAGCGGTTCAATTCCCTTAAAGATACAGTGCTCTCAAGTTTGATTTCCACTCTCTGCACCTTCAATTCAAAGCTCTTCCCTTTGGGATCAGCACAGCCCTGAGGACATTCTCCAAAATTGTTCTTCTCAGAATGGAAGGTGTTGCTATTTTTCACAATCTCTATGATATTTTAGTGGTGGCTCCAGACTTTGAGACCGGGTTTCAACATCGACGCCTAGTTCTCGAGACACCCTCTCAGTTTGGGTGGCTCATCAACCACAAGAATTGGTATTGGTATTCCTGGAAGTGAATTTAAATGCAAACACGGCAGGTGGTCTCTCTGGCACACAAAAAATAAAAATCACCCTACTGGATCGAATAAGGAAGTTCAATTCAAAGACTTTGGCTTATGTGCTAGAATTTATGAAGCTCATGGATACCCTTTCTGCAACCATATACCTCATCAGATGGGCACAATGGAACCTTTGTCCGCTACATCATTTTTTCCTGCGGAATTTCAGGACCAGCTCTCGAGAGTGGGAAAGATCAATTCACATTTTAAACCATTTAAAAATAGAAGCTTCTATGGTGGCTGTCGTGGAAAAACATCTCCAGAGGGTTTTCTCTGAGGGCAATTGATTGATTGGTCATTACAACAGATCTTAGTCAGTACGGATGGGGAGCCTCCACGGACTCAAACATCAACCAATCGAGAGCAGCATTTCAAGTGTTTTGGGATTTTCAACACCTCATCTCGGAATTCTTGGATAAACCAGAAGTGTATCTCTGATGAGGGAATTACAATCAATCACACAATTTTATACATAAAAGATGCAACATCAATTCTTAAAACTATGGATCTTATTGAATGAAAGGACGAATATAGTTGGGCGACCCTGGATGTCACTTCACTTTACACAGTAACACATCACAATTTGGGTTTGGCAGCTGTAACTATATACATCAACCAGGATGATTCCATCAACAGTAATTTGAAAGAATTTATCTTAATTGGAATTTGCTTCTTTTTACAGCACAATTATTTTTTCTTTGATGGTAATTTTTATTTACAAATCACAGGTACCGCCATGGGAAGCAAGTTCGCCTCCAGCTATGCCAACATTTACATGAGACAATGGGAAGACCTTTTTGTGTGGTCTAGGCATGGCTGGAGGGAAAACTTGGTCCTATGGCGGAGATTTATAGATGATATTATTATTTGGAAGGGCACTGGGAATTCCTTTGGAGATTATGTCAACCACCTCAATCAGAATAAATGTAATCTCAAATTGGCAGCCGAGTCCAATAAAAATACTATACATTTTTTGGCTTTAACAATTTTCATGAAAGAAAGTAAAATATTGAGTAAATGTTTCTTTAAGGAAACTAACGGCAATAGCCATGTCCACCAACAAAGCATTCACTATGCACCATGGCTGAAGGGGATAACCAGAAGCCAAATGACACAAATTACAAGAAATTGCTCAGATATGCTGGACTTAAAAAAATAAGCTAATATTGTAAAAAATAAACTTTTTCAGAAAGGATACAATAAAAACAATATTGAAAAAGAAATCAGACTGGCAGAAAGGAGAAACAGAGAATACCTTTTAGGAAGTAGAGTAAAAGAAACCCATAATGATGTGTACAGATATGCTTTTATGACTAAACACAATAAAAATTATAAACAAATAAGTCAAAATTTTGGCCATTCCTCAGGGAGGATTCGGTCTTAGGGGAAAAACTACCCGAAAGACCACAAATTATTATTAGAAATGCACAAAACTTAAAGAGTTTATTAGTAGAGTTTAGCCAACCCGAACTGTAAAGTTCAGGTTCGTACCGAACATTACGGTTTTTGGACCCCGGACTCGAACATGGACATTTCACTGTATGTTCGGGTTGGAAATTCGGTGTTCAGCGATTTAATGGCGCATTTTGAAAGTTGCAGGGCAGCCAATCAACAAGCGTTTGACTTGTGTGCCCTTAGAAGCCATCACAGCCATGCCTACTAATGGCATGGCTGTGATTGGCCAGTGCAGCATTTGAGCTATCTACCAAAAGGCTGAAAGACCTAAACTGGTCTTTCAGCCACATTTACTAATACTAAGTAAAGATTACTTAGTATTAGTAAATTCAACCATGTCTAGCAAACAGTGAGCAGCCAGTGGCTGCTCACTGTAAAAAAAATAAAAAAAGAATAAAAACCTATTGGCCCCCAACCCTGAATGGCGGATGGAGGCCCTAAAGTAAAATAAGGGGGGACCTATTGTCCTCTCCCCCGGCCGCCACCCCTGAGCAGCATGTGGGGGCCCTAAATAACAATGATGGGGTGGGGACCTACTGTCCTCCCTCCCAGCCCCACCCCTGGGCAGTGGGTGGGGGCCCTAAATAAGAATGATGGGAGGACCTACTGAATGGTGGGTGGGGGCCCTAACGTAAAATAAGGGGGGGACATATTGTCCTCCCCCCCAGCCCCCACCCCTGCGCGGTGGGTAGAGGCTCTACATAACAATGAGGGGGGACCCACTGTCCTCCCCCCCGGCTTCCACCCCTGTGCGGTGGGTGGGGGCCCTAAATAAGAATGAGGGGGAGGGACTACTGTCCTCCCCCCCGGCCCCCACCCATGCGCAGTGGGTGGGGGCCCTAAATAAGACTGAGGAGGAGGGACTACTCTCCTCCCCTCCCAGCCCCCACCCCTGAGCGGTGGGTGGAGGACCTAAATTTAGAATAAGGGGGAGGGACCTATCAAAAAAAAAAAAGTGCAAAAAAAAAATCCATGTTCACCTGGAGGGCTCCGAGCAGACTGAGCTCTGGCCTAAATAAGAATGAGGGGGAGGGACTACTGTCCTCCCCCCGGCCCCCACCCATGCGCGGTGGGTGGGGGCCCTAAATAAGAATGAGGCAAAGGGACTACTGTCTTCCCCTCCCAGCCCCCACCCCTGAGCGGTTGGTGGAGGACCTAAATTTAGAATAAGGGGGAGGGACATATAAAAAAAAAAACGAGTGCAAAAAAAAAATCCATGTTCACCTGGAGGGCTCCGCACAGACTGAGCTCTGCAAGGAGGGGAAGGCTTATAAAGCCTTGCCCCGCCCTGCAATTAGGCTCAGAGCACTCTGATTGGTGGGTTTAAGCCATCCAATCAGAGTGCTCTGACAGGTAAATGAAGAGACTGACAGGTAAGTCTCTACATTTACCTGTCACAGCACTCTGATTGGTTTACACGCTGTGTAATTTGACTCATAACAACACTCTGATTGGTGGATTGAAAGTAAGCAATTAGAGAGTTATGAGTCAAATTACACAGCGTGGGAAAATTCCAAAGAACTTTCCCACGCTGTGCAAAATGACACAGAGCACTCTGATTGGCTGGATTTCAAGCTAACCAATCAGAGTGCTCTGTGTCATTTTACACAGCGTGGGAAAATTCCAAAGAAAATTCCAAAGAAATCCTTCATATTTCAATACTAGAATTTTCTAGGCATTTTTAGTTCTATATAACACACATACAACACACACAAAGATAGGTGGAGCAAATAGTGATAGAAAATAAAGATATACTTCCCTCTCTTCTAACTTCTCGCTGTAAGAGATAGAGAGGTACAAAATAGTGCAGATATTGCTATATACAAAATATAAATAGAATATAAATCATATGCACTCACAATGGGAGAGCCATATAATGCAAACTGGCTCTGGTGTGGATTTCCTTTGGGATCTTAATTGGGTGATCCCCAGACCTCTTTGATGGTATTTGTTGAGGTATGTCTTCCTTCAATGATAGGCAATGGAGAGAATGGTATATTCCAAAGGCAAAATATTTATTCAAGAAAAAATAAATAAAATGGTTAAAAGTAATACAATAAATAAAAACTCTTAGTGTCCAATATGATTGCCAAAACGCGTTTCGCCAGTGTGGCTTCATCAGTTGGCAACTTGCCAAAACGCGTTTCGCCAGTGTGGCTTCCTCAATTGGCAACTGAGGAAGCCACACTGGCGAAACGCGTTTTGGCAATCATATTGGACACTAAGAGTTTTTATTTATTGTTTTACTTTTATCCATTTTATTTATTTTTTCTTGAATAAATATTCTCTGCTCTGCTATTTCATCTCTCTCTGTTGTTAAATGGGCCATGCATCCTATGGTTGTTCACGTTTTCAAGGCTGTGATGAGAAAAATACCTCCAGCAAGGAAATTCTCTGCTCCATGGAATTTACCTCTGGTCCTGCAAGCTGCGACGGATCTGCCCTTAGAATCTCTTGAAGAAATTCCTATCCCAGTTTTTTCTCAGAAGACCTTATTGCTACTGGCATTAGTCTCAGCCAGAAGAATGGCAGACATTAGAGCATTACCATCTGAAGAACCCTACAGTACTTTTCTCCATGATAGAGTAGTTCTACAACCAAGACCAGACCTTCTTCCAAAGGTCATTACCTCATATCATCTGAATTAGGAAATCATCCTGCCAGGATAATTCCAAAATCCTTTATCACTTGAAGAGGAAAGATGTCATACGTAGTGATGTCCCGAACGGTTCGCTGAACGGTTCACCACGAACGGTTCGCCACGGACTCATCATTGAGTAAACTTTGGCCCTGGACCTCACAGTCAGCAGACACATTCCAGTCTCCCACCTCCTGGACAGCATCCATTTTACATTCATTGTGAAGCTGCATTCTTAGTGAGCTGTCCAGGAGGTGGGAGGGTCTGGGAGGGAGGGTCTGCTGCTGATTGGCTGGAATGTGTCTGCTGACTGTGAGGTACAGGGTCAGAGTTTACTCAATGATGAGTCCGTGGCGAACCGTTCGCGAACCTTTCGGCGAACCGTTCGGGACATCACTAGTCATAAGTTAGACCTGAAAAGGTGTTTATCCATGTAAATTGAGCGTTAAGCAGATTGGAGAAAATCCTCTCAACTATTTGTGATCCCATGTGGTTCTTGTAAGGGAGAAGCAGCTTCAGTCCCTACCCTCCCCGTTCCTGGGTGTTTTCTGTTGTTTATAAGGCATATACTGCAAAAGGTTTTTAGCTATACCTCCAATGAAAAAACACATAATAAATGTTTTTATTTGGGGTATGTCTACTAAACAGTAATTTATTTTATAGTTTTTTGGGGGGGTAGTGGGGGAAGTAGCATGTTCCTTTATTGGTTTCATGCCTCCCATTGCCACTTGCCTTTAAATATATTTATAGTTTGTTCTTCATTGTGCTGCATAATACCTGGGGGCTTCCAGTTTGTTCTCCTCTGTTCTGTGAGATTCTTTTGACTGATGGATTGTGGGTAAATAAGCTTATGGAACTTTGCTTTATGCTCTGCCCATTGCCAAAATTGTTAAAGATTACATCTCCCTGCAGTGGTGTATTTTGGTTTTGTGCTGCCCTAGGTATGGCTAAACCTATTCAACACCCTCCCACCCCCCACCCCCCAATCTAAATGTGCCCCACACCTGCCTGCCAAGACCACACTTCCTTCTTTTCAAAACCTACCCCTTCCGCTGCAAACTCCACCACTCAGTCCCATCTCATTCTATTTAGGCTCTACAATTTCCTCTTTGAGCTCCACCTCTTCGCCTCTGACCTCAAACAGCTTGTGAAAGCAATATATGCCATCAAACAGGTTACCAATACCATCTTCATCCCAAAACAACTTTACAGTGCAAGCTTTGTTCCCAACCAGCTTAGCAGTGCCATTTCTATCCCCAAACATTGTATCAGTGACATATTTACACCCAAACAACTTGCCACGTCCATCTATTTCCACAAACAGTTTGCCAGTGGCATCTGGTATACCATGCCACTAAACTTTAAATGCAGAAACTTGGTATAACATGGCAATCAACTACAAAAGGTATATCCCTGGTATATCTTGCCAATGACCTGTAGTGCGCCTCACTCTGGAGCCGCTGCCTCTTAGAGAGCTCTTGGATGTCATCAATGTTATTCAAGCTGGAAAAGTAGAGGTGTAATGTCTAGCTCACAGAATGCATCAGTTTGCAGCAGCAATGTTACTGACACAAAGTGACAGAAATCTTAAGCATCCGTCTTTATCCACCTATTATAGCCTCTAAAGCTCACATCCTAATGTACTTTATATAACCATCAAAGCTTGCACTCTAAAGTAATTCAGTTAGCTAATAAAGCTTACACTCTAATGTAATTAATATAACCAATAAAGCTTGCACTCTAATGTTATTCAGATAGCTAATAAAGCTTACACTTTAATGTCATTAATATAACCAATAAAGCTTGCAGTCTAATGTAATTCAGATAGCTAATAAAGCTTGCACTCTAATGTAATTAATATAACCAGTAAAGCTTGCACTCTAATGTAATTAATATAACCGTTAAAGCTTGCACTCTAAAGTAATTCAGTTAGCTAATACAACTTGCACTCTAATGTATAGAGAGATCCATATAGTCTGGGTGTATATAGAGAGACATATAGAGTGTGTGTGTGTGTGTGTGTAAAGATAGGTTAATTTTACATATATCGAGAGTCATTTAGTCTGTGTGTATAAAGAGAGATCCATATAGTCTGTGTGTAGATAGAGAGATATATAAAGTGTGTGTGTGTGTAAGATAGGATCATTTTACATAAAGAGAGATCCTTATAGTCTGTTTGTATAAAGATAGGACCATTTACATATTAGCTATAATGTGTGAGTGTGTGTGCGTGTGTGTGTGTGCGTGCTTATAGACAGCCATATAGTGTGTTTGTATAAAGAGAGATCCATATAGTCTGTATGTATATAGAGAGACATATAAAGTGTGTGTGAGTGTAAGATAGGATCATTTTACATAAAGAGAGATCCTTATAGTCTGTTTGTATAAAGATAGGATCATTTACATATTAGCTATAATGTGTGAGTGTGTGTGCGTGTGTGTGTGTGCGTGCTTATAGACAGCCATATAGTGTGTTTGTATAAAGAGAGATCCATATAGTCTGTGTGTATATAGAGAGACATATAAAGTGTGTGTGAGTGTAAGATAGGATCATTTTACATAAAGAGAGATCCTTATAGTCTGTTTGTATAAAGATAGGATCATTTACATATTATATAGAGACAGAAAAAATATATACAGGGCGCCACAATCACCAGATAAATAAACGAAAAAGATGAAGATAATATTGTTTTATTTAATAATGTGCACCAACAATGTGCAAATAGTATAAAATATATTCACTCCTGACGAAGTCTCAAGGACGAAACGCGTTGAGCAGCATTGGGGACCCTTCTACTTTGGTATCAGCAGTTTCTGTTTCACATGATTTTTTTGTCTATGTGACTAGTTGTGGACATTGTTTATGTTTACCAGCTTAAAGTGATGGGAGTTGCACTCTGCACTTTATATTATTGTCTGCACTTTAGCATTTAGCACTTTTTCATGTTATATAAGAGCTGCTATACCTATGGGTCTTTTAGCCTATTGAGGCTTTTTATGTGAATATATTTTATACTATTTGCACATTGTTGGTGCACATTATTAAATAAAACAATATTATCTTCATCTTTTTCGTTTATTTATCTGGTGATTGTGGCGCCCTGTATATATTTTTTCTGTCTCTATTGGATGTTTTAAGGTTTGAGTGACCTTTTACAGTGGCTTGCCTGCATACAGATATCACTACACTTCACCCAACCCTGTATTTGTTCATTTACATATTAGCTATAATGTGTGTGTGTATAGACAGCCATATAGTGTGCGTGTGTGTGTGTGCGCGCGCTCGTATAGACAGCCATATAGTGTGTGTGTGTTGCCAGGCAATACCTTCAAAGCAAAGAAACATCCAGGAGGTGAGACTACTGCATGGTCTATTAGGGGGCGTATCAGCTATCAAGTTGATGTCGGAGAGAAGCTGGAAGGCTCCATTAGTTGGAGATCTGGAGTGGTGTGCAGCAGTTACTGAACTGCTTTTCATGCTGGCTTTTGCTTTCTAGGAGAGAGACTCCTCATCCTGCTGCAGTTTCTCTCTGTCTCAGCCTCTTCCACAATTCAAGCTTTCATTGACAACAAATATAAAGGTCACGAGACCGAGGATGGCAGCTTGTCATCCCCCATTTCCGTTTTTTGCTGCCCCCTGGAAAGTGCTGCCCATGGCAAGTGCCTTGTTTGCCTTGCTGAAAATACATCACTGCCCCATAAGAAAAAGCAGTCCATATGTATAACTAAAAAACTAAGGTGAACTTTAAAAAAAGTAAAACCAAAGATAAATAGCACAAAAAAAAGGATTACAATAAAAGTAAAACCTGCGACAGAGCCACTAACCCCTTCCCGACCTCTGATGTGCAGGGTACATCCGACAAAAAAAACACAGTTAACGACTGCGGACCTACCCTGCACGTTCATGGCTACAATGACCCGGGTACTCACCTGGACTGGTGGTCCGCTGTGACCCTGGTCCAGGGGGACTGCCCGAGATCTCAGCAGTCCCCTTGCGGCAGACCTGGCCTCTCGGGTCCTCCAGGGGCCATGTGATCACCATGATCACATGGCTGCAATGGAAGTCTATGGAGCTGCCAGAAGGGGGACTATCTGAGCAATCAGGCAGTCCCTCAGCCACGAAAAATTTAAAAAAATAAAAAAATAAATATATTATACATATGTCATATATGTATAATATATTATAAAATAGTTAAATAATTTTATAATATATTATACATATAAAATGCATATATATGATTGCATCATAAGTGTACTTTGAGATAAATACACAAATATCTCAAAATGCACTTATAATGTAATCATGTATATGCATTATATATGTATAATATATTATCAAATGCTTTAATTATTTTATAATATATTATACATATATAGGAAATAAAAAACGTGTGTGTGTATGTATATATCTATATGTACATACACACACAAGTATTATATACACACGTATTACATATGTATATGTGTATATATATGTATGTATATATACACATACACACACACGTATTATATACACACGTAATATATATATGTATATACACATGTATATATATATATATATATATAAATATATATACACACATACACACACGTATTATATGTGTATATATATATATATATATGTATATATATATAGTATGAAATAGAAATAGCGTTCAGTTTATTTTTTTTACATTTTTCACACACAACAAATATGAACGTTAACTTTGGCCAGTGTTTGTGACTAAGTGGCTTCTAAAAATAACTGGACATACCCCATTTGTAATACCTTGGGTTGTCTACTTTTGCAAATGGTATGCCGTTATGGGGGTAATTTTCATTCCTGGGCTACCATTTGGTCTCAAAGGCAACATAACCAGGCAAATTTCAATGTGCAAAAAAAACCAAGAAATTGATGCCACTAGTCTCAGTGCATAAAAGCTCCGAGATTAGCTGCATCCCCTGGATATATATGTAGTAATATAGTTATTACTGTATATTGGCATAAAAAATGTATAATTAAAGTAATTCAATAGGGAGTTTAGAATATGTGTGCTCCTGGCACAAGTAGCTAATTTTGTTTTCCAATTTACATCAGGAAGATTAAAGTCACCCATGATGATAACTTCCCCCTTCATTGTCATTTTAGCTATTTCCTCAACTAGTAGATTATCTAACTCTTCAATTTGTCCTGGGGGCCTATAAATCACACCTACACGAGTTACTGTGTGATTACCAAATTCTAACGTAGCCCAAACGGACTCTATGTTTGCCTCACTAACTTTTATTAGGCTAGATTTTATGCTATCCTTCACATACAAGGCCACCCCTCCCCCTTTCTTGCCTTCCCTATCTTTCCTATATAAAGAGTACCCTGGTATTGCTATGTCCCAGTCATTTTTCTCGTTGTACCATGTCTCAGTAACAGCGACTAAATCTACACTATCAGTTGCCATTATTGCCACAAGTTCATGGATCTTATTCCCTAAACTGCGAGCATTTGTAGACAATGGGTTAAGCCCATTGAGACCCTTGGAGTCTCTCTGCGGTACTTAAGATATTGGGTTAGACCTGTCACTATCCCATCTTTTGGGTTAAGTGTATGGGTATATACCTATATTCTTATTTTCGTTCTTAAATTTCAATGTGCACAAACTGAAAAATGTAATGTGCTATATTTTACCCTGTAACTTTCCAAAACACCATAAAACCTGTAAATTGGGGGTACTGTTTTACTCATGAGACATCACTGAATACAAATATATGTATTAGTAACGGCAGTAACAGCTAACAGTATTGTGACATTCACAGTTAAAATGCCATGCAAAACGAATTTTTTTTTACATTTCAGAATTTCTCAATTCTTTTATATTTTATTCATACTAAATTAGGTTTAATATACAAATATTTGATGTGACATGAAAGCCCCGTTTCTCCTGAACAAAATTATATATGATAAGTGTGGGTGCACATAATATGAAAGAGGTGAATTACCCCTGAACAGACATATAGCGCAAATTCAAGGTTTTGTTTTGATCACAACTTGTACAACTGCCTCAGCCCTTAAGGGGTTAAAGGGACACTTTAAGCACCAGAACCATTACAGCTTAATGTAATGACTCTGGTACAAAGAGAAGGTTCCTGCAGACTCAGCATTGCAATCGAATGTGTTTACGTTTGCTCCTATGGCCACCTCTATTAACTGTCATTGTCTAGTGAATACAACTAGAGGCCTTTACTAGTGTGGTCCGCCAATCTTTGCAGGACCGATGTTCAGTGTCTTTAAGCTATGCATTAAGACCCAGAATGATCCAAATAGAGATGCATTTAGCCAATAGCTCTTCTTTATACTGTATGTCCTCTAAGGCAGTAGTTTTCAAACAAGTCCTCAAGGCATGCCAGGATTCAGGGATTGCCTAGTTGTGTTTAAGGTGTTTTTAGAAAGAAAGACAAAAACACATTGGCACAACTGGGTAAACCCTAAATAGTGGACTGGTAGGTGTACCTTGAGAATTGGTTTGGAAACCACTTTTCTAAGGACTTCAGTGCATAGGCCAGTTTATTAAATTTTTACAAATTTTCTTGACTTTTTTCCACCAGGGTAATATTTTGTTTTGTTTTGATCCATCTCTCCCTACCCCTATTGTTTTCCTTTTAGATCAAAACTATGAATGTGAAATTTGTGCTTTGCTGGTTTTGTACTGGTCTCCTCTTAAAGATCTCAGAAACACGTATGTAGAAGAATGTTTTTCTTACATTTTCTTTTAATGAAAGAGTAAATATAATTTCTAAGCAATGTTTTAAGGAATTAATAAAGTAAATAGATTTAAAGGTTTAAAGCGCTTTAGGTTTACCCCTCTTTAGCTAATTTCTAATTTTAAAATGAGGAAGAACTTAATTTAGTAGTAGAAAAGACATGACAATTACATTATCTTTAATGGAAATAATAAAATAAAGCTAAAATAATTTACCAAACCCCACTTTAACCCCTTAAGGACACATGACATGTGTGACATGTCATGATTCCCTTTTATTCCAGAAGTTTGGTCCTTAAGGGCAATGAGAGAATAGGTTATTGCTTCATACAACACCCATTATTGTGCCTAAGTGAGGTGTTTCGTAAATGAGTGCGCTGGATCTTGTATGTTGTATGAATTGGCCCCAGCAGCACCCTTATAGGTATGCATGTTCAGGTAAGTGAGCCCTCTTAGGTTTCAGTTATATATTCATGGGGCGGGGGAGGGGGGGAAGAGCACACCCTCTTGGAATTCTATGGTTCTACATGTCAGGACATAACAATCATCTGTTCCTTAGCAGGTCATAAAAACAGGTAAACAACAATTAATTAATTGCTCATCAGCAAGTGTGACCACCTCTATAAAGGCCGAGGTTTTAGCAGTGTGCTGGTCTGGAGTATTCAGGTGTATTTTAACACCATGCCAAGAAGGAAAGACTCAGGTTTTAGAGAAGCAATTGTTGCTGCCCATCAAAATTGCATGGATTGTAAGGCCATTTCCAAACTATTAAAGTTCATCATTCTACAGTGAGAAATATTTTTCAAATGTAGAAAACATACAAGATAGTTGCCACTCTTACCAGGAGTGGATGTTCTTGCCAATTCACCCCAAGGTCAAACCGTGCAATGCTCAGAGAAATTGCAAAACTACATCTTAAATTAAATTTAGGTTTGATGACAGTACAATTCATAACACAATGAACACGTATGGTTTGTTTAACCCCTTAAGGACACATGACATGTGTGACATGTCATGATTCCCTTTTATTCCAGAAGTTTAGTCCTTAAGGGGTTAAAAGGGTTGCCAGAAGAAAGCCTCCTCACACGGCAGCATGTCTAAGGTCTGCAAAGTTGCACAAGTAAACCAGAAAAATGAAATAATAAACTGGTATCAAATATAACAAAATAAACTGGCAGAATAAGTACACAATAAGTAAAAGTCCACGATAGACTGGAAAAAGTCTATGGGGTAGGGACGTCCAAAGTGAAACCTATCTATTGATAGTAGGAGTATTCCTCGATGTGACATAGGTGAATCCTTGAAGTTCATATGAAATAGATAAAAGATAACAACTAATGGTGCAGTTTGTCCCAAGTAGGGGCTGGATACAGTATAGAAGATCTATATGGTCCTACTACTGTTTAATAGAGCTATCTACTTAGCTCTAGTGTGGATGGTGTACAGTGGTACAATCCCCACTTATAGGATATGTGAAGTGTTTGTAGTCTTGCTTGATGTAGGGACCATATGAAAATATAAATAACAGTAATAGTGCTTACAGTATATAAACCAGAGGTGTAATTATAAAATACTAAGTGGTTACTCACATTTCGTTGAGCAGGCTGACTGCTCAATGAACACAGCTTGAGTGGTATGATCTCCACCTAGGATTATAATATCCTCGCTGGAAAATTAAAAGGATCTGGTACCAGGTAAAAAGGATGGTAATAATAAAAATAAAAATAATAATATGATAAAAAAGTAAAATGGCTAACTCGCCAGACAGAAAGTGGCCAAAATACCTTATAAATATTGTTATATTAAAATACCACAAAGCGTTTCGCCCTTAGGGTTTTTCGAGTGGAGATCAGAAAGTATAACCTGGCAGACAGTAGTATATGCAATTGTTTAAAAAAGGCAACAAAATGATGTAATTAATATTTATAACATACAAAAAAGTTTAGAAATTACATACAAAAGTGTTTAAGTACACATAGAGGTTATATATCACAATATTGTTTAAAAACTAGGCTTGTTTATAGATATAATGAAAGAAAATATAAACAAATTGTGGTTACGTGGTCAGCGCCCATATTTAATTACGGGCTGCTCCACGTGATCTATCGCAATGGCTTTTGGGACTTGTAGTAGTTACTTTCGCGTCCTTATGACGTGTGGCAAAATGGGAAAGTTGGAGACACGTCCCCACTGATGCGACCCATCCCTCAGCAGGTGATAGTAATGGGCATGTCTTAGTAACGTCCAGGGGTTGGTCGTGAATTTATGACGTGGCATAATAAAAAAAATGGCAAAATAAAATCCAACTAATGGGAAAAAAAAAACAGCAAAAAAGAAACAAGGGAAAAATTAAAAATGCTATACAATAAAATTAGTCCTTTTTGCCCCACAAGAGCTCACTGCAGACTAAGCTCTCACATTGCGGAAAGCCATATTTCTGCTATTACATCACATGGTAAAATTTCTCAAGCTATGTAAAATCAGGAAGAGTTCTCTGATTGGTTTGCTAGTAAACCAACTAATCAGAGTGCTCTGACCGCCAAGTTTTGAGTTAAAAAAGAAATGGCAGCCTATTCACCAGTTTTAGTAGAAAAGTTTAGTAGACATATCTCCACCTGCCCTATGACCTCCATAGGGTTTTTAACTGCTACCGCTGCCAGTGGCAAATAGTTAATTTTTTTTTTTTTAATCCGTGACTGGATTTAAAACATTTGGTCCAGATTTCAGCTGCCCGGTGGAAATTCTTGCTTTATTGAAACAAATGCATATTAGTCCATATAAGATGAATTTGATATGTCCAGGAATAATTCTTACTTTTCTTTTTTTCATGTACAGACTGCACGACTGTGTTTCCCAGGATCACAGAGCCATATAATAATAGCTGTCTAAAAGTGAAGCCATGTAAGCGTTACAACTGACTTTTCTATTATTATTATTTTTATTTGATTGTATCTGATTTGTGTATTAGGTAATCACACAGTGCCCACCGTATTTGTCACTTAAGTGTTTTATGCAACAATAATTATATGTTATTACTAGCAAGATAAACAAGAAATGTGCTGCTCTAAATCACTAGTGGCAAGATTATAAATTAAAAATATATGTCCAAAAGTATTCTGGATTTATGATATTATATAGTATATTTACAAATGTTCCAATGTGTATGTATCTACAATATGTTCCAATAAGAACATATCTACAGTAGAAATAGTAATGCATTCAAATCTGTTAAAATAATTTGTTTAATGCTTATTATATAAAAATAAAGTTGATGGGGTCAAAAATAATTATTTAAAAAACTGAGAAAGAAAAGAGTTGCTTCACACTGGGACTCAGCGAAATATAAAATGGAATGTGAGCGCTCCTGAGTTAAAGGTAATTAATAGAATCAGTACAAAATGTGCATTTTAATAAAACAAAATATATAAAAAACACAAGCTGCTCCAAATAATAAAAAAAAAAACATAATATGCAACACGGATAAAAAATATGGGTGGTAGTTGTTTTAACGACATTGCTGCCTCGAGTGTTGCTATATTTTTTTTTATCAGTGTTGCATATTATGTTTTTAAAAATCTTTTGGAGCAGCTTGTGTTTTTTATATATTTTGTTTTATTAAAATGCACATTTTGTACGGATTGTACTGATGCTTATTATACCAGAATGGCACTGCATTTAAAAAAAAAAAAAAAAAAAATTGTATTATAGATATGTTTAAATTAGAAATTGTTAGAAATGTAAGCATTTTTTGATTTATAATTCTGCCACTATTTTATTTATTATTTAGTCCTATAGACTGTAAGCTCATTTGAGCAGGGCCCTCTTTAACCTATCATTCCTTTAAGTTTTCTTGTAATTGTCCTACTTATAGTTAAATGTCCCCTCTCATAATATTATAAAGCGCTACGCAATATGTTGGCGCTATATAAATTGCAATAATAATAATAATAATAGTACAGTGCATTTATTTAATTTTCTTGATATTATTATTAGTCTTGTCCAGGGTGAAAAAAGCTGAATTTATCTTTTATGATGGCACAATTTTGTTTAATTTTGCAAAATTTTAGTACAGAAAGAAATTCAAGGAAACTATTTGGCAGCCAAAAAACAGGAAGCATTTCGAGTATGTCTTTGTTGACACATTCAAATTGTTACAATACTACATGGCCTAGTGGCTACACAATATCAGGCATTTTTGCGTTGCCAATTCCGAGTTGCCAAAATTAGATTATTATATATCTAGATTTAAAAAAAATGGAATAAAATCGGGAGCAGGAGTAATTTCAATAAAAAAAGGGAAAGCAGCAACATAAGCAGCAGCAGCATGAGTACTGTAATATAATTTTTATTTTACATTTTTTTTTGGTGGGTGAACAACGGGATGACATGTCCAAACTGGCATTATTGTGGCGTAAAGTTACTGTCACAAAATGGCATAAGAACTTGCCATTTATTACCCAATTAGCTACCCAATTATTGTCTAATCCTCCAATAGAGTGGGGATTCAATGCCAATGGAGTGGTTGGAAGATAGATTAAGGATTGCTCTCTGCTGTTTCAAAATTATTTTCATCATATCTAAAGTGGAGTTCCAACATGTGCTACCATGGACAGTGTGTAGGAATCCCTTTTTTCTCCTGTTCCTACTTCAAGGTTTGGCTAGTTCTTACTCTATGGTGGAAATGCATGGCAACCCTCCTGCAATGCTCAAGCCTGTTTGCAGTAAGCTTGGACCAACCCCTTACCATTACCACCATATTCAGGCAGCATGGTCTGCCACCAGCGTGTAATCAAGGAAAGAAAAGTGTGCTTGCCGGTAATAGCACTCCATATAGCTGGGCAATTAGACAGGTGATACTGTTAGCCTGCTGTTTTCACATGGCCCTGGAATAGAACCCATCTAAATGTTCAAGAGTGGACTAGTGGATACTTTCCTGCGATGATGAGGAGTCCAACTGTTCCTCTCCAACCTGCCTTAGTCGATGACACCCCCTGCTCTGCGTAAGGGTGGCAGTAGTAGAGGAGGCAATCCTGCTGCTAAACCCCCCACCCCCTTCTATTAAATGCATATCATTGTAGTGGTTACACCCTGGCTAATTTTCTTTGTTGGATTTGTGATTTACTACTACTGTAACATTATTGTGTTTGACTACAGTGCACACTCTATGCAGGTGCACAGTTAAAGGGGTACAAAAAGACTTTGCAAACTTACTCAATGTTGCTGTACCCTGCAACAGTCTTAATACCACACTTGTTCAGTTAACAGCAGCCAAACATTGCATGTAATAGTGAGGGGAAAGGCTTGAAATTTTCAAAGCAATAATAGTGGCACTGAAGCATGGCAAATCAAACAATTCAATTCTTACTAGAATTAAAATAAAAAATAAATAAATATCACAAATCAGTAAAACAATTTAAAGTTAGTGAAGCAAACTGGGTATAAGTAGCTCTGGCAATAAGTAAGAATGTTATCATTTTTTAATTCCCCAGATGCTGAATGGTCAAATTATTCCTGTCCAACCTGCCTCTGTCGAATACTAGCATTATCCTTACTTTTCCCCCTTGCTTTGTCTATGGGTAACATCCACATGAATCCCAGGACTCAATGTTTCCCAACAAAACATTGCCCAAAGCATAACACTGCCTCCTCTGGCCTGACTTCTTCACTCAGTGCATCCTGTTACAATCCCTTTCCCAGGTAAATGGTGCATATGCACCAGGCCAACCACCTGATCTAAAACCTTCTTCTATTGCTCCATGGTCCAGTTTTTGTGCACATGTCCCCACTGAAGGGACTTTCAGTGGTGGACAGGGGTCATCATGGCACTCTGACCTAATACGCAGCCCCATACACAGCAAAATGCTATGCACTGTATGTTTTGACACCTTTCTATAATGGACAGCATTAGATTTTTTGGCAAATTGAGCTAAAGTATCTCTTCAGTGTGTTTGGGCCAGATGGGCTAGCTTTTGCTCCCTACTTCAATAAGCTTTGGGTACCCATGATCTCATGCTGGTTCACCTATTGTCCTTCCTTGCACCACTTTTGGAAGGTACCGACCACTGCATACCAGAAAAAACTCACAAGACTTTCCGTTGTGGAGATGCTCTGATACAGTCATCTAGCCATAACTTGTCAAAATCAATCAATCAGATTTTTTTTCGTTTGCCCATATTTCCTTCTTCCAACACATTACATTTAGGAACTGACTGTTCACTGGCTGCCCAAAATATCCCACCCTTTGACCATTGTAACTATAAAATCAACGTTTTTCACTCCACCTCAATGATTTTAATGTTGTACCTGATCAATTTTCCTTTTGTTGTTGTTAACAGACAGACTTAGGTTTTCACAATTTTGATTAGATATACATTTTTGGATTTATGGTAAAATCTATGTATATGTTCTAAACATACGTTTTCATTTAGGTACCTTGTTGTTGTCTTAAGCAGAAAATTATATGTTGTTTATTTGACTTCTCATACCTGTTTTCTTTTAACTTAAAATGCACATAAAACATTTAAATTTACCTTTTAAACAGATTCAAAAATTGACCTTTATTGCAAAGCTGTATTAGACGACAACTCTACTGTTCCTCAAACTGCCATTATCTTTTGGGTGATTAATGGAAAATTCACAGAAGAATGTGACAATGTGTATGAAGATAAGCCAGTGTAAGAATGCTTTTCCTCATGATCTTTTAAACTGAACTCTACATGTTTTAATGCAAAATGTCAAGATTCATCTATGTTACCCTTTACTCACTGTTATACAGTGGGTTCTTTAATAGAATGTTGATTTCTCTAATTCATAAAGGAACTCTCCAAACACCTAAAGCACTTATGTTTGCTTAAGTGCTTTGTGTGTGACAAGTAATGTGTGAAGAGTGTGTCCTCTCAGATTTCAATAGAAATTTGTGCTTTTTTTTAACTAAACTGTAACACCACCCTCATTGTCTATTAGACAATTGTTCCTGTTACTTCCTTTTAGATTAGCTCAACTGAGCTAAACTCAAGAGACAGGTAATTGCCTAGAGCACCTGCCATGCAAAGACTTCTGAATGAGCTCCTTTGGGGAGTCTGTGATTGCCACAAAAAGTCTGGTCTGGGTAAGAAGTAGATCGCTTACAAAGGCTGCAGATAACAGACCTGCAGCTTTTGCAAGCTGTTTTTACATATATCTCCAATATAGAATGTATTAATAAATGTATGCATGTTTCCATTGAGGGCATATCTACTAAATAGTGATTTTAAAAACATTTGGGCAGTGCAGTGTCCCTTTAATTAAACTTTCCACTATATAACCAATGCCAGCTTCAAATAATTTAATGGTTGCACTGAATTTAAATACAGAGGTTGGAGTTTAATTCAAAAATACCTTTGTAAATCAGTTAGGGAATAGAGGACTTTTACAAAGTGGACAGCTTGGGGAAATTACTACTCCTAAAGCTTATCTTTTCATATTCTAAAATATAGCTAGTTCTCTCCACAAAATAATTTTTTCCTGCATAATTTTTAGTTGGCAAATGTATATCTAGAAACACTGCCGATAATTAAAAAAAATAAAAAAATAAAGGGCTCTGTCACCCCTCAAAGAAAATCTGAGCAATTTATAGAGATAACACAAAATAAATCATTCAAATTCTAACACAGTCAACAGATATCATAGGGACTACTTTGTCCTATTTATTTTTCCCACTTGAAAAAATTTGATAAAAGCTATCCCCAGTGATGGCCGTGGGAAAATTGTATCTTCTCAAGGCTCCTGCGAACCTCAATAGACATCAGTGTTGTACAGTTGTGTATGTGTGAAAGCACAGCACTGACATAGGATCCTGGTGGATTACCTCCCATGCACCCCGGGACACTGTACACCAATCTACAACGTCACCATTGAGGTTCTTTGCAAAATCTCTGCTTTAAAGGGGAGTCATTGCTTCCCATGATTCTTAATATTGGGTTTATGTATCCCTGAAATGTATTTGTAAGGTCTGAAACATAAAATATAGAACTCCACACAACTGTATTTAACTGTATCCTGGAACTGAGGACCTTCCTCTTGGCTCCCTGTCAATCATCGCTATAGCCCATTGTTGTCATTAATCTTAGTAAATGGAGAAGAAACAAAAACAATGTTTCTGTTACTCTTCCTCTAATGCACTGTGTACCATTGCTGTGTTAGGACTGATCTGGATTGTGATGTAATTTGCTCAATCTTTAGAATAAATGTTAAAGGATACAGAGTACCCCATCTAAAAAGGTTTACTCGAGTTATAGGTGACTCAATGTTTTATTCAATGTTGTAATTTTCACAGGTGGCGCGATTTATTTCACAGTTTGGACGATTTAATGGCTTTAATTTTCTTTCTTATAATCTTTTAACAGTGTAATAATGAAAGGAGAAGTGAGCTCTATTCTTCACATTCTTAAAGTGGTTCCGGAATTTTATAACATTCCATTCACATGTATGATAGAGAGCACAAGTGGAACGGATAAGTCATCTATATTTTTGAAAAAAATGGACTGTTCAGGTTTGTTCTTAAATGCAATATTAATGTAAACAAACTTTTGTAACTCTCTAGTATCTAGGATATATGGAGACTGCATAAGGGTGACAGTAATAGAGGAGGCAATCCTGCTGCTATTGCTCGCCCCTTTTATTAAATTCATGTCATTGGTTACACCCTAACTTTCTTTGTTGGAGAATTAGTTCCCGCTTTGTGATTTACTACTACTGTAACATTATTATGTTTGACTACAGTGCACACTCTATGCATTGCACAGTTAAAGGGGTAAAAAAAAGACTTTGCAAACAGATTCCTCAATATTGCTGTACCCTGAAATAGACACTGTAAGCATCATAACAGCTTATTTTAATGGTTATAGAACCAGGCATTCATTTGTTTAAAAAGTATATTTTAAACACAGACACCATTAACATTCCCTATGATGTAATATGGGAATCCAGCATGTATACACTCACTGCCTGTCCATGCTAAGCAAGCTAACCTTCTGAAACTGTGCTGTGAGCAAGCAAACAAATGCATCAATATTCCTTTAACGGTGAGGGTGCGCTATTTCAAGTGGGGGTGCACGGGATGCAGTGCACTTCTGTATGAAACTCCTTTGATTTCAAATTACATTCATATTTAGCACTGGAAAGTTCTACACTCTGATTGGGTTACCTAATCGAGTCCAGATGCTTGTCCTTCACGTGAAACTGGGCGTTGCTGTTGTTCAGTCATGGGCAAAAGCAAAACCCAAGATCATAACACATAGGAAGAAACTAAACACTCTTGCAAGAAGACCAAGGAAGTTAATATTGTATTTTTCAAGCCACCTGAAAAAAATAAAAGGGTTTTGTGAACATACTGGACATTAGTATAATATTTGAAATCAGTAGTGTTTCACAAAGATATTGAATGAGGACCAAGTCACTGTTCTGTGTATACTGTATGCTTCCTGGTAGTTTAGCAATATGAACCTAAATTCAAGATGCAGTCAACTGCCCAGAGCACCGCCATGCAAAGAGTTCTTATTGGGAGTTGCATTGGGAAGTCTGGGCTTGGGAATAAGGGCAGAGATTGTAAAAACTACACACAATAGATCTGCAGATTTTGCAAGCTGTTTTTAGAAATACATTTAAAGGACCACTATAGGCACACAGACCACTTCAGCTTAATTATTATTATTATTATTATTTTATTATTTATATAGCGCCAACAAATTCCGTAGCGCTGTACAATGGGTGGACTAACAGACACATAATTGAGATCAGGCCACTGACGTACAGGAACAGAGGGGGTTGAGGGCCCTGCTCGATGAGCTTACATGCTAGAGGGAGTGGGGTATAGTGACACAAAGGGTTAAAGTAGGGGAATTAAATAGTTTGTTACAGAAGGGTTTATTGAGTGCTTGGTAGGTCATTTTTGACAGGTGCAGGAACGGAGTCATGGGGTGGGGGATGAGAAACCTGCTGACAGTTTAATTGATACGCTTTAATGAAGAAGTGAGTTTTCAAAGATTTTTTGAAGGAATGGAGGCTGGGTGAAAGTCTGATTGAGGAGGGAAGGGAGTTCCACAGAATAGGTGCAGCCCTGGAGAAGTCTTGAAGGCGAGCATCAGAGGTGGGGATCCGGGCAGAGGAAAGGAGTCTCGACGGGACATACTTGTGTATGAGCGCAGGGGTCTGAGCGCAGGGGTCTCGACGGGACATACTTGTGTATGAGGGAGGATAGGTATGTTGGAGCAGCATTATGTAGGGATTTGTAAGCAAGCGCCAGAATTTGGAATTGGGCCCTATATCTAACTGGAAGCCAATGCAGGGACTGACAGAGCGTGGAGGCGTGGGAGGTGCGACAGGAAAATAAGCCTCGCAGCCGTAATCATTATAGATTGCAGCGGTGCAAGCTGGGAACATGTAAGACCGGTGAGAAGGGGATTGCAATAGTCAAGGCGAGAGAGAACAACAGCACTTAATGAAGTGGTCTGGGTGCCAGGTCCAGCTAGCTTTTTTTTATAAACATAGCAGTTTCAGAGAAACTGCTATGTTTATAAATGGGTTAATCAAGCCTCCATTGGCTGTCTCTTGACAGCCGCTAGAGGCGCTTGCGTGCTTTTCACTGTGATTTTCACAGTGTGAAAATGCCAGCGTCCTAGGAAAGCATTGTGAAGAGGAGGTGAGGAGAGGAGGAAGAGAGCTTCCCGCCAGGCACTGGAGAAAGAGGTAAGTTTAACCCCTTCCTCTCCCCAGAGCCCGGCGGGAGGGGGTCCCCGAGGGTGGGGGCACCCTCAGGGCACTATAGTGCCAGGAAAACGAGTATGTTTTCCTGGCATTATAGTGGTCCTTTAAGGAAAAAAATGTACAATTAAATGCATGCGTGTTTTCATAGAAGGTAAATCTAATCAAAGAAAAAAAAAAGCGTCATACCCAAGGAAGTGTAGCGTTACTTACCTTAACCGGGGGCCGGTTGCGGTCCTCTCTTCAAGCCGCGCGCGGTCCTGCGGCTGCACGAGCCGCGCGCGGCTCATCCGACTGCTTTAGATGGAAGGCGGGCAGTGACCGCGTGAAGCCCAGGCTCTCCAGACGCTCCTAGCTAGAACCGTTCCAGCAACCACACCTAACCCTCCTACGCCCCTTCTCCCTGAAGTATCTACTTTGCCTAATACTTCGGCCCATTTAACACCTCCTCCTAGGTATGGAGGGGACTCTAAGACTTGCAGAGGGTTTATTAATCAAATTGAATTCCACTTCGAAATGTATCCACGTTCATTTCCCACAGAGAGGTCTAAGGTTGGGTTCTTTATGCACCAACTTACCGATAAGGCACTTGAGTGGGCAAATCCTATTTGGGAAGCTAATGGACCTATGGTACATGATTTCAACAGTTTTCTTACGGCTTTTCGTAGAACTTTTGACACAATGAAAAGGTCAAAGAATGCCGCGAGAGCATTAATGAGAATTAAACAGGGTTCTAGGTCTGTGGCTGATTATGCTATTCAGTTTCGCACTCTTGCTTCGCAGGTAGATTGGACCAACAATGGGTTAACTACTGCCTTCATGGAAGGTTTGTCAGATACGATATTGGATGAGGTAGCAGCTAAGGAGCTTCCTATTGCCTTAGAGGACCTTATTGATTACCTCATTGATATAGATAATAGAATTCGTGACAGGCTCTATACCAAGAACAGGAATAGACGTTTTGTTACACCCATTAACCCCAGAGTTAATATACCAGAGAGTGTTAAAGTGTCTGAGGAGGAACCTATGCAATTAGGGGTTGCCAAACTCTCTGATACTGAGAAATTACATAGGAGAAGGGAGGGACTCTGCCTATACTGTGGTAGGAGAGACCATATGGTAAAGGAATGTCCTTTACTCCCGGAAAACTCTCGCACCTAAGACCTTATAGGGGACTGGCCTTGGGTGTGATATCTAAGTCTCCTAAATTGCCTCCTAACCGCTTGCTTCTCCCGGTTTCTTTATATATGGGAGAGATTTGTATAGTTGACAACATATATGCTCTGGTTGACTCTGGGGCAGCTGAAAATTTTATAGACTCTGGCTTTATAAAGAGAAACAACATTCCCATCAGAGAGAAGGAGATACCCTTGGCCGTTGAGGCCATAGATGGTAGACCATTAAGTTCTCCAGTTGTTACTCATGAGACTGTACCATTACACATGTACACAGGGGTTTTACACTATGAAACCATTCGATTCCAGGTCATCACCTCTCCCTCTTCACAGTTAGTATTAGGGTATCCATGGTTACGTGCTCACAATCCCATTTTTGACTGGGAGACAGGGCAAATAAAATCATGGAGTGAGGCCTGCCACGAGTCTTGTACGTTTGAAGTCACACCTTTGAATTCTATTAAGGTACCTACCAGTCCTCCTTTGTCTACGGCTATACCCCCTCGGTATTTATCTCTAAAGTCTGTTTTCGATAAAAGGGAGGCTGAGAAATTACCGCCTCACAGACCCTATGATTGTGCTATTGACTTGTTGCCTGGCACTATACCTCCAAAGGGCAGGGTGTACCCCTTATCGGTTCAAGAAAACCGTGTCATGGAGGAGTATATTAAGGAATCACTAGAAAAGGGGTTTATTAGGAGATCCTCTTCTCCAGCTGGAGCAGGGTTCTTCTTTGTATCGAAGAAAGAAGGTGATTTAAGACCGTGTATAGATTATAGAGGTCTAAACAAAATCACTATCAAAAATGCATACCCTATACCTTTAATTACAGAATTATTTGACAGGCTGAAACATGCCACTGTGTTCACTAAATTAGACCTTAGGAGTGCATACAATTTGATACGTATAAAGGAAAATCACGAATGGAAGACTGCATTCAACACTAGATCCGGTCATTACGAATATACTGTTATGCCATTTGGGCTTTGCAATGCCCCAGCAGTATTCCAAGAATTTATTAATGATGTCTTAAGAGATTTTATTCACACATTTGTTATCGTATACTTGGACGACATTTTAATATATTCTACAGACATACACACTCATCACAGACATGTTACGACAGTTTTGAAGACCCTTCTTGCTAATGGTCTTTATTGCAAGCTAGAAAAATGTCTGTTTGACCAAACCGAAGTCCAGTTCTTGGGGTATTTGATTTCCGCTAAAGGTTTTCGTATGGATCCCCAGAAGCTTGCTGCTGTAATAGAATGGCCTCTACCGCAAGGTCTGAAAGCTATTCAGCGTTTTCTTGGGTTCTCCAATTATTATAGACGTTTTATCAAAGGTTTCTCGTCCATTGTAGCACCTATTACCCGTATGACTAAAAAGGATGGCAATACTCGTGTTTGGTCTACCGAGGCACTTCAGGCTTTTGAATTTCTTAAAACTACGTTCGCCTCTGCACCTATTTTACAGCATCCTGTCCCCTCACTGCCCTATATTCTTGAAGTTGATGCTTCGGATATTGGGGTAGGTGCTGTCTTATCCCAAAGAGAGTCGCCTGAAAAGCCATTGCATCCATGCGGCTTCTTTTCTAAACAAATGTCCAAAGCAGAGAAAAATTATGATGTGGGTAATCGCGAACTCCTTGCTATTATTTTAGCACTTAAAGAGTGGAGACATTTGTTAGAAGGAACTAAGGATCCTATCCTCATTTTTACGGATCACAAGAACCTATCCTACCTTAGCGAAGCCAAAAGATTGTCTTCCAGGCAGGCTAGGTGGTCACTATTTTTGTCCCGTTTCAATTTTATTATCACCTATAGGCCAGGTGATCGCAACACTAAAGCAGACGCTCTGTCCAGACAGTTCGAAACTACTGACAAACAGGAGATTGATGTTACTCCTGTCATTCCCCCAGACAGGATAATAGCTACTACTATTTTGTCTATTTCCTCGTCCCTCTTGCAGGCCATACAAGCGAAACAAAGCATGGCACCTAGCGAGAGGCCTAATGATAAACTGTTCGTTGATGTTCCTGAGAGACGGGATATTATGTCATTATATCATGATACTAAGACTGCTGGACATCCTGGTATTTCCAAAACGGTGTCAGCTGTTTCTCGGTATTTTTGGTGGGATTCCTTACGAAAGGATGTCACTGACTATATAAGTGCTTGTACTACTTGTGCCTGTATGAAATCCTCCCGTAGAGTTCCTTGTGGGCTGTTGCATCCGTTACCCGTTCCCGAGAGACCTTGGTCTAACCTGTCCATGGATTTTATTGTTGAATTACCCCCTTCAAATGGTAACACAGTAATCCTGATGATAGTGGATCGGTTTTCCTAAGATGGCTCACTTCGTGTCTCTTCACAAGTTGCCCACATCCAAGGAACTGGCTCATATCTTCGCTAGAGAAGTATTTCGATTACATGGTATTCCCGTATCTATTGTATCCGATAGGGGTAGCCAATTTATTTCCAGGTTCTGGAGGGCCTTTTGTTCAGAAATGGGTATTTCTCTCTCATTTTCTTCCGCTTATCATCCCCAGTCTAATGGGGCTGCTGAACGTGCCAACCAGTCTCTGGAGCAATACCTCCGTTGTTTTGTGTCTCACCATCAGGACAATTGGTCTGACCTGCTTCCTTGGGCTGAATTTGCTCGGAATAACGCCACTCATGATTCTTCCGGCAAGACCCCTTTTTACGTTGTCTATGGCCAGCATCCCGTTGTTCTTCCGGCTGCATTCTCCTCACAGGGCATGCCAGTTCTGGATGAGCATTTGGCTGGTTTGCGTAATACTTGGGAGCAGGTTCAGCGTTCTTTGGTGGACTCTGCTACTCGCCAGAAGGCTCAGGCTGACAAGCATCGCAGAGCAGCTCCGTCCTATGTGGTGGGGGACAGGGTTTTGCTTTCCACGCGGAATATTCGTCTCCGGGTGCCTTCTATGAAATTGGCTCCCCGCTTCATTGGACCTTATCGTATTATACATAAGGTTAATCCTGTTTCTTATGCCTTAGGCCTGCCTAAGAATCTACGTATTCCTAATGTCTTTCACACCTCATTGTTGAAACCTTACGTACGCAACCGCTATACCCGGCATACTCCTCCTCCCCCTCCTATCTCAGTGGAGGGTCATGAGGAGTTCGAAGTGTCTGCTGTTCTTGACTCTCGTTTCCTTAGGGGTCGACTTCAGTACTTGGTACATTGGAAGGGTTATGGGCCTGAGGAGCACAGTTGGATTTCGGCTGATGCTGTTCATGCTCCCCGTCTTGTGCGCTCTTTCCATTCTCGTTTTCCTGCCAGGCCTGGTCCTACCCGCCCGGAGGGCGTGTCCTCAGGGGGGGGTACTGTAGCGTTACTTACCTTAACCGGGGGCCGGTCGCGGTCCTCTCTTCAAGCCGCGCGCGGTCCTGCGGCTGCACGAGCCGCGCGCGGCTCATCCGACTGCTTTAGATGGAAGGCGGGCAGTGACCGCGTGAAGCGGTCACGTGTCCCGCCTGAAACTAAGAGCGCGCCGCGAGTCTCGGGCGCGCTCTTAAAGAGACAGTGGGAGCCTAATTGCCAAAAGGCTCCCATTGGCTCCTGTCATACCACACTCCCTATACAATTACCTTTTGGGGGTGTGGAAGTGACAGGAGCCAATCACTTTCGTTTAAAAGCTATTTAAACTTACCTTTTTCCCTTAGCTCGTTGCCCTATCGTGGTTTCTGTTTCAGTTCCCTTTAGCGCTTGTGGTGTTCAGTTGTGTTTTCTCGTATTGACTTTGGCTTCGTATTCTGACTTCGTTTTCGCTTTATCCTTATCTGTACTGTTTGCCGGCTTGCTGTTTTCCGTGTACCAGACCCCGGCTTGTCCTAGTTTACGCTGTCTCTCTGTGCCCTTGACCTCGGTTTGTTCCTGGCTCTGTCTCCTCTCATATACGTCGAGTCCGGCCATTCTAAGGTCCGGTAGACGTATCTCTCCTCTGTATTGGCTTCTGTTTTGCTGGATCCTGCGTGTAGGGGTATATTCTCGTTACAGGAAGGAGAAGTGGTAAAAGACTTCAAGAAAGGAGAAAAAGAATAATGACTAACAACAATAACAAAAAATCCACTCGGGATGCCATCATTTTTAACTTGTTTCGTAAATGTTAAATGCCACAGTCTTCCCTAAAGGATTACATTATGCTCCAAAACATAAATTCAATCACTTCTCAGCATACATTGATATACGTTTGTTAGACAATCTACTTTAAAAATATGAAAAAACAAAATACACCTAAAAATACACAATGGAGAAAACAATCATAGGGTAATAGCATATATACAATAAGCCCCTACGATTAAAGGTTGCACTCACAAAATGACTGAGAATTCAGGCTTATCTCAAAAATTGTTGTTTCCACCAGACTCCAGTATAGTGTTCAGCAATTAAAGCCAGTCATGTGGAAAGAAAGTGATAAACTATAGTGCAATATGATTTAAAATTAAAAGTACACTTTATTGGTTACACTTACAATGTAGAAATTAAATGCAAGCTCATCAGTCAAATCCTTAGTCCCTCGTCCAGATGACAAAAACGCAATATCTGGGATAGTCAGGATCCAGGAACAAAACAAATATAAAACAGCAGCAAACACAATAAAATAAAATAAAGGCTAACTGAACGCGTTTCGTCCAGTTTAACTGGACTTCCTCAGGAGTTAAAATAAAGTGCTTTCTTGTGCATAAATAAAGTGTTATAACCCTACAATATAGAAAAAAAACGCTTAGAAGAAAACTTGCGGGAGATAAAACCCAACCCAATGTAAAAATGGTACCCATCAGACGTAAAAGAGTACTGCCTACAACAATGTACTACCAGACCTGCAAATCCACTGTGCACATGTCATATATCTCATAATGCGACCTGCGAGTTGCCAATGCACATCTAAAAGACTGTACCTTACAACGTATATGCGACTACACATAAACAAGGGGACCTGCGAGTCCATGTTAAAACGTTTTATGTTGAAAAATCGACAATGAAAACATATTTACAAAAAAGAAAAAACGCTTTTAAATACTTTAAAAATATAATATGTATGCTGCAGTAACCAGAAGAAACCAACAGTCAAAGCACTATTGAAATACCTAACCTAAGACACACCATAAATGAAAACCTAAATCAACATTTTATCCTTTATCTTTGAAATCCAGCTGCCTAGACACATTTAAAAGATTAGATAAAAAAAAAAAAAAATCAAAAACATTAAGTTTGATCAACCCAATCTTACAAGAAAAGAAACAGCTGCTATGGAGAACCTTAACAATGATGAGAGCATTGTGCTAAAACCTGAAGGGGAGGTTTTGTCATTTTACCAGTCAAGATGCACATGAGCGAAGCTTATGCACAACTCAACGACAATGTAGTATATCAAAAACTTTTATCAGACCCCAACCCTCATATAAAGAAAAGTTTAACTTAGTTTTTAGATATAGGAAAATAACTGCAGATTTTTAAAAAAATATATATTTATATTAATATTACCCACCCTACTATTCATGTTATTTAATTCTTAGCCAAATTCAACAAAAATAATTTACAAAAAACACACCTCCTGGCTGCCTGATAGTTTCTGACATTAATTCCATTTTATCTAGTCTTTTAGAATAACTTGATATTCTCCTCCAGCCATTCATGGAATCCTACTTAAAGGACAGTTTGAGCCTTTTACAGATTTTAAACAATTTTTAATGGGAAACTGATGACTTTTGCCATGATCTAGGGCAGGGGTAGGCAACCTTCAGCACTCCAGATGTTGTGAACTACATCTCCCACAATGCTCTTACAGCTATAATGATGGCAAAGCATCATGGGAGGTGTAGTCCAAAACATCTGCAGTGCCGAAGGTTGCCTTTCCCTGATCTAGGGCAACCTTTTGCACTCCAGATGTTGTGGACTGCATCCCCAATAATGCTCTTAAACCCATAATGCTGGCAAAGCATCATGGAAGGTGTAGTTCAAAACATCTGGAGTGCCTAAGGTTGCCTATGCCTGATCTAGGGTGTTCCTCCATCAAAATTTTCTTGAAAAAAACAGCACTATTCCTTCCTCACAAAGTAATTTTATTTTAGAGGGAATAAACATAATTTAAAAAAAAAAAATTATTTTGGTTCTTTGATGGCTTCTATTTGCAAAAAAAGGGAAGTAACATTGGAACAAATGTTGCCCCAAACTACACCAATCTTTCATGGTGGATTGGGAAGATTGAACTATCTGGTCGATTGCAAATGGAGGACAAATTTGGTTTTAAACTAAAAATATGTTGATGATCTAATTTTTATTTGGAGAGGCTCAGAAATTGATCTTAATGAATATTTTTAATTCTTAAACAAAAATAGCGAAGGCTTTAAAGGATCACTATAGGGTCAGGAACACAAACATGTATTCCTGACCCTATAGTGCTAACACCATATGGGTGGCTTGCCCCCTTATAAAAGTTTAAAACTCCTTATTTCCAGCGCCGCATGGCTCTGCTGGCTCCGGCCCCTTTGTGATATCATCAAAATGGCCAATTTTTAGCAAATCCAATGCTTTCCATTGGATTGGCTAAAATCGGGTATGGGGCCAAATGCAATTTTGGTCAATCAGGACCTCCTCATATAGATGCATCAATGCCTCTCTATTAGGAAAATTCAGCGTCTCCTTGCAGAGCGTGAGGACGCTGAAAGGCAGGGCTACTTACTGTGCAGCCCTGAGCCAGGAAGCCCCTCCAGTGACCATCTGAAGAGTGGCCGCTTGGAGGTGTCTCTAGGGGCAATGTAAACACTGCCTTTTCTCTGAAAAGGCAGTGTTTACATGAAAATGCCTGAAGGGAACTATTATACTCACCAGAACAACTACATTAAGATGTAGTTGTTCTGGTGACTATAGTGTCCCTTTAAATTAAGGTCATATTTTAGCTAAACTAACGCCAATTTTTTTATACATGTAGTTGCCACTATTCCCCATGGCTAAATGTCATGCCAAAAGACAGCTTATTCAATTAAAATGAAACTGCACTGATTTAGCAACTTATTCCACTCCAAACACTCCAAGCACCATAACCACTAGTTCTTACAATAGTGTTCCCCCCTTTGTAAGTAATAAAAAATATTTAGAGCACATTCACTTCTTACCTAGGTCCCATCGCAAGTCACTCTCTGCCTCCACGAAGATGTCAAACAGTTCTATAATAAACACACTACTTACCTGGGCACTCCTGGCACCTTAACCACTACAATGTGCTATACTATTATGGTGCTTAGAGGTTTCATTTAAGGGATCTAAGCACATATTTGTCAATGTATAGAGCATGCAAGTATTTATAAATGTTCCAGTTATAATTTATGTACTAATATATTATATTTTGTTTTACAGGGAACCTGATTTGGATTTCTCTGTTTGGATTTACTCTGTTTTTGTTTATAGTATTGCTTTATGCTCAAAAACCCTATCTTAAAATATACTTAAGCTACTGTAGGTGGTGAATGTGTCATATAAGAAGTAATGCCAAGAACTATTCAGAGTTTTATGCTTTATGATGTGAATGTTTTGTTTTAATATAATGTATACAAATAAATCTTTTTGAATAATTTTCATGCACGCATTGTTCTTGATGGGATTAATTCAAAGGTTTCCAATTGGTTAAGAATAAATTTATTATCAATATGCAGGAGAATCCGGAAGCAAGAACTGTGCCTGTGGGTGGAAATAGAGGTCCAGGTAAGTTGTGAAAAACATTCTAAAACAGTTTGATACATTACACCGCGATAGCACCACGGTGCTCTGGGCACTATATGCACTACAAAGGGCTGTAGTGATTTTCATGTTTAGAAAGTTCCTTTAATACCACTATGCTTACTGAAACAGCTCTCCCTCTGACATGGTCAAATGCAAGTGGTCTACATAAATCTGGAGCATTCTAAATACGCTTCAAGTACATTTTTCCAGTGATGCAGATGTAAAATAATAGGTGAAATTAGTATCTTTAGTAACAGTTTTTTATCAAATGAACAGAATTTTGGAACAAGCTTTCGGGAGATCCTCCCTTTTTCAAGTATAATCTATTTAATCATGGGATCTCAGGTATAGAAGATTTATGCTATTAAAATAAAAAAATAAATTCAAATATCTATGGTGCATTTTAGGCATTTCTAGTAGCGCACATATTTAAATTACTCCATAAATGTATACAATTTGCAAATGTTGAGATAGCATGGGGACTATTACATGATATATATATGAAATTTATTGAGGGGCCATCTTTTCATCTTTTTTAAATCTCTAAAATTCTCTTAACTGTATTCAGCAACATCTCATAAGTACAACAATATCCTATATGTTTAGCTTTGCAAAGTATCAATACTAATCCTAGCCCTGATCCTACACCAAACCCTAATCCAAAATTTAGCAATTATTCTAGTCCTAAATCTCACCCGAATCCTAACTTGAACTCTAATCCTAGCCTGAACCATAATCATAACCCTACTCCTAACATTAATTGTAATCCTAACGCTAGCAATTATTTTAGAATAACTCCCTATGCTGATATCAGAAAAAGAATAACCTTGCTGTCCCTAATCCTAATCTGAACCCTAATCTGAATACTAAACCTAATGTTTAACATAAACCTAATACTTAATATTATTCTAATCCTAAGAGTTCCCCATTGATAATATCACTACTGATACCAGCAAAGGGAATTATAAGATAAAACAGTAGAGAGCAGTATGTTGCAGCCATCTACTGGCTGTTCTCACTTTGAGCGCTACATAGAGTTAATTGATCAGCCCTGGGCCACCATATATGGAGCCAATATATATGGTGTGAGCAAGGGATTAACCGTGTTCACACCAAGTTGTAGCATTGGGGGAGAAAGATAGATTATTATTATTTTATTATTTACATAGCACCAGCAAATTCCGTAGCGCTGTACAATGGGTATAGATAGATAGATAGATTAGATAGACTTAAATGTCTGTTGTGAGGTAATATATCTGCTGATTTATACACAAATGGCCTTAATGCTGGTCATTGATTAAACAAGTTGTAATGTGCTCAGGAACTTCTGGCACAAAGTAACAGTTTGTGTCTTCCAAAAGGATCTGACATTAAGTTTACTATGCATACTTAAGTACTTGACAGCAGGACACAAGTTAACTCTTTAGGCCTTAGGATGTTGTAGATTGTTAAATTTATGGATTCCTGTATTGTAAGGGATAGTTCATGCTTGAAGGAGACATTTAGCAGGGCTGACAAAAAAAGAGAACATAATTGGTGGGTGGAAGCAGGGGCGTTTTAGCCGCGAGGCAAACAAGGCATTTGCCTTGGGCGGCATTTTTCAGGGGGCGGCAAAAAAAGCCGCCCCCCAAATGCCCAGGGCAAATGTCTAGTTAGCCTTGTGGCTAACAGACATGCTGGGTGGGCAGGCGGCTGGCGAGGGAGCTCTTCCCCTGAGCGGTCTGCTCAGCCCCTCGCGCGCTGCAGAGTGAGGCTGGGAGCCGGAATATGATGTCATATTCCGGCTCCCAGTCTCACTCTGAGGCGCGCGAGGGAGCTGTGCAGAGTGCTCAGGGGAAGAGCTCCCTCGCCAGCTGCCTGCCCGCCCAGCAGCCACTGGACCCCCAGGGAGATAGAGAACTCCTTCCCCCCCAGCATTCCCAAAGTTAAGGAGGCTGGAGGGGGGGGGGGGTTAAAAAAATACACGTGTTAATGTGAGTGAGTGTGTGTCTGTTAGTGTGTGTGTGTGTGTGTCTGTGAGTGAGTGTGTGTGTGTGAGTGTGTGTGTGTGTGTGTGTGTGTGTGTGTGTGTGTGTGTGAGTGTGTGTGTGTGTGTGTGTGTGTTAGTGAGTGTGTGTCTGTTAGTGTGTGTGTGTGTCTGTTAGTGTGTGTGTGTGTGTCTGTTAGTGAGTGTGTGTGTGTCTGTTAGTGTGTGTGTGTGTGTGTGTGTCTGTTAGTGTGTGAGTGAGTGTGTCTGTTAGTGAGTGAGTGTGTCTGTTAGTGAGTGTGTCTGTTAGTGAGTGAGTGTGTCTGTTAGTGTGTGTGTCTGTCTGTAAGTGAGTGAGTGTGTCTGTTAATGAGTGAGTCTGTTAGTGAGTGAGTGTGTCTGTTAGTGTGTGTGTCTGTCTGTTAGTGAGTAAGTGTGTCTGTTAGTGAGTGTGTGTGTCTGTTAGTGAGTGTGTGTGTCTGTCTGTTAGTGTGAGTGTGTTTGCCTGTTAGTGTGAGTGTGTGTGTCTGCTAGTGAGTGTGTGTGTGTCTGCTAGTGAGTGAGTGTGTTTGTGTGTGTCTGACTGTGTGTGTATGTTTGCCTGTGAGTGTGTGTGTCAGTGAGTGTGTGTGTGTCTGTTAGTGTGTGTCTGCTAGTGAGTGAGTGTGTCTGTGTGTGTCAGTGAGTTTGTGTTTCTGTTAGCTAATGTATGTGTATCTGTCAGTGAGTGTGTGTGTGTGTATGTGTGTGTGTGTGTATTTAGAAGGCGGGGGGAAGGGATGGGTGGGGGTCGCACATGCGTGGGGGGTGTTGGGGGGCGCCTAGGGCAGCACAAAACCAGGAAACACCACTGGGTGGAGGTGTGTAAAAATATTTATTCTTTAGACTTGCTAGGTACAGTTTGATTGTATTATAAGGGAGGTGAATTTAGAATGAAAGTAAGAGCTGAACACTACCATTGAGATATCAGTATTGGGTTAATTAAATACAGCTTGAAAGTTAAAACAGAGAATCTGGGCCCAAGCATAAATCTCTCTGGTATTGCTGGAAAAGGGGCATGGCCATGAGAGGAGCAGCCTACATAAGATTTCGGCAAAACCATGCTGGCTTTATGGAATGTGTAGGACATGTGAGGAAACTTTTGGTACTGTAACCAAGAAAATACATTTACATATTCATTCTTGTGATGTAATGAGAGGTATGAGGATGCACATGGTGAATGATCGAAGAGATTGGAAGCTGAAGCCTTTAAGAAATTAAAGACTGGCCTTGGCAAATTGCTCTCATGTATAAATGTAAATATGTACATATTTTTGCTTGTAATGTATCGTGTTCTTATTGTTGGAATCTGTGAGTATGTAATGTATTCATTCCTGGCCCATGCAATTCTGCCAACTGAGTTCATAGACAAACTTATTTGATACATTTTTGTAATTTTTTATTTTTATTTTTACAAATGAACATAAAAGAAAAGATAATATATATGTATATATTTTAAGAATGATATGACATGTAAATATATGTATATATGTCAATCTTTGTGCATATTAATACTTATATATTTTGCTGCTAGTTGATATAAGATTCTTTGATTAAATTGATTGAAATTAAGTAATTATCCTGTCTTATTAGTATCCAGTTTTAAATAATTCATTATATATTTTTATGGGATATTGAATCACTATCTGATTTTTGAAATCCATCATCTTTGCCTTATGTCTTAATTTTGATACTATTGAGATGATAATTAAATATTTGATATATGTTTAGGGACTTCTAGTATGCTGAAAGTACAATTATTATTTAGATTATTTTGTATTAAAAAAAATGCTTTTTAGAATATTGTACTTTCTGTATAATTCGAAAATGAGACTTCGCATTTGGAACACATTTAACAGAGCTTGATTGTAGGAGACTGAGGTGGAGCTGCAATCCTAAAATCCAATATTTCAGCTGTAATCCTCTGGAGCTGGAAGAAAGTGCTGGTCAGTGATTATAGCCCATTCCCCTAGTAACTGGATGACACACAGTTCTGGGAGTCCATTGTAGTTAGCACAGGCCCCTCCCAGGAATATCTAATTGTGTTAAAGACTGGTAAGCTAATTATCTCCCAGGAACAGAGAGGCAAACACAAAAACATAAAACATAAAAACACCCCAAAACATCATAAAAACATACAATAACCCCACAAATCATCCATCCACCAAAAGCCCTGATCTGAGGGCCCAAGTTCTCTAAACAATGCTCAGATCCATGCAGTGTAGGGGAAAAGCCACTGTGGTCCTATGCCCAAAAAAAGTTCCAGGGTGTTTGGTGCTTTTGCCGATCAACTTTCGCAATACGGGGTGCATCGCATGGCTCTCAGGGAGCATTTGTTCCCCTTAGTCTCAGGCACCTTCCCTCCAAAAAACCCTCTCCTGGTGGGTGGTTCAAAACCTCGGACCAAGTTGTCTGGGAACAAACAGTTCCATAACATTCGCGGCTAAGTCCTGCTGAGGTTACTGGGAACCCACGAAGTCCCATGGTGAAATTAGTTCCATAGCGGTTGCGGCTTAGGACCGCTGAGAACTATTCGTGGGTTTGGTTCATGCTAACGGCCGCCTGGGAGCTAGCGTTCGTTTCCATTCAAATAAAGGGAAAGTGCCGAAACAGGGGCACGCAGGGAAAACTGCTAATGGTGGCTGGGCAGGGTAACTCCCAAAAAGTTTCTCAGACCTGGACAATAGTCGGTGGGCAGGAAGACCAGCTTCCACATTCCTCCAGGAGTTCATGGGAAACGTACGTCAAAAGGGATGTTTGTCACAGAGGCTATTATGGAAAGGAGGCTAAGAGGAGTCAGGTGGAATGCACGGCCATACTATGGGATAAAGGAAATGTGCAAATTGATAATATGATGCATTCCAGAAGGTGGTGTGAAATGCAAGATCATATAAATCAAATTCGAGATTAAGGCTTGAACCATACACTTGCGAGGTGCTCACGAGGACGCAAGAAGGACGTCCCTACATAAACAGACTATTATACATTGATAGGCTGGGTTAAAAATGCAGATTTCAGCGTGAAAAAAGGGTTTAAAATGCACTCACTTAATACAGGACAGTCTAAGCCCCTGAGGAAGGTGCAAAAAAGCGTTGAAATGGGTTTTGATTATGTTATTGGTCTGTAGTATTCCAGTTACCTCAATGTAAGGTTTTTATGATTGTTTTAATAAATATTATTTGCACTATTTTAACTGGATTTGCATTTCTCCCGAACTGCTGGGGTCCAAGATACCCTCTTAATCCAGACAAAGCTTCTTATCACACTAAGGCTATATTACCTGAGCCAGTTATTCCTAACAGGCTCAAGGAAATGTGAGTGTGATACTTATTATACATTTTACATTTCAATATACATATAATTGCATACTATTGGATTGCTCTATGTGAGGTTTTGTCTCTTTTATTTGCAGTGGCACCTTAAAGTTTACTTATGGTACAGTAATATATATATAGATATATGTAACAGAGCTCCCTGTACCCCTGGCAGGGTACCTCCACCAAGGACTGCATCCTAGTTGGAAAAGGGGACAAACCGCAGCACTTCTGCCCACAGTCACTGTGGCTTGACTAGGGTCCTGGAACCGCTACCTCCTGGAGCCAAATGGGGAATTCTGGGTGGCACTGGATGACACTAAGTCCTGGGAGCTCTAGTCCTTACAAGGACTTTCCCCATTGAATCCTCCACACTGGAACAGTGATAAAAGAGTAGCTCTTTCCCCTCCCAGTAACCAGATGACACATAGTTCTGGGAGTACAAGTTGGAATTCTTTAATGGCAGCCACAACTGGCCTTATATGCATGTCCCCATGCAAGGGGCACTCCCCCCTGGACCTGAAAGTAAACCACAGTAAAAACAAATACACAATTACAGGTCCAGGACACTCCCATACAAAATCAGATAATCCCTCTTCTGTGCCTGGTAGATAATTGGATCAGAAACTGTACTAATCTTATCCAATTATCTCCAAGCACAGAAAAAAACATACTTTTTCCCAAACACCCCAAAAGTACCCTAAAAATACATAAAACCCCCACAAAGGTTGCATCCCCTGGTATCCCTGATGTGGTTCATCAACATATCCAAAAATCACCCAGATCAGTTCAAGGGTTCAGGAATTTCCTGGAAGCCATTTATTTGATGACCACATGCATGGTCCCATGCTCAAAACAGTTCCATAGAATCAGGGCTTGCAGTCGGTCTAGTTTGGTAGTTTAAAAAAGTGAACAAACTTCCGAATGCAATCCATAGTTCTACCCTGGAGCTTGTTCACCTTATTCAGACGAATGATTCCACCAAACAGTGCCTTCTTAAGTGTTATAAAACTGAACACAGGCGATCATTTAAGTCCAGCTGTATTCGGGAGTTTCAGTCTCCGAAAATAGTTCCATAAAATCGACGACCAACCACTGCTGCCTGTGTTCATGCGGACAAGATGTCCGCCACCTCGTGGTCGTCCATAGGAATTGCGGCCTCCCAGAACAACACTTGGAACACTGAGGTGGAAATTGTTACAAAGTAGCAATTAGGCTTAACAAGCTCCAGGGTGGTCTCCGGTCTAATTACATGAACTAAGACTTTTATATCACAGTTTACAGTGTACATAGTCTGTAGGCAGGAGGCAGGAGGCAGGCAAGCAGGCTCCTCCAGGAACTTGTTGCAAACTCACTTAAAAAGGGGAGTTTGTCACTAGATATATACTTGGAACACACATAAGTGGTGTATATCACACTGAGTGAAACATTTTGTTTGAAGTGTATATACATTTGAATATACTGCTGTGTGGTTATATCGCTGTTCACTACCTGTTATTTATTTTCTTTATGAAATACTCATTTTCGGGGTGGCGGTGAAAGTGCTGTTTTAAGTACCTCATTAAAATACAAAGTAGTATAACATTTAAAAAAGATTCTAGATGTATATTGTAAATGTCATGTTATTTTTTTTTGTAGCTGACAGTAATATTTACTACTTAAGAAAAGCTAAACAAAACAAAAATATCAAATATGTGTACAATATGTGACTGATAATAATCTACCATTTTGAGGTTTGCCCTTTTTAAGAACCCTGATAAAATCTGCAAAATGTTGCATGTTCGAGAGTGAAATATATTGGTTAAAAATGCTACCAACACTCCCAATTGAGTCCTATGATAATAAGTAAGCATACACTGTTGAAATGGTACATGTTTTGTCCTATCAGAGGAAGTCCCAATTAAGTTACTGGTAATGCAAAGATAATTACTGTATTACGAGATTACTTTAAAAAAAACATAGTTTTAAAACAAAATATATAGAGGATGGCACTTTTGCATTATGTATCAATTTAGATGCAGTAAGTTATCTATGCATGGATTAGTCCCCATAGAATTTAAAGAGCCATTACTTTTACATATCTGAAAGGAATACATTTTCTCAAAGTGAAACATTATTTAATAAAACTGGCTTGCACAATACTTTACTCAACTGATTTGACCAGCAGCACTGGTGTAATATGTAGTAATCTATTTTAGTTTTATGCTATACAAATACCTATGAGACATGTGTTGTTATGTCAGTAGTATATTGAAATATAGGTGTTGGGATTAGCAGAATGATTTTCAAGATTCTGAGAAATTAGAGTTAACAGATGTTTAAAACAGTGATGGAAAAGTCTGAGACCATGCAGTAGTGATTTTTAGATTAATGTGGCTGTTACGTAACTTAGCAAGCATCATTTAATAAGAAAGCCATTAAACATTAGAAGAACCGAGAGTCTTCTTGAATGATATACTTCACAGTATCAGGGTTACTTGCTGTACTGGGAATTCTCTGTTTGGTTAATAGGTCACTATCTATCTGTCAAACATGATATTTATCTCTTCATTTCTCTTCAGGCTTTACAAGATGGGTAATGTTTACGTTAAAAAAATAAATTACAAAAAAAATGTAAAAAGAGAGAGATTTTGTTGTACTCAGAAGATGGAGCTGAGTAGTTTGGGGGATTTTACTACAATAGCGCACATAAGATTTAAAACATATGCAATAAATACATAATGTGCGTGTAAAGATATAAATCACAAATGTATCCAATGTTATGTGTGTGAAATGAAATGCATACAATGTAAAACATAATTTACCAAAGACAGGTTACAATATAGGCAATGAGGTATCAAAGTACTCCTATGTAAAAAGATTCCTGGTGGGGGGACACTTAGAGAAACTTCTTCTCATTGCAGTCACCCATCCTCAAACCATTTCTGAACAATTTACATTGTGGCATTATCCTGCTGAAATAGGCCATTGCAATCAGGGGACACCAGTGCCATGAAGTGGTGTCAGGATTTCTGCCTGCTTACTTTCCTGCTCAGCTCCAGCTGCCTCGATTCCCTCCAGCATTCAATCTGAAACAACCGAATTCGGCATTTGCCGAACCGAACGCGGAATTCGGAAGACCAAATTCGGTGCATATAAATGACATCAGAGGTCAGATTAGGGAGGTCAAGTACCTTCCACGAATAGTGGTCAATTCCAAGTGGAATTGGTCCAATCAGAAGTAAGTGATGCCTATTTATACTTACGTCTCCCATTCCTTGTTGCCCTGTTGTGGTTTTTGGTAGCCCAATAGTGAGTTCCTCTTATGATATTCTGGTGATATTTTCTGGCTTTTGTCTTACATTTATCCTGTCTTCTGTACTCCCTTGACCTCAGCTTGTTTATACAATATTCATGTCTTTACTCCTTTTGACTTCTGCTAGTTATACTGACTGTTTGTGTTTGTTTACCCGGCCATTCTAAGGACCGGTATATGGATTGTATAGTGATCCAGTCTGTGTGTTCAGATTCCAGCATATACTGACAAGAGGTGTATGTGGTCTGCAACAATCTCTAGGTAGGTAGATGTCAAATTAACATCTACATGAATGCCAGGACCAAAATTTCCCAGCAGAACATTGCCTAAAGCATAACAGTGCCTCTGCCAGCTTGCCATCTATATAGTGCATACTGCTGTCATCACTTCCCCAGGTAAACAACGCACATGCATCTGGACATCCACCTGATCTAAAAAAAAAATGTGATTCATCAGACCAGGTAAATTTCTTCTATTGCTTCATGGTCCAGTTCTGATGCTTACGTCCACATTAAAGATGCTTTTGGAGGTTGACAGTGGATATTCTGACTGGCCTGCGGCTACACAACAAACTACAATGCACTGTGTGTTCTAACGCCTTTCTATCATGGTCAGCATTATGTTTTTCAATAATTTAAGCTACAGTAGCTCTTATATGTGTTCAGACAAGACAGGCTAGAGGTACATTAAACATCAAAGAGTCTAGAACACTTATGACACCGGTTTACAGGTTCTCCTTCCTTGCACTATTTTTGGTAGGTGCTAACCACTGCATACCGGGAACACCCCACAAGACTTGCCATTTTGGAGATGCTCTGTGTAATGCCACCCCCAGGCAAAAAAGGGTTAAACCGCCGTTTAGCAGATCTTACCTTCCAGAGACACAGGCACAGCTACTGCAGAACACCAATCCGCTGAACAGGAAACCATACGAATGCTGTAAACAGCCAAATAGGAAAAAACATACGAATAGGTTTACACTCCTAGCAGTCAAACTGGAACAGCATACAGTAAATCCCCCCAAGAACGAGACAAAGCTCTGTGTTGAGGGTCAAGCAGTGAACAGACAGAGCTGTGGGTTTATTGTTCTTATGTACACATTCTTACACATTACTACCACCCACAGGGTTTTGGAACACAACCAATAAACACATACAATACACTCAGACACTCCCACACAAAATCCTCCCCTCTGCCTGTGATTCAATTAGCTTACACAATGGGTAATGTAATTATCACAAGCAGAGAAATAAAAATTTTCCGCATTATTCAAAACAGGGGAAAATCAAGCGTTTCAACGTGGGGCCATAGTCTAAAGGCAACAGGCGAGCAACCAGGCTTCTCCAATGCAACACTCTGATCCCCTGTTAACTGGTCACCACTATTTGGCCCTTGATCTTTTGCCCATATTTACTGTTTCCAAAACATGAAATTCAAGAACTGACTGTTTACTTGCTGCCTTTTATATCCCATGCCTCAGCAAGTGCCTTTGTAAAAATGTTACAATGTTATTCACTTCACCTGTCAGTGGATTTTTATCTTCTGGCTTAATATTTGCCAAACAAATGAGCCACAGCAAATAGCCCTCCAATGCTGTTGTGTTGAGTTTCAACATGAGTGAAGATGAGGATGCAAATCTTTTAGGCTGCCTGGTTGTAGGTGGATCAACCACTAAGGGGCAGAGTTTGGTGGTCTGCTTAGATAATTTACACATTTCTAACAGAAGTATTTAATTCTGTAAAGTAATTGCAAGAAACTTTTTGGTCAGGTGATTTTAGTTGGTCACAATGTCAAAATGGTGAAGAACAGTGGCAGGTTTGGATAAACATTAGTGATGTTATTGCTAGAGGTCAAACCACTGTACTTGTGGCCCAGATCCATTACCCAAAAATAGGTATTGGTCCGGCTTCTCTATACAATGAAAATAAATTGAACATACCACATCTTTGCATGAGCTGAAATCAAGTAGGAATTACAGAAAGTTTTGGGCTTCTTGGAAAGCTTAGAGTCCCTAATTTCCAGAATGATTATATATCTTCTCAAGAAATAGTTCTCCACTAAGTCTTGTAAGGCAATCAACCATGACATATGCCTTGATTTAATGTTTTTGATAAGCTTTTCAAATGGTCACAATCTGTTAGAAAAACTTTTCAAATGACTTATCTACAGAAATCACCATTAAAGTTGATGGTAATTTTTGTATGTAAACCATCTGAAAAGTTTTTCTAACAGATTGTGAGCTCGATTTAATTATTTCAAATCATTATTGGTAAATAAATAAATAAATGCATATGCCAAATGATTTCGCTATAAAAAAAAAATATACCATATACATTAATGGTGACTTCCCTAGATAAATCATTTGAAAAGTTTTTCCTAATAGATTGGACTTATTATAAACTGATTCAAATGAATAAAATCATGGCCTGCGATCAATTGAAAAGATTTTCCAAAAATATCAAATCAAGACCATGTGAAGAGAGCATTTTATCTGTGAACCACATCTTTCTGGAAACTTCTATCTATCCCGAGGGTTGTTACATTCTCTGCAAGCCTGCTGTGGGTGAATTTCAAAGAAAGGCGAGAGGCAGATAAGGTTTCTAGAGTGTAGAGATTAAAGACTTTGTTGCTTTAAGCAAATGCTTCATCCATTTTTCTTTCTATTTGGAAGTTAAACAAATGTTATGAACTTCCTTTCAAAAGCGAACAATCCATGGGCATTCCCAAAAGACATTAGAACACTGGAACATTATGTACATAAGAGTAAATGTTAACTTTCCACAAGGACACATTTTAAATAACCCCAAACTTCAGAGCACACTCTTTAATGCATTTAAAGTGGCACTGTTACCATTTTGGAACTTTGCAAAAGATCCTGCCAGTGACATTGCCTCTGGGAGTCGGATGCCCGATGGAGGGGAGAGGGAAAGTTGAGCTCTACTTACCTGAACCTGTCCCTACAGGGGCTACCATCTTCTTCCAGCAAGTCTTCTTCTGCTCCTAGGGCTTCAGAGCCAGGTTTTGACGTCAAGGCTGTACTCTCGCACATGCGCAAGAGTACAACATTGAGATTTATGAATGACCCTGTGAGATCCTCCATAGAAAAGCCAATTCCCTGCAGTTATCACTGGTGATGGCTTGGGTGATTGACACTTGTAGACATCATTAGCTCCGTCCAGTGTCTAGAAGTGGCAAGCGTAGGAAGTATACAGAGATATACTTTGTCTCAGTATATCTCTTGATTGGGTTGGAATTTTAGTGAAAAGCCAACCCAGTCATTATAAGAACTTCATAAATATTCTATATTTGCGATATACTAATTTTCGGGGGGATGTGACAATGCTTCTTTATTTATGTATTTATTATCGCCATTTATATAGCGCCAACAGATTCCGCAGTGCTATAAGTACCTAATTAAAAATACAAAGTAACATAAAGACATAACAAACTTGCTAGATGTATATTTTACATGTCATCTTTACTGTTTTTTTTTTTTTTTAGCTGACAGTGAAATAAGCTGCCTAAGTTAAAAAGCAAATGCCAAACATACGTACAATATGTGCATGATAATAATCTACCATTTTGAGGTTTGCACTTCTTAAGAACCCTGATAAAATCTCCCAAACGTTGCATTATATAGTAAAATATTTTATTTGATAACAGAAGAGCTAGTTCTCTGTTACAAATACCATCAACACTCCCAATTCAGTCTCATAATAATCAAACATACATACTGCTAAGAAGGTAAGTCCTTTGTATGATTGAATTGATAATTGATTGATATGATTGTTATGATCCCAATTAGGCTATTTTGCTATTTTGTATTGACATTCTTTGCAAGATAATTATGCACATTAATGCACCTTTATATTACGCATCGATTTACTTGCATTATAAATATTTGCAAGTTGTCAAAGCATGGAATAGTCCACTATTAATGATAGTTACGCCAGAACTTTTACAAATCTTAAAGGAATACCTTTTCTCAAAGTGAAACATTACTTGTAATTAAACTGGCTTGCACAAATTTTAATGCAACATTGGTTGATATGCTAGCAGCACTGGTGTACTATGTAGTGATCTATTGTAGTTTTATTAAGATGATATATATATATACCAATGGAAAATGTGTTGATTGTCAAATAAGTTTCACATTGAAATATGGGTATTGGGATTAGCGGAACGATTTGCAAGATTTTGAGAGAGTAGAGTCAACAAATGCTTAAAACAGTAAGAGTGTGACAAAGTCTGAAACTACGCAATAGTGCTTTCTAAACTGATGTGGCTGCTACTTAACATAGCAAGCAGCTTTTAATAAGAAGGAATATGGGAAGAATCAAGAGTCTTCTTTGTTAGTATGCTCCAAAGTATCAGGATTACTTGCTGTACTGCGAACTGTGCAGAATTGACCAAGATGCTTTGCAAATTGTAAGGTTAATAGACCATTATCTATCTCCCAAACATGATATGTATCTCTTCATTACTCTTCAGGGTTTGCCAGATCAGTAATGTTTACTTTAAATAAAAAAATTAAAAAAAGAGAGCATGAGAGCAAGCAAGAGAGATTTTGTTGTATTCAGAGTATTGTTATACTCAGGAGATGTAGCAAAGTGCAGTTTTGGGGATTTTATTACAGTAGCTCATATACGAACTAAAACATGTAATAAAAGTACAAAGTGCATGAAAAAAATATATAAATTAAAAAATAATCCAATGTTGTGTGTCTGAAAAACAATACATACAATGTAACAACATAATTTAACAAAGACAAGTTACAATATAGGCAAATGAAAAGTCCATGTACCACTAGGTAACTACCCCTAGAGTGTTTACTTTATAAATATATATATACTTTTATGTGTCAATTTTAGTTTCTGTAAGTACTATTAAACTTTAAAGTCAAACATATAAACGTATAAAAAAAATGTAAACTTTCAAGTGGTATGGTGTTCCTTGCCATGTGTGACAAATTAATAACAAAAACAGACTGAAAATCTTGTACGTATGATATACTTTTTTTTTTTTAAAAAGGCACACATTAATGTAAGTGTTTGAAAACACTTGAGCTGCACTGTTTGTATATTTATAGTATTATATAAAGTCAGAAGTTATATGTTTATATATTGCATCAAATCCCTCTCTGTCCCTTAACAAAATGCCATATAATGTGTGAGCTCAATAAACAAGAAATATCACAATTATGGTTGAACACACACATAGCAAATATATCAAAATAGCTTGGGTTCTTAAGTAGAAAACGTAACCAAAATTAACCTGTGTCAGTAAAGGGTTAAGAAGTCTGAGCTGATACCGTCAGTTGCCCGGATATATTGTATAGCTTGTAATTTACTAACATTGGTAAATTGCCCCGGATTAGACATGTCATCTTTATATGATATACAAGAGACAATGAATCAAGAATTTAATTTCAAACAGTTTTATACCATGCTTATGATCATTTAATAAACCAATACTGGCCATGCAATCACTCTTTAGTTTTAACCCCTTAAGGACGAAGACAATTGAACAAAAGTTCTGACCAAACCAAAACTATATGTCTGTTTAACTATAATTTACCTCTTTCATATTACATGAACCAACATACTTATAATACATTTGTTGAGAAGAAATAGGGCTTTCATTTCACATCAAATATTTAACATATGAAACATCCTGTAACATGAATAAAATCTAAAATAAAGTGTGAGAAATTAAGATTTTGATTCTGCATGGCATTTTAACTGTGCATGTCATAATTCTGTCAGCTTTTGCAATAAAACACACATATTAGGGCATTCAAAATGGAGTATGCCATCTTTTTAACCCCTTAAGGACACATGACATGTGTGGCATGTCATGATTCCCTTTTATTCCAGAAGTTTGGTCCTTAAGGGGTTAAGTAGCCACTTGGTCACAATCCCTGGCCAAAGTTAATGTTCATATATCTTTTTTTGTTCTTGCATTCTTCACACAAAAACTAGACTTTCACTGATGATATCATTATCATTAAAATTTTATTGCTCTATAAAATTAATATTTGTGTTCAGAGATATCTCATGAGTAGAACAGTACCCGTACAGTTTTATGGTATTTTGGAAAGTTAAATGGTCAAGTATAGGCAGTGGTGTATCCTGGTTTTGTGCTGCCCTAGTATAGTGTATAGTTCTTAAAATTAAATAAATACAAACTCAGGTGAACAACAACACATGACATATTACACATTACAATTTATTTGAAAAAAAAATAAAGTTAAAATGGAGAAGCCCCGTGTGAAAGAAAACGTACACCTGGCTGATGTCTTTCCACCTTGGCATTATGTTAACATAACATATGCATAAACCCCCCCCCCCCAAATACTCGGGACACCTTTATTTGGGAAAATTATCACAGCTTTAATAATATATTAATAATACTTAAAATATTATAAGGTCATTGTCACATATTAACATAACATATCAACCATAAGTCCTTTAACAATACTACCCAAAACAATGGCACACATCACAATACGTAAAACCACATTATAACATATAATTAACATATAAACATAACTATTGCCACCAAGGGCATGATTTTCAGCTTTCTTCCATGTAGGGGTATAGCAAGATACACCCTACACACCTTACACATACCAGGTTCGGAGCTACCAATGCGCTCGAACCTTCCAAACCTAACTGTTCTTAGTGAACCAAACTATTTTACATCAGGACAAACAACTTATACCCCAACTTCTATAACCCAACTTCTCTATCCATCCCCCGCCGGGGGGGTGGGGGGGGGGAGGGGGAGCAGTTAGTGTGCAGGGCCAGATTAAGAGCCCATTCAGCCTGGACTTGACAATTATGATGGACCTAATTACAGAAACCTATCGACCAAAAACACTAAAACAATCATACCTCCCAAGCGTCGTGTATCTGATGGAGATGGTGTTGGAGGGAAGGGATGCAGCTATACGAAAACACATACTCTATGCTAATCTCTCTCTAATTTATGCTTTTATCTTTTAAGTAAATCCATACCCCCTAATATCAGTGTCCAGTGAAGCAGGAAGTCAATGGGCAGGGTAAAAGGGTGGGACACTGACGCAAATCACATGACCAGACCTGCCAAAAGGGGTGAACATGCCCAAAAAGGGGGCATGTTTGTCCAAAGAATTGGAAGGCCAGCCTGGCATGAATGCATGTCAGGCTGCCTGCCAATCATGCAGGTTGTCCAACTAAGGGCTATGCAGGCAGCCCCTTAAGCTTGACATAAATGCATCAAATGATGCGCCTACTCCACGCTTTCTAAGGACTGTCTACTAGCACTCACAAGGACAGAGTAAAGGTGTAGGTAGTGAATGTAGAAGAAAAGGCACATGCCACAGTGTTAGAGAAACCAAAGTCTGCATTACCTTAACTAATTTTATTGTCAGCCAGTCGACACAAGTTTTGTTGCCATACATCCCTCTTAAGCTTCCAAACTTAAAGGGACACTATAGTCACCAGAACAACTACAGCTTATTGTATTTGTTCTGGTAAGTGGAATCATTCTGTTCAGGCTTTTTGCATTATACACTGTCTTTTCAGAGAAAATAACTCCACTAGCCACTCCTTGGATGGATGCTAGAGGTGCTTCCTGGGACAGTACTGCCTAGTGTGCAGCACTGCCACTCAGTGTCTCCATCCTCTGCATGCAGACACTGAACTTTCCTCATAGAGATGCATTGATTCAATTTATCTTTATGAGGAGATGCTGATTGGCAAGAACGATGTTTGACTTGTGCTGGCTCTGCCCCTCATCTTCGTAGTTGACAGTCTCAGACAATCTTATGGGGAAGCATTGTAATTTGCCCAGACCACCACTTCTGATGATGTCAGTTCAGAGGCAGAGCCAGCATCTGCAGACTTGAATACAAGTAAGGTTTTACTATATTTAGGGAGGCAAGAGGTGGTCAGGGGGACTAGATGGTGGTTTTTACATAATAGGGTCAGAAATACATGATTGTGTTCCTGACCCTATAGTGTTCCTTTAAGCTGGCAGAAGAGTAGTTAGGGTTGCCACCTTTCTTGGAAAAAAAATACAAGCCTTAATCATTTGTATAATTAATTAGTTATGCATGACATCACATGATGTAAATCACAAGGAGTGACATGAGAAAATTCTGTAAAATCACCAACAAACTACTCACAGTTTGATTTTGCTGTATAGATTAATTGCTCCCATTGTCTCCCTGTCTCCCAGTGTCTCAGTCTCTCAAGTCACCCAGTGTCTCAGTGTCTATATGTATCACAGTGTCAGTGTCCCCATGTCTCCCAGTCCCATAGTCTCCCAGTGTCCCCATTTCTCCCAGTGTCCCCATACCTCAGTGTGTCCCCATGTCACTAGGATACTAGGGGACACAGTGAGACATGGGGGCACTGAGACACTTGGGGACACTGGGAGACATGGGGCCACTTGTGAATACAGACATGGGGACACTGGGAGACATGGGGACACTGGGAGAAATGGGGACACTGAGACACTAGGGACACAGAGATATGGGGACACGGACACTGGGAGACATGGGGACACTGAAACATTTGGGGACACTAAGACACTAGGGACATTGAGAGACATGGGAACACAGCCACTGGGAGACTAGGGGGACACATGGAGACTAGGGGACACTGGGAGACATGGGGACACTGAGACACTAGGGACACTTGTGGACATATACATGGGGACACTGGGAGACATTGGGACACAGACATTTGGGGACACTGGGAGACATGGGGACACTGAGGACACTGGCTGGGAGACATGGGGACACTGGGATACATGGGGACTCTGAGTCACTAGGGACACTGGGAGACATGGGGACTCAGACACTTTGAGACTAGGGGAAACTGGGATCCATGTGGACACTGAGCCACTAGGCACACTGGCTGGGGGACATGGGGACACTGGGAGACATGGGACACTGTGTCCCTACTGTCTCCATGTCTCAGTGTCTCCCAATGTCCCTATATCTCTCAGCATCCCCATGTCTCACAGTGTCTCCTAGTGTCTGTGTCCCCATGTTTTCCAGTGTCCACAAGTATCTCAGTGTCCCCAGGTCTCCCAGTGTCCCCTAGTGTCTGTGTCCCCATGTGTTCCCTAGTGTCTCAGTGTCCCAATGTCTCCCTGCTGCCTTTCACCCCATCCCTCACTTACCTGAGCTGCTGTCTGGACTCTCTGTGCTGTGTAGCTGCTCCCCCATGGATCAGTGAGTAGTAGAGAGAGGCAGTAACTGTAACTTCCTATCCCTGCCTCTCTCCACACACACACTGGCCGGTGCTGGTATTGCAGAGTAATCTCTGTTTTATACTGAGAAAAATACCTGCATTTGTATTGCCGTTATTACTGCAATACCTGCACAGCCAGGCATCCTCAAACACCGGCTGTGCCAGTAAAATACCAGGTGGCAAACCTAAGAGTAGGGTGTGAAAAAAAAAGGGCCTTTTCCCTGGGCCTGGGCCTGGAGCTGCAGCTCCATCAGCCCCTATGTTAATCCAGCTCTGTAAGGGGGTACTTAGTTTTTCATGTATAGCTTCTCCATTTTGGCTTCATTTGTATTAAATAAATAAACTGAAGCAATGTTGTAAAGAAGAGTAGGCCAAAATTCCTCCACAATGATGTGAGAGATTGATAAAGTTATACAGAAAACAATTGCTTCAAGTTATATCTGCTGAAAGTGGCTCTACAAGCTATTGAATCATAAGGTGTACTACTAGTTTTTTTTTACACATGACTTCTCAATTTTAGCTTTATTTTTGTTAAATAAATCATGATAGAGTATAATATTTCATGTGGTGTTTATCAGGTTGTTGATTGTGGCCTGTGGAATGTTGGTTGCTGGATATTGTGCAAACCTGGTGGCCAACTACAAGAAATGTCTGATTTCTGTGCTTGCCAACAAGGGCTTTGCCACCAAGTACTAAGCCAAAGGGGTCAAATACTTATTTCACTTACTTACATGTAAATCAATGTATAACTTTTTTGACATGCGTTTTTCTGTTGCATTTTCATTGATTACAGTAATATATATTTATATATAATTTATTTATTTATTTCCCTCCAGGGTTAACAATGTTTTTTTCTGGGAAGATTTTCATGTTTACTTGTTTAATAGCATGTAAGTATCATAGATCAATTTGTTTTGTGAGATTTTAGTGACATAATTTAGTGACATTATTCTTTGAAAAAATATGGGTTGCAAGTGTGATATGAAAATTAAGAAAAACCTCCATCCAAATTTGCTCTGAGAGGCTTAATACTGTCATAATCAGAGTGGAAACCCTAATCAGTTACTACTATAAAAGTAAATTGAGGGTCTCTTATTTCTGAAATAACTGTAGAGTAACTGACATCAATAACTTAGAAACAAGGTGAGCTAAAATACAAAATGAAAACCAAACTATAGCGTATCCACAGAACTCCTCTCCTTTATTAATCCTCCATAATGGGGAAAAATGAAAACAAGCAAGGGCCCTTAAGGGACACTGTAGTAATTATAAGTATTGCATCTCATTGAATTGGTTATAGTTCCTGGATTCCCCTGGCCTATCCCTCCATTTAATGTTAAACCAACAGTTTAAAAAGCAGTTTAACACTAAATAAGGATCCATAACCACCCACAACCAAGAGTTTACTGGTGGTATGGCTAATGCAGAGATTACACACTTCCTTGTAGTCATACCCATTCACACTGACAATGGAAACTTTGGTAGGCTACAAGCAGTTTACTGACACTCTCAGCCAATCACAGCTGCCCATTGCTGCTCAGGCTAATACTTCCTCATTAGCCCAAGCAGCACAGAAAGGATGGACTTCTTGGGACATTTTTGGGATTAAAACTTAACAACCTTCAAATCTGTTTAACACTGAATGTTAGGTGCAGAACCAGGGGATTCCAGACACTGTAACCAGTGCAATATAGATTAAAGAACAGTGCACAAATAAAAATACAGCTTTAAATTTTTTAAGGCTACTTAAAATCACCTATCTCAGCAAACAAATATGCAGTATGGCCATATCGTGCTAAGCCCACCACTACTTCACAGTACCCCAATATCGGTGGGTCCTACACTAATTGTAATGTGGGAATTAAATAGTGCTAGTGCTAAATGAGCTAAAGTATATTTAAATAATCCGTTGTGAGAGCATTGTGAAAATATATAATATATATAAGCGGTGGTTTATTTTGGATCTGTGCTGCTCTAAACATGATGAAACTTAAGCACCCCTAATTTAAATTTGCCTCACCCCTTCCTGTCAAGGCTACACTTCTTCCTGTTAAAGACTAACGCACACTTTGACTGACAGACACACACCCTCAGGTACACTGACACACACACACTCACTGATTTGACACAATCTGACACACACACACAATCACTGACGCACTCACAGACACACACACTCACTGACAGACGTGCTCACTCATGACACACACACATTGACATACAAACAGACACACACACACACACAATCACTCAGACACACACACACTCACTGATTTGACACAATTTGACACACACACACACAATCACTGATGCACTCACAGACACACACACTCACAGCCAGGCGTGCACACTCACTGACATACACACAATGACGCAGACACACAAACCCACATTCACTGACAGACACACACATGCACACACTCATGACACACACACATTGACATACAAACAGACACACACACACACACACACACACTCACTGATTTGATATAATCTGACACACACACAATCACATTGACTCACTCACTCACTCACTCACTCACAGACACACACACACACACTTACAGACAGATGCGCACACTCACTGACACACACCATGACTCAGACACACACAAACCCACATTCACTGACAGACACACACACGCACATAGTCATGAGACACACTGACAGACATACACACAGACACACAGTGACATACACACACACCCATTCACTGACAGACACACACACTCACTGACATACACTGACAGACATACACACATTAACTGACAGACACACACTGAAAGACACACACACACACACACACACACACACACAATCACTCAGACATACAGACTTTCTCACAGACACACACTGACAGACATACATACACACACACTCACCCACCCAGACACACACACTGACAGACATACACATATTCACTGACAGGCGCACACACTCACAGACACACACTGACAAACATACACATATTCACTGACAGACACACACACACACACACACACAGAAACACACTGAAAGATACACACACGTTCACTGACAGACACACACACTCACAGACACAAACTGACAGATATACACACAGAGACTCACTGACAGACACACACACTGGAAGACATTCACACACACTGACAGCCACACACACACTCACACATACACACACACACACACACACACATTCACTGATAGACAGACACATACACACATTTAACCCCAACTTTCACAGATTATTGTTATTTTTTAATTTTAATTCAAATCCACCCAGCCTCCCTACTTTTGGGAGAGTTGGGTGGATTTTTTACCTGAGGTCCAGTGGGGTTGCTGGCCGAGCTGTGTGGGCTGCTGGGCAGGAAGGCAGGCGGGCATGCAGCAGGCAGGTGGGCGCACTAAGCTGGCAGCAAGGGAACTGTGGTCTTCTTGCTCAGCTCCCTCGCGCGCCGCAGAGTGATGCTGGGAGCCGGGGATAAGTCATATTCCAGCTCTTGGCGTCACTGCGAGGAGCTGAGCAGGGAGAGCTCACAAATCAGCGCTCCCTTGACACCCTGGGCCCCCCTGGAAAGTGCCACCCAAGGAAAATGCCTTGTTAGCCCCGCAGAAAATACATTGCTGTATATAAGCCCAATGGAGCAGGACTTTGCTCATTATCAAAGAGATCAGCTTACACTCTCAACCAATGAGCTGATTTTTCAGAGCAGGGTTTGGCTCAGGAGCTCTAGCTTTTGATTCTGGCTGCAGGGAGGCAGTGTGTGTGTGTTACTAAACATTTTGCATTGGGGTGCCATGGCTGACTGCAGTGGTTATGGTGCTTGGAGTTTTCCTTTAAGTGAGCATTCTAAACAAATCACAAGCTAAACATAAGCCCATGATAAGATCAATGAGCTCATAAAATACAACTTAATAGTCCCAGTCTGCACTTGAGAAGGCTCACAGTCAAAGCAAAACAAAGTAGATATTCGACCTCGGTCTCCTTTGGACAATATGGTATTTTGTACATTTCACATCCAGTATAAAATTTTAATTATTATACTCATCATAATTAGAATCTATATTAAAAAGTATACATATAAACTGCGTGGAGGGGAGCTGGAGAGATATAGCGACTGGAGTTAGTTCACATCTGTATGGCACTTTTTCAACAGCTCCTACTTGCCTGAGAAGAGCTTTCTGCAATTTAATTTGCTATTTTTAAAAAATTAAATAAATATAATGTATATATATATATATATATATATATATATATATATAAATGATTTACCTATTTACTTATAATACTTTAAAAAAAAGAATATATCTAGCTGCAGGCCAGTCTTTATCTAGCAGTGTTTTACAAGCACTTCATTATCAGCACATCTAGTGCGTCCCAATGTCCACAGGATATTTAATGTGTTCTATAACATTACTGTGTAGATGCATCCATGTTAATGTACTTCATTAAATATGTTATTTAGGTTTTCTTATTGCCATAAGTGGAATAATAACCAGTTTCTTCATTGTATTTTTAGTTGTCTTTGCTATTAAATATAGGAAAAAGTATGCAAGAGAAAATGAAGCATATATTCTAGAATGCCCACTGAATCCAACAAACACCAATGAAACAATCACATGGTCACAATATAATGAGAGCATTTCAGCCAATATACAAAGACGAGTACATGCAACTGGAAAATACCTTTTTTTTCTGCCAGCAGTTATGAATGATACAGGGTTGTACACATGTACTATACAGTAAGTGCTCAACCTAACACCTCCTTATAATATCTAGCGTACAACAGCAAACCTGTTTGTCTTACTCAATTCTCTCTTTCACGCAATCCTCTTTTTTGTTCATTTGTTCTTTATTTCATTTCAGATACTCGCAGACAATCTTGGTTGAAATTCAACATGATGCTATTAATATGTACTCTCCTCATTAATAATTCACTAATTTACATCTGATCTTATCTTAATTCTCAGTCTACCTTACAAATTATTTCTCTATTTAAATATGTGACATTAATTGTTCCCCTCTCATTCATTACCTCATTGCTCTCTATCGGTTAGTTGGCCTACAAACCATCCTACACATGTGAGCTCTAAGTCTGGTTCATGTTCTATCTATTCAACAGTACGTCTTGGTAGATAACTTTAATGGGACACTATAGTCACCCAGACCACTTCAGCTTAATGAAGTGGTCTGGGTGCCAGGTCCCTCAGGTTTTAACCCTTTAGATGCAAACATAGCAGTTTCAGAGAAACTGCTATGTTAACATTGCAGGGTTAAGACAGCCTCTAGTGGCTGTCTTCTGGACAGCCACTAGAGGCGCATCTGCGACGCTGGAGGCATATTATTCCTCCATCACGCAGAGCGTCCATAGGAATGCATTGAGACGGGGGAGCTGACGTCGGCGGGGGAGGAGAGGTCACCAGCGCCAAGGGAGCCCGGCACTAGATTAAGGTAAGCTGCTGAAGGGGTTTTAGGGAGGGACCCTGAAAACCGCTATGGTTTCCTGACACTATAGTGATCCTTTAAACAATCTCTAGTTCTAATTTTGACGTATTAGGCCTTTTTGTATCCAAAACGTAGGAGCCCAGCATTACTTTCATATTTTTGCATTAAATGGTAATCAAATGAGCATGTTTTTATTTGTTATAATTGTTTAAAGCAACAAATCGATTTGTTGAAAACACACAAAATAAAAAGACACTTCCTTTGCAGCCTCTTCACTAAAGGCTTGCTAGCCCAGGATAAGCCAATCCTAGACTTATACAAATTCCAAAAGGAATGCTGAGCATATTTCATGAATCCCTGAACAGAATATGATTTAGCTATGTAGTACAACATTTGAGAACCATTTTGTTACTTTAAAGATGGAAGCAAACCTGCTGACCAGGGTATCAGAAGCATTATTTGAATTGTACTGCTCCCTTTTACAAAATCCCCTGCTTAGCCCCCCTTATACAAGATCCCTGCCCCAAGACAAAACTTCTGCCCCCTTCTACAAAATCCCTGCATCCCCACACACACAGTTACAGGCAGACAGTCACACACAGTTACAGGCAGACAGTCACATGCACGCATTCACAGACAGACAGTCACACACACACACACAGTCACAGGCAGACAGTTACACACTCACAGTTAAAAGCTGGCAGCCACAAACACACACAGTCACAGGCAGATAGTCACACAAACAATTGCAGGCAGCATCACACAGTCATATGCAGACAATCACATATACAGTCACAGGTACACAGTCACACACACAGTCACAGGCAGACAGTCACACACACACACACACACACAGTCACACACACAGTCACACACAGACAGTTACATGCAGACACACTGTCACAGCCAGACAGTCACACACACAGTCACAGGCAGGCAGTCACACACACACACACACACACACACACACACAGTCACAGGCAGATAGTCACACACACAGTTGTAGGCAGCATCACACAGTCACAGACAGACAGACACACACACACACACACAGTTGCTGGCAGACAGTCACACACACACACACACACACACAGTCACATGCAGACAATCACATATACAGTCACAGGCAGACAGTCACACACACAGTCACAGGAAGACGGTCACAAACAGTAACAGGCAGAGAGTCACACACAATTACAGGCAGACAGGCAGACAGGCAGACAGGCAGACAGGCAGACAGGCGCGTGCACACACACACACACACACACAGTGTCACATGCAGTCATACACACACAGTCACACATAGTCAAATGCAGACAGTCATACACAGATAGTCACACACAGTCACAAGAAGACAGTCACACACAATTACAAGCTGACAGGCAGACAGACACACACACACACACACACACACAGAGTCACAGGCAGTCATACATGCACACAGTCACATACACACACAAACACACAGTTGCAGGCAGACAGTCACACACAGTCACATGCAGACAGTCCACACACCCTGGAGTCTGTTAGGTGGGGAAGCAGGAACTCCTTATTGCTTTCCCTTGATGTGCTGCAATAACAGTGGGTGGGGGCAGTGTTAAGCCCCACCTCCACTGCTAATTTGGTCCCACCCTGCTGTCAGTTGGCCCCGCCCCCACTTTTGTCCCGTGCATCTGGTTTTAAAGTTCTGCGGCCCCTGTGTGGAAGCTGTGTTGGCCGACCAGCGCCCCAGCTGTTATGGGGCCCTGTGCGGCCACAAAGCTTACACATCCCTGGCACCCGGGGCGGACGCCCTGCCCCTCTTAGTACACCACTGGCTCCACCTATTTGTTAAGAGTAGAAATAATACACAAGACAAAGTATTCCTACTTTGTCTTACAATTTCTTTTGACTGGGTTGGAATTTCAGTGACATTTCAACACAGTCTTTATGAGCATTTCATCGAGATTTTATCTTTCTCAAATGTTCTTTTTTTTTTTTGTATATTCTCATGAACCCCACTAATATTTTTGTAAAATATGAATTAAAAGATTAAAATGTAATTATGTAAATTTAGCTGTTTTAATTCCCAGCTACCGATTAATAGTATTTTGATCCTACATCCTGCTAGTGCTGGTATAGCAAACCATGTTTAAAATAAATGTTTTGCCAATTTTGTATTTTTTTGCAAAATTTTTGATAGAATGTGATTAATAATATGAAAAATTAAAACACTTTTTTCAGGTCAACACTAAAGAGCAAATATAGTCATGTGAGTTTGATAATGTCTGAATCACATGACAATTGCTCTGCACAACCTATTTACCCACAGCGACTAGGAATGGGAACTGGCGTATACATTCTTTGTCCAGACATTGATTTATATGAACATAAAAGTAACTTTATCTGGTATAAGGTAAGATAATGCATTTAAAATTATATTCATAATTCAAAATAACTAATACATCTTTTTATTTATGTTCTTAATGCCTCAATGTACAGCTCATTAATATCAAAATTAATTAGTAGGTGTGTATCAAGACCTGCATGTTACATGCAAGATCACTTGGTGTAAAAACATATCATACATCATATAGTATACGCTATACTGTAGTAACAGGCTAACAGAGGGGTATAGAGACAATAATTCATAGATGGTTTTAAAGATATTGTAATTTATTCATGAAAAGTGAATTGTAGTGAAAGTGAGTCTCAGCCAGAGAGGATAAGCACATTTATTTACCCCCCTAAACAGCAGGGAATTGAACAGTAATTGACAGTGCATTTGCATCAGAGAACTCGCACCTCTCCGCTAACTTTCAAAGCCATTTATGGCAGACCACTACAGCCTACTCACATAACCCATGAGACCATGTCCATATCTTTGGCTGTAGGGGCTCTACACCATGAGATGATCCAAATCCAGGTGATTTCCACTCCATATTGCCTGGTTGTGTTGGGATACCCTTGGCTACAGAAGCATAACCCCACATTTGATTGGCGCAAATCTGAGCTATTATCCAGCAATGTACATTTGTTTGTCTCCGGAAACCAGATAAAGTTTTGTGCACATCTTCTGCCTCTTTGTTGCCCTCTGAGTACAAAGAATTCCATGATGTATTTGACAAGGGTCAGGCCAGCGTTCTGCCCACCCCATTCCCTTGATCATTGAATTATTTGACTGCCTCAAGGGAGCTACGGTCTTCACTAAACTTGATCTGAGAAGGGCATATAATCTCGTCAGGATAAAAGAGGGCCACGAATGGAAAACTGCATTTAACACCAGGAGCGGGCATTATGCATACCTAATAATGCCCTTTGGTCTTTGCAATGCTCCTGCAGATTTCCAGGAATTTATAAATTATGTCCTGTGAGATATGCTGCAACAATGTGTGGTGGTTTATCTCGATGATATTCTAATCCATTCCACATCTCTCGGGAACCATCATGCAGACGTCTCTCGTGTTCTACAGAGGCTCAGAGAACATAATCTCTTCTGTAAATTGGAGACATATGCCAACTGCAAACAGGTAAAATTTTTGGGCTGATGCTGGATTCTCTATGGACCCAGAGAAAATTTCCACTGTACTACAATGGCCTTGACCTACAGGTCTTTGCTCTATACAACGTTTTCTTGGCTTCACCAATTATTATCGGACGTTTTAACGCAACTTTTCTTCCTTGGTTAAACCTCTCACGAATATGATCAAGAAAGATGGTGATCCACAACATTGGTCAAAAGAAGCTCTCTCAAAGTCTCTCAAAGTCGCCTTTGCTGCAGCTCCAATACTGGCACACCCTAACCGTGCCTTACCTTTCATTCTTGAATTTGATGCGTCTAAGACAGGAGTAGGTTCCCTCCTGTCTTACCATCCTGACCCAAAGAGCTCCATGCATCAGTGCGGGTATTTTCTGAAGAAATTGAACCCAACGGAATGCAATTACCAGATTGTGGATAGAGAACTCCTAGCTATAATTTTATCTCTCAAACAATGGAGGCACCTTCTTGAGGGTACTTCACTGCCAATTCTCATTCTCACGGACCACAAGAATCTTACTTATCTTTCCAAAGCTAAACAACCTTCCCCTCAGCAAGCTAGAAGGGCTCTCTTCGTATCAATATTCAGTTATGTGGTTTTTTATTTGCCTGGTACTAAAAACTAAGGAGGAAATAACTCCTACTCCAGTGATTCCTCCACACCGAATACAAGCCACTATCCACTAACCGTACTAACCTCAGCTCACCCCTAGGCGAGGAAATTCTGGCTGCACAAGTTAATGCTCCTACAGAGAACCCTAGTGGTTGTTGTTTTGTACCTGTTCAGCTCTGCACCAACTTATTAGGTACATATCACAATTGCAAAGCAGCTGGACATCCAGGCAATAAACAGTTAATCTGGTCTGTCTCGCGACAATTTTGGTGGCCTAGTTTCTGTTTGGATGTCACTGCTTTTGTAGCTGCCTGTCCTGTGTGCGCTCAAAGTAAAACACCACAACACCCTCCAGTGGGTCTCTTGCAAACTATACATAATGGTGAACGACCCTGGACTCACTTGTCCAGGGATTTTATTGTGGATCTTCCAGTCTCCCGTGGCAATACTGTAGTTCTCATGGTTGCTGAACAATTCTCTAAGATGTCACACTGAATTGCCCTGTAAAACTTACAGCAAGTCCCAGTACCTTCTTGCCCTTGAATGGTTTCCTGTTTCCCAGAAGACTCCCTGTTTCCTGTGAATTCCTTGTATGATTACCCGCTTTGGTGCCTGACCCCTACTTGCCTCCTGGACTTTGCTTTTGGTTTATTTCATTTTTGCTATTTATTAACAAAGCTGTTTTGCATCTTTGTTCTTTCTCTGTCTGGTTCCTGGCCCCTAACACATCATCAGAGGAAATATCTTAGGGTAAGATAAGGTTTAATGCTGTTTTAGGCTCTTCATTCATTAAAAAAATAAAAAGTATGTACAAGGTTTGAGAACAGTTTAAATCCTTCAGGTAAGAAAGCAATTTGCAACCTCCTCACACCATAGCTACTTCAGTTCAATGAAATTAGTATGGTGCCTGGAGTGTTCCTTTGAATTACGATGGAACAAGCACTTAGCATAAATTGTAGGTTTAATTTTGGTTCAGAAGTTGAACAATTGCCTCCATTCTTATGGGGTTAAAGGGGAATTGTCATATTCCAGAATGTTTACCAAATTTGTATTCATGATGTGTGAAAAATGTTACAAATATAGAAATAATGTAATACCTAAGCAATTTAACTTAATTACTTTAATTTAGCCTAAACTGCAAGCTCCATGGCTGAAATATGATACCAAAACAAACATAGAATACAATTCAATGATTAACACAAAAATACGTGTTTCTCTTTGTTTGATGTAGGAATGCAAACCATTACATGGTGAACGGTACATGAAAATTGACACTGGTCTCTCTTTAAATCATTTCACCGAACTCGACCAAGGAATATACAATTGTAAATTTACATACACATATAATGGTAAGACGTACACGGTTAACAGATTCAAGAACATCACTATGAAAGGTATATATATTTCTCTATATACAATGTACTTCATGTGTTAATAGTTTTTACAAGTAAATATTAGAAGTCGGAGTGGTGGCTGGTGAAGTGTTAAGATGGCAGGAAACTAGACTCTACCCCTGGAATTCTTCACTTTACCCTATACGCTCTACTCAAAACTCAGTGGGACAACAAGCCATCTGCAACACCATCAATCTATAAAAATAAGAATAGGGGGAAAACAAAAAACACTTAAGGGACTGTTAAGGTTACAAAATGCATTTTGTTTTCTTAACGCACTTAAATACTGCATTAAGAAATAAATGTATTAACTTTCCAACATTCCCATCCTAACTGTCTCAGTCCTACCATTACGTAGTTGTCATTTTTATCAAAGTGAATTTTTTAACTAAGCTGTTGAACTTGCTTTCTGAAGCTTAGCTGATTTGTCCCACTTTTGCAAGCACAAACATAATTTTTAGTACCAGCCAGTGACCAATCAAATGCCTCTCATAGAGACTCATTGTGGACACAGGAAGCATAGCAAAGCATATTATAAATACTTAACTCAAATAATGGTTTGTGAGTATCCCCCAGTTGCTTTTGGAATCTATAAAACATATCTGAAAATGTATATTACTAACTAATATTTATATAATCAAGTTGTGTATCGAAATATCTGCACCGAATATGGGCGGGACCTGCATAAGCCCAAGGAGATACCACAAAGGGTAGTTGAGAATGACAGAGCTAAGATCTTGTAGGACCTTCAGATTCAGACAGACAAGCCAGTAGTGGACAACCAACCGACACTATGGTGGTAGACAAGGAACAGAAGACTGCAGTGGTGGATGTGGCAATACCAGTGACTATAACATCAGGAAGAAGGAATATGAAAAGGTGGACAAAAAGGACTGAAAGAAGGCAGTGGTAGTCCCAGTTGTGATTGGAGCACTCGGGGCTGTAACCCCCAAGTCCCAAGTTGGGAGAGTGGCTTCAGCAGATTTCAGAGTGCAGTTCTACGAACAGTTAAGATACTACTCAAAACTCTCAGAATGACCTATAACGTGTGTTAACCTTTCTATGATGCTCTGTTTTCTATTAAAGCTATACTAAATATATAGCATATGGCATCATAATCAAGTTCAGTCCAGGCACAGTCCAGGTACACATTGCAAATTAAGAGGAGAAACAGAAACATTCAGGATTATATTTAAAAAGTGCATTCTGAAAAGTAGAGCAAATGGGGAAATGAAGTGGAGTCACCAATGCAATGTTCCTGTTGGTTCTGCTATTTCCAAGGTGGTTGCCACACTTAATACTTTAGACCACCTTTAAGAAAATTATACTCATCTAAGCTGACTACCACATCCAAAGAACAGAAAAAATTATAAAAAATTAAAAAATGATTGAAAGAGAGTCAAGATGGTGGCATCCAGATAATGAATGAAGAGGTGTGGATTCCTTCATTCAATTATTCATGCCTCAAAAACAAAATATTTGTTTTTACTTAAAGATAAGTAACCATAAAATGACAAAAAATAATGCAGGTTTTGTTTTTATGTCTGCTATTCACTGGAGCTCTTTTCTGATTCTTATCTGCTTTTATGTCTTAAATAAATATCTAATCCTTAGCTAGTAATGCCAGATCCACTAAGTTTTCCTCGACACATATCACTTAAACAAAAACCGAGAATATGAGAAATCTGAGAAAAAAACTTTTTTGAGCTCTGAGCAGGTACTAACCGAAGGGCAAGCTACTGAGATTTCTCTGAGCTTTTGCCCCCGTTCTCAGAGTTCTCATATTCTATGTTTTTTGTTGTGATATCAATTAAACATACTGATGGGCTGCATATGAAAATTGCTGCACTATAGTGTATAACATACACAAGTCAACTTAAAAACCTTCACGTTATACATTTTACATGCAGGGCAGCATCCTGGAAAACATGATAGAAGCAGCAGCTTTACTTATACCCCTCATACCATGTTTCACACTACTTGCATGTTTTACCAGAACACATCCATATATATTCTATCTAGGTCACAAATAACTATAGTGCCACCCTTTGCTCCCACTCTCGCCTGTTCAGTCACTCAAATTTGATAATAGTAAGTCACAAATGTATACTGGTAAACACACTCAAAGAGCTGCTAGAGCTGTGTGAAGTAGATTTAAATATTCTACAGAGCTGGTAGCCTGTAGATAATTAATCAGGTGTCAAACAATCAGGGATTGTAAGAAATTGTTCGAATTAAAATCAGTATGTACATTGTGACCTTTGTAGTACATATAAGGAAAATACAAAATAAACTGTGAAGCTTAAAGTATCTTATTTTAGAGTCACAAATGTAAGCAAAGAAACACTTTCCATGTGTTTAAAGAAGGCCAAATATAAATTATGGTGGAGGCTAATATATTGGAGTATTTTAATATATGGTCTTATGTGTTGGTTTGTTCTCATGAGATAGACAAAAAAACATATAAAGTATAAAAAAACAAGTACAGAATAGTACAATATATTTTTTGGATAACAGAACACAAATGAAAGGGAAACGCTTAGCACCAGAACCACTACAGCTTAATGTAGTGGTGCTGGTGCAAAAAGAAAGTCCCATTAAGTTTCTGCAGTGTAAACATTGCATTTTCGCAGGAGGAGACATTAAAGATGGGTAATAGACATGCACAGAGAATAAAAATTGTTTTGTTTCAATTCAGTAATTCTGAAATTTGATTACTGATCATTTATAATTATCAATTCGGAACAAACCAAAATTTGCATGCCTTTTTCATAGATAATCCCCTTATGCACTTAGGGTCCTGTTTCATAGATAATCCCTTTATGTGGAATTGCCCTATTCAGGATACCACATTAGGACATTGTTTATCCTTTGCTCCATAATTCTGTTCCCTTATGTCCTATTTAAGGACACCAAATTAAGGGCTGTTTAGCTCCTAAGTTCAGATAGTGTCCAGGACCCCAAGGTAATTAACTTAATTGCGATTAAGTTGTTATAATGCCTGGAGTTTTCTTTTAATGCACAAAACCCTTTAATACAGTTTATGATCTACTTTGAAATGTTTGCTAATTCTGTTTTCATTTTATTTTTCTTTAGCAGCATACATACAAAGAAAACCTACTTTGGAAACTGCCATAAATAGAACAATAGAAGTGGCATTAGGTGAGTATGACAATATGCTAAACCCTACAAGAGAAAAAGTCTCAGGCACGTTTATTGGATCCGCAATGTTTCGACCTGTACCCAGATCTTTCTCTAGACCTGTACTCAGGTCTTTATCGAAACGTTGCGGATCCAATAAACCTGTCTTCAATAAATCACAGTGCGTGCCTGAGACTTTTTTTTTCTTATATGTAGATTATATGGGGTATGCTGACCCATGTTCAGTTTAGCACCCTGTGTATATGTTTGTGATTGAGTGCAACCCTCTTCTTTATTTCTTTTATAAATATGCTAAACCATCACTTTGGTGAATTTGGTTCTGCTTTTCATCAGTGATGACTCAATTCAACAATGCATTTAGATGAGATAGCAATATTTTAGTGGGTGTAATTGATGATAAGTGACCTTATATGTAGGCTTCATGTATCTGAGCAGTTCCATTTGTAGGGCACCCATTGTGTTGATTGAAATTATTTAATGTGTAGTTTTTATTATTTTGTTCAACTTATTATTTTTTTGATTTTTTTTTTATTGGGATGGGCTTATTTCTGTGGGATGAAAATAAACAATAAAGGATTCTACCTTTAGTTTACTATATTCTTTGATTTTATTTTACAGGTTTTGTTTAAGGAGAGGTTAAGAGTAGAGTTGAGCCGAACTTAGAAAAAAAGTCCGGGTTCGGGCTCGAACTTGACCCCGAACTTGACCCCAAACCCGAACCCCATTGAAGTCAATGGGGACCGGAACTTTTGGGTACAAAAATGGCTCTAAAAAAGTCCTGGAAAGGGCAAGAGGGCTGCATAAGGAAGTAAAATGGGGGTAAGAGTAGGAGAAGTGCCCTGCAAACAAATATGGATAGGGAAATAACTTAAAATAACATAAAATGTGTGATTGTAGTGCCCTAAGCTGTGTGTCTTTTTAGCCATACATATTTTTGCTTTAAACTAGGTCATGGCCATGGGTGTCCGGTGGAGGGGGAGAGGGGGTACATGCCCCCCTGGGCATGCCCCCCTGAGCTCTGCAGGGCGGGGGAAGGCTTATAAAGCATTGCCCCGCCCTGCAATTAGGCTCAAAGCACTCTGATTGGTGGGTTTAAGCCATCCAATCAGAGTGCTCTGACAGGTAAATGAAGAGACTGACAGGTAAGTCTCTACATTTACCTGTCACAGCACTCTGATTGATTGGCTTGAAATCCTCCAATCAGAGTGCTCTGTGTCATTTTACGCAGTGTGGGAAAGTTCTTTGGAAATTTCTCACGCTGTGTAATTTGACTCAAAACACTCTAAGTTGTTTTTTTGGAGGGGGTATAGAAGTCAAAACAGGGTTTTATATATGTTGTCGTAATATTTTTTATTTATTTTAATTTTCATTAATTTTGTTTAATTGCTGCATTTTATTCACTAAATATTGGTCACAACGAGTTGAACTGTCCATCTCTTGCTCCATCGTAATATTAAGGATGGACTAGGCAATCAGGAACCTTGAAGTTATGCTATGAATGGGAACTCCAGTACTTTGGTGGGATGAGGGGGTTTGGAATCAGGTGATTAGCTTTTCTCTGACTCTCCCATTTCAATGAGAATATCCAGGTTACTTTCTCACCACATTTCCTTACACTTATTAAGTTGGAATGGTGGAGTAGCTAAGGACAAAACTCTTGCTCTGTTATATTTACTACTCATATTTACACCTATGTGGTAAGGTGTGGTAAGATGTTAAGGGGCCCAGGGAAGCCCTCCCTACCATGTTTTATTTTTTCATAAACCTCCCAATCATTAGCAGGGGACAACCACAAGCCCAGGATTACTTTTGATGCCATAATCCTCGTTATATAGCAATGGAGTTGTAAACAGAGTTTACACCATTTAAGGTGTTTTAATTTCCTCTTAGTATTGCTCCAAGGCTAGGAAGGACAGATATTTTCGGAGGTGTAGCAAAGAAGGGGCAAGTGTCACTGGCTCTAGTTTTGAGGAGGTGTCACAAAATGTTCAGGCTTCATACCCCCACACCTTTTAAATTCCATGGCAATGAATAAAGCAATGTTTTAAAATCAATTGAGGGTTTCACATGGCTGTTTCAGCCTGGGGCTGGCAGCTCCCTGTGAAACATTCCATTAGTTAATACAGTTGCTTCTTTGCCACACAAAAGAGAGGGTAGGACTTGAGGGAGGCTTCAGTGTTGGTGGTATTATGAAGAAGCAGAGTAGTGACTGATTGGCCCACTGAGGGAAATTTTAATGTGGGCTTCTGTAACTGGGTGCTGCTGCAATTTATGTTTGTTTTAATAAGTTTGTCCTTGCATTGCACAGAAGTGAAGGCCGCTAGGATACAGCATGATGTAATATCCTGGCGGCCAACATGCATAGGAGATACCTAATGACAGCCTGGATTCCAGCCCCAGGCCTGAAAGCCCAGTGCTAGCCTAGGATGGCATAGGACAGCAACTTGTAAGGGACATAAGAATTAAAACTGTTAAGTGTGTGCGAAAGATTCTGGCTTGTGTGTTTTTCAGTGTATCTTGCTTGTGTGTGTCAGTGTATCTGTGTATGTGTTTCAGTGTCTGTGTCTGTCTGTGTGCATGGGTCACTATACTGTATACACAATATATATATATATATATATATATATATATATAAAACAAGAGGGGGTTGGCTGCACTCACCTTAACATGCATAAATGGGGGTGCTGCTGGGGGCCAAATAATACAATACACAAGATCCAGCGCATTCACCTATCCACTAAACAGCAACTTCAATGTTGAAAGATTTTATTTGTTTTTTTAAAAACACCTAATCTAGGCAAAAATAATGGGGGTTTAGTTACATTATATGATCATACATTGCATAAGCCTGCCACAACGTCAATGTACCCCATCTTTGGCAGGTCCTACACTAACAGCCTAATGTCTGCTCTTATGAGATTAACCTACTTGGGGAAAAAAATTCCATCTGGGGCTCTCTGCAGTACAAGGCTAAATAGGGCCCTGGGATGAGGCACCTGTGACAGGGAGGGGTGCAAAACCAAGGAGTTGGCTAGACTCCCAAATATATATATAAAACAAGAGGGGGTTGGCTGCACTCACCTTAACATGCATAAATGGGGGTGCTGCTGGGGGCCAAATAATACAATACACAAGATCCAGCGCACTCACCTATCCACTAAACAGCAACTTCAATGTTGAAAGATTTGATTTGTTTTTTAAAAACACCTAATCTAGGCAAAAATAATGGGGGTTTAGTTACATTATATGATCATACATTACATAAGCCTGCCACAACGTCAATGTACCCCATCTTTGGCAGGTCCTACACTAACAGCCTAATGTCTGCTCTTATGAGATTAACCTACTTGGGGAAAAAAAATTCCATCTGGGGCTCTCTGCAGTACAAGGCTAAATAGGGCCCTGGGATGAGGCACCTGTGACAGGTGATATATATTAGAGATGCACCGAAATTTTGACTGCCGATATTTGCGGCCGAAATTGGGCCTATTGTGCCCAAAATTACACCAGGCCCAATCCTGGACAAGTGCGGGCAAGGTAATTGCGGAAGAAGGGGGCCAACCACCCTTGTAGCTAACTGATAAGGCTCGGTGATGTATTTTATTTCTGTGCAGCACTGAGGGCTTCTTCTTGCACTGCGCCCTTATCCCCCTTTGCTTCTGAAGTGATCCTTTGTGGCAAACTGACACTAAGGTAGTGTGCAGCTCCATAAGAGAACCCCATGAACGAAATCAGCAGAAAGCGCCTCCTCTTTACGCTCTGCGTTAGAGCACCAGGTGTCATGTGACTACCCAAAGCTCACTTTGAAACATGCAGAGCATGCCACATAGGATTTCGATGAGCCACCCATCCTTGTCATGACAGGAATACAGCAGGGAAGGGGGGCTGTCAGTGTGTGTGCAGAGCTGGTGCTGGCTCTGTGAGTGAGACAGGTGCCGCTTGGGAAGGAGAGGTATGGATAGATGGAAGAGGGGAAAGTGAGAGGCATGGAAGAAGGGGGGAGAGAGACATGGAAGAAGGGGGGAGTGAAAGATTGAAAAAGGGGGAGAGAGACATGGAAGAAGGGGAGAGTGAAAGATGATAGAAGGGGGGAACGTGAGAGACATGGAAGAAGGGGGGAGTGGAAGATGGAAGGGGAGAGAGACATGGACGTAGGGGGGAAAGTGAGATATGGAAAAAGGGGGAAGTGAGAGGCATGGAAGAAGAGGGGAGTGGAAGAAGGGGGTGAAAGGTGGAAGAAGGGGGAGAGAGACATAGAAGAAGGAGGAAAGTGAGTGACCTGGATAAGCAGGAAAGTGAGAGACATGGAAGAAGGGGGTAGTGAAAGAGTTAAGAGGGAGAGAGGCATGACTTGTAGTTTATTGGTTTGTAGTTTATTGGTTTGTAGTTTTTCATATTAGATTCATTAAATTAATTAAAAAGTCTAATATTAATAAAATTATAGAAAAAAAATATTTTAAAATGATTTTGGGAACAAAATTCATTTCGTTTTGGTTTTCGGCCAAGGGCATCCTGAATTTTCAGTTTCGGAACAGAATCTTCATTTCGGTGCATCCCTATATACTATACTGTATATCAGTATGTGTGTTAAACAGTGTTTAATTGTGTGTAATATGTGTTTAAATGTCTGTATAAATGTATGTGTAACTGTGTGTGTCACAATATGTATCAGTAGGTTTGTATGTGTGTGGGTCAATTGCTGCTTGCTTGTGTCTGAGTCAGTTAATGTGTATGTGAGTTAGATTGTGCATGCATCAAATAGGCCAATGACTTAATCTAATTGGACTTAACACGGTTAAACTGAAATCTTAATTATATGACATTGAAATCTATTATACGCAAATAAGTTGACATACAATGACCTTGATTTAATATTTTCGATAAACTTTTCAAAGGAACATGATTTGTTAGAAAAGCCTTTCAAATACTTTATCTACCGTCTGAAATGTGTCAAACAAATTACTTTCCCAGCTATGGCCATGGCAGCACTACCTCCCCTCTAGTGCCATACCGCAGTTCTTTTTTACTGTCTACACTGTCCAGGTTTTCAACACATTTTTATCATGCATACATTTTCTTTAGGGCTTACCAGGTTTTTTTTTTTACTTTTATCCTGGTGGGAGTTCAGCCTCTCTTCCTCCAGAAGCTGCAGTATATGGCTCTTCACCAAGAGTGACCCTGCGCAGATCCTTTAATCGATCTGGGGTGTATGCTACAGTGACCCTTGGGTAGCAGCTTAGAACTTAAGGTCCAGTGCAAATTCTTTCTAGGTATCTGATGGCCTGGAGGAAACAGTTCTTGTAATTACATAAGTGCTGGGAAGCCTGACTATCTGGATGCTGGTGTTTTACTTTGCAGCCAGGAGTCCTCTAAGGAGATTCAGTCGGCATTCATTTTTTTTTTGGCTGAATTCGCCCAAAGTTGTTTGAAAATCTGCAAAAAATTTTACAAAGTTTGGAATTCTATTTATTTGGTATTCGGTCATTTCCGATAGTGCAAATATTGCGCTTACATGTGGATTGTTGTAAGGCACCAGTGTATTTTATTTATTATATATATATATATATATATATATATATATATATACACACACACACAAATTCAGACATGAGCACTCACTTGGATTTTCCAATAGTATATTAAAAAGTATTCATCAATCTACATCAACGTTTCGACCCTTCATGGTCTTAATCAAGATGAGTCTGGACTTTTGTATATATATATATATTAGATTCATATATATATATATATATATATATATATATATATATAAACACACACAAAAAATGAGTACTACGAAAAAATAAAGTATGATCTGCCTGGGTGCAATCCTGCGTTACATATATACAAAAATGAGGGTTAGGGAGTACTCTCAGGTCTCAAATTTGTGCAAATAGTGTATTTTTTGGGTCTCCAAAGATCAACTGTGCATTATAAATCAAATCGACGTTGCAACCTGTTCGGGTCTTTTTTAAGATCATATGAATTTTTCATTTTCATATGATTCAGGAAATAGTGTTACCTGTCTTTTTCACTACCCCTTCCTCTGAAGAGGAAAGAAATCTTCATCTTCTGGATGTGGTTAGAGGCCAGTCAGTCTACCTTAACAGAACCCTGGATTGGAGGAAATTGAAAAGGCTCTTCATTGTTCCAGTGGGTCAGAATATAGGCGAGAGGGCATCTGTTAAAACTAGTACATAATGCTCTCCAGATGTACTACTACGGCTATATTCAAAGCTTTGCTTAGGAGGTTAAGGCAATACCGGTTTCTAGGGATTGAAAGCACATTTCATAAAGGCCCTCTTTGCTTCATGGGCAGCTGTAGCACATATTCCTTCCGAACAGATCTGTAGGGCAGTCATGTGGTCCTTGTGGCATACCTTCATCCGTCATTCCTTTCAAGGAATGAAATTTGTCACAGCCACATAAGTTAAATACATGAATTTAGTGTTTGCAGCAATTATACGTTTGTTGATTTCTTTCTTTCCATCGCTAGTTAGTTTGGCTTTGTCATGTCCAGTAAGTAGTGCTGCCATAGCCAAGGCCAGGAAAAGAGCAAATGGATTTATACTTACCCCTATTTCCTTTTCCCAGTAATGGGCTATGGCAGCACAACGGTCCACTCTAAAATCTATGGCTTTATACAAACTGGGGTTTTGGGCCTAGAGGTGAGGTATTTATAAACATTTAAATTTTTCCTGTCCAATGGGAGTGGTGGGAAGAACTAAGCCAGGAGTAGTGCTGCCATGGCCCATTACCAGAAAAAGAAAATATCATTATGTATGAATACCTTTTCTCTGTTTTCCCCCATTTATTTGCCAGTTTTTAAAACTGCTCAATATTTTACAGGATATAGAATAAGCCTTGTTCAGTCAGTGGAGAAAGTGACTGAGATAGAACTATTTTTTCTAAGATGAACATAAAAATGCTGAATAATACAATATTGTACATCCTGCTCTTCTTTGTGATTTGTATATATATATATATATATATATATATATATATATTTATTTATCTGCATCTGTATATCTCCAATGTATTTTTAAAAGAATTAAAAAATAAGAAATAAAAAAATAAAGAATGCTGAATGTGTAATTAAAACCATTGTATGTTATATTAATGGAACATGATATTAAATGTATATTTTCAATCATTTTAGGAGACCCATTAAATATAAGTTGTTCTGCTTTCATTGGATACAACAAGTCCGTTTTAGCAGCTATCTTCTGGAGCATAAATGGTACACATGTTGCTAGTCTTAATTACTCTAGATTCCAAGAGTATGCAAGGTATGCATATTAATTAAATGTTTGAAATTACTAAAATGTCTAGTGAATTTACCTACTTACATTTCAAATAATATATTACAATTATTTTACTTTCCATTTAGGAATTATATTACACCATCGCATGAATTTTATATTGAGTCAACATTGCACATTCGGAAAGTGGAGGAACAAGATTTTAACTCCAACTTTACATGCTTTGTTTCAAGTAGTAGAGGGGGTCAAGATTCCATAGTAATCTTAAAATATCCAGGTAAGAGTATTTACAGGGATATATAAGCTTTGTGGGCTAATTTGCTAATTAGTAGGCCACAAAGAATTATTATTACTCGTTAATTAATTATTATACGCTCCGTTATACTTTAACACAAATGACATCCTACTTATTTTACATCATTATAGTTACCATTGAATCAATACAACTATGCATACTGAAATTGTAAATACTGATATCAGTTCAGTTTACAAGTTAGAGTGTCCAAACAAAATGGTGTCACATACAACCTTATACCAAAAATCATATTCACTATGCCATGTTTTAGGGTCATTGGTGTAAGAGAGATGAAAACTAGATTTGGAAATGTGGGCAAATTTGTCCTGGAAATCCAATTTCCGAAACCGCCACGTGCCAGAATTTAAGAGTAACTGACTCAAGCAAACCCGAACAAGCTTGTTTTGATTTGTGATTGGAGTGCCATTCTGTCATGAGAAGTATACCTAAACTCGCAGGAAATGGGATCCCAAAATAGAGAGACAGAAATAAACATATTACCAGGTTTTAGCGTGAACTGACTTAACATAATAAAGAGTAGAAAAATAATAAAGATAAATATAAGAGATTTAGTCCCATGTGTGGAACCCAACCTGAGGGTCTTTGCCATGCCTTGGTTCCAAACTACAATGTACTGCTTAAATACCCATTATGTAACAAGTAACACCCTGAGGGTGGAACATACGTTTAAGTAAAAAATTAGCCATTACCATACAAAATAAAAAAGGTCACAATAAAATACCACTATGTATATAAAAAAAAAAAAAAGAGTATGTAAAAAACACATGCAGAATGCATCCAATTAACTGCATCTCAGTATGGAAAGTACAACCTTGTTATGCTCTATATCCTCGAAAAAAGGCATAATGAATGAATAAACTGCAATAATATTAGCAAATATGTTTGCTGCAGTATACAATATTGTACGAAAGGGACACTTGTAACCATGCAAATGTTCCAGTGCAAACGGGCACTTAACTTGATAGTATATTGCAATCCAATCTTCAATTCAAGTGTCTCCAATACATAAACATTCATGGATGGAACCACAGCCAGAAAAAATACACTTTATACTCTAAGTAGAGTATAAATGCACATAGACCCAGAAGCAGAAGCATATAGACCCATAAGAAAAGAACTGATGTGGAAAATTCAATATACACTGATGTCATCATAAGAAAGTAGACACGGCAAAATCCCTATTTAAATCTTCTGTGCTCCAAGCAATAGCAATGCTAACTGTGGATCCAGAAGGCCGCATCATTTTTAGGATTTTTATATATATCCTGCACTCTGGTTTGTATTGGGACAGAGTCAATTATTTGGCATTTTAACTGGAATTGTTTGTTTATGTTCTGAAAAATGGTTTAGCAAGCTTTCCAGACTGGATGTCAGTGCGATGTTTAAATAAATGTTCCCTACTTCTGTTAGTGGTCTCCCCAATGTAAGTAAAAAAACACACACATTTTAATAGATACACAACAAAAATTGATAGATATGTGTAAACATTCCTAATGCAAAATTAGTTTCCTGTATGTTTATGTGAGAAGAATTGACTGTTTATGACGGAGTTGCAGGAAGTACAGTTTAAAAATCCCTATTGACTCTATCCCCATACAAAATAGAGGGCAGGATAGACAAAAACATCTCTTCTGGACCCACATTTTGCATTACTTGGAGCCCAGTGGATTGAATGGGGATTTTTATGTGTCCCTTTTATTATGGTGATATCAGTCTATATTGCATTTTTTCACATCATTTATGTGGATCTATATGCTTCTGCATGTGCTAATGCTTTTTCTTTTTTTCTTTTTTTTGTTTTTTAGAGTAAAGTGCCCTATTCTGGCTGTGGTTCCCTGCTTGGTAGTATATGTATTGGAGATATTTGATTTGAAGATTGGATTGCTATATACTATTAAGTTAAGTGCCTGTTTGCACTGGAAACTTCGAATGGCTACAAGTGTGCTTTTCATACCATATTATATAATGCAGGAAACATATTTGTTAATATTGTTGCAGCTAATTCATTATGCCTCTTTTGGAAGACATAGAACATAACAAGGTTGTACTTTCCATATGGAGATGTAGTTAATTGGATTATGTATATGTATATTTTGCTCATGTTATTTTGATATCCTCCTTTCTATATATTTTGGTATTTTATTGTTCTTTTTATCTGGTATGGTAACGGTCAAGCGTTCAGTAATGTATGTTGCATCCTTAGGATGTTGTAATCTAATGGGTATGTAAGTTGTACATTGTATTTTGGAACCTAGGCTTGACAAAGATTCTAAGGTTAGGTCAAAACGTTGTAGGTTCCAAACAGGTGGAATAAATCGCTTTGAAATTTACCCTTTGTGTTGCGGCTCCTTTATTGTTTTTCTACTGTATGTGATGTCAATAGGCTCCCTGTGCACTCTTCCTTCACTCCCCCCCAAGGTCATACACCTTCATCCATGTATTTGTGTGTGTGTATAGGAGTGTAGTGTTTGTATAGGGGATTTATTAAATTAATAATAATGTAAAAAGAAAAAATAATTCCCCTTTCCCTGTTACCTTGCAGTGAGAGGGTAATGCTGATATCTCATGTGATCCAGTGTGCTGGGAATCTTGTCTGTCCCTTCACCAGGTGCAGACTATGAGTAACTCTCTCGCGAGCTCAGGCATTTACAGTATTATAACTTTTCTCTGGTAATCCGTGGCAATGAGTGGAAGGCAGTTTCTTATGGTCTGCAGCCAAAAGAAGTGCAAGCCAGAGGTGCCAATCTGCCTCCTTTGCATTACAGGCAGACAGTCACACACACGCTCAGTTGCAGGCATACAATCACACACACAGGTACGGGCAGACAGTCACACACGCTCAGTTACAGGCAGACAGTCACACACACTCAGTTGCAGACATACAATCACACACACAGGTACAGGTAGACTGTCACGCACGGTCAGTTACAGGCAGACAGTCACACACACTCAGTTGCAGGCATACAATCACACACAGGTACAGGCAGACAGTCACACATGCTCAGTTACAAGCAGACAATCACACAAACACACAGTTACAGGCAGACAGTCACACACACAGACACTCAGTTACAGGCATACAGTCACTTAGACACATGGAGTTACAGGCAGACAGTCACACAGACACGCAGTTACAGGCAGACAGTCACACAGACACATGCAGTTATAGGCAGACAGTCACACACACACAGTTACATTCACACTGGCAGACAGTAACACACAGGCAGACAGTCTCTCTCTCTCACACACACACACACACACACACACACACACACACACACACACAGAGGCAGACAGTGACACACAGACAAACAGTCACACATACATACAGACAGTGACACATAGGGCAGACAGTCACACACACAGTTACAATCACACAGGCAGACAGTCACACACAGTACAGTTACACACAGACAGACAGTCACACACACAGGCAGATAGTCACACATACAGGCAGACAGTGACACACACACACACACACACACACACACACACACACAGGAAGACAGTGACACACAGACAAACAGTCACACACATACACACAGGGAGACAGTCACACACATACACACACACACACACACAGACAGTGACACACACACACACTTACCTCTTTCCATTGTGGGCTGGAAGGGGGGAGTGGAGTGAGTGCAGTTCCTGGAGATTAGTTGTTGCGGAAGCAGAGACTCCTTCTTGCTTCCCCCTTGTTGTGCAGCAGTTACCATCCATCAAATAATGGGTGCTTTTAGCCACACCTTGCAGCAATTGTAGCTCCTCCTCTACATCTTACCAAGCTCTGCCCCCACCACTCAGTACGCCTCGCCCCCACTGCCTTTTCCTTAATAGTCCCGGGTGGAGAATAATGAAATCTTCCACCCGGGTACCTGCTTTAGCTCCCCCTGCACAGCTGTCACCTGACCATGTGTGTGTGAGCTGTGTCAGCCGCATGGCACCCCCTGCTGCCATGGCACCCTGCGTGGCTGCACAGCTCGCACACCCCTAAGGCCAGCCCTGTATGATGCAATTTGAATAAGACATTGGATTTTTACAACCAAACTTTTACTAGTGGAATGCTGGCCCTCCCAAGTTTTTGTTAACATAATAAACAGAGAGAGACACAATAATACATCAATAGCCTTCCAGCTGAAGTGGTACAGGTTAACACAGTAAAGGAGTTTAAGCATGCGTGGGATAGGCATAAGGCTATCCTAACTATTAGATAAGGCTAGGGACTAATGAAAGTATTTAGAAAATTGGGCAGACTAGATGGGCCGAATGGTTCTTATGTGCCGTCACATTCTATGTTTCTATGTCTATGTTTCTAGCCATGGTCAGGATTACAGATAGGCATAAATATGATTAACAAGTCAAGTCAGGATTCCAGAGGTACTCAAATATCCAAGAAATTAGCCAAAATCAATTCTCGCTTCCCAGTAATCACGAGTACCATAAGCACTGCACTGGGATACTATAAGCACTTCCAGCCCCTAGCTGCCACAGCTTGGCTGGGGTCTCGCTGTCTCCGCCCACCCTGGACCCAAGTCCTGGATCCAGCTCCCAGTGGGTAGACCTCTCCTCCAGAGAGTATAGTAGGTATAGCAAGTATAGATGTTCCAGCTGTTCCCCCCACACATGAGTCAAGGTTTAATGCTGGGAGTAGTCTGTTTATTTCCAGCCTGAAATGGAAATTAATCAATAAATATTGATTATCTTGTGTATCTGCCCCTGGCAAAATTGAAGAAGAAGTTCGTGCACGCTCCTGAATTAATTTCACACCGGACACAGGTTTCTGGTTGATGAAAAACTTAGGAATGTTTATTCAGAGGGGATGGCAAGTCCTTTTTAAAGCAGAATTACATCATATGCATTGTCAGAGATAACATGAAATAATACATCATTAATTGGTTGGGTGTTAAGTGTTTTATTCAGAGCACGTCCTACTGGGTGTGCCATCCTACGCCATTACTGTCATCATGAAGTTCTCCCCCGGATTCCAGCACCATCTTGAAAATGAGAGTGTTTAGTCGATGGGTGGGATACTCCTGAGTGACATCTAGTGGTCATTTTAGTAATTTATTGAATAATAATGATTATAACTAAATGGAGTAAATAGGCATTTTACTTTAGCGAATATTCTGTCCACAACAGTCCCCCCTTAAAATTACTATTTACAACTTTAAACAACTATAGTAAGCATTCACAAATCTAAAACAAATCATAAAACAGACAAGGAGAGCAAGAAAAATGAACATTAAGAAGACAGCCACGCCCATCTGTGTCGGAACCTTTTGTCAGCCACTTATCCATCAAACCATCTACCCCATGAATTAATGGTTCTTGAATTCCTTTTAATTCTTCAGAGGGACACACTAACTTCTCTATTGTCAAGGTTCTGTTACCATACGAACCTGTGTTATCTGGAATGTAGGTACAACATGTCATGTCATAGTATCTGGGAGTATTTTACATATTCCTTCCTTCTTTGCCAAAATCGTGTCTAGGGCCATCTGGGATGTGTCTTGTAAGAGTTAAACCAGTTCTTGTAAGGCATCTCTAGTATAATTAACAAAGCGCTGTTGGATGTAATGGATATAATGAATGCAAATCAAAATATTATTAGCAGTGATGGTTGGGGAAATACTCAACCTTCGTCTTTGACTTTGAAACCATTTGGTACCCTCCTTGGCACTCCTATGAAATCAATATATATATAAGTGGGTCAAAACTGCTGTCTACAGGGGTACTCCTTTTGTCCTGAAGCATGAGTGGTGTGTCAAGAGTACCTTTGTGATTGTATCATAAACCTGTCCCATGCTATCTCAGTACAGATAGAGATCATTTATTCAATATTACTATCACCACAAACTCAAAAAAATGGGAGGATGATCCTGAAGAAGCTTCGAAAGTGCGTAGGCACCTCAGCTTCCGGACATGAGGGTATGGAGTCCTTCTGATTCACTTTAGCTTCACGATGTCTCCTTTTGGGGTCCTCGGCTTTTCATCGATGGCAGGTGGTCAGGCATTATTATGGCCATCAAAACACCTACTTGTTGATATTTACTCTAACAAGTTACTTTTTCTTAAAATGGAGAGTCAAAGGGTTGTCAAGATCAACAAACGTTACTTCCTGTGGAGTAGAAGTAGGCTTGAATCTGGAATGGTGAATCCAGGAAGTGATCTCTGTATACTACTGGGCATGAGGACTTGGTTGTCGCATTGGTGACTGGATAGGCCTCTGGCCATCCTGGCAACATGTCTATTATAACTAGTGCATATTCATAACGGCTGCTCTTCGGCATTTGGATATGATCAATCTGGATTCTTCGGAAGGGTATTATGGTTTTGCCAAATAATTTGGTGCAGTTTTGATTACTTTCCCTGGAATACATTTAGCACAGATCATGCATGACTGACAATAGTTCTGAGTGAAAGTAGTTATCCCAGGTGCCTCAAAGCATTTATCAATCAAAGAGTTCATGAGTTGTTTAGATAGATGCGCTGGTCCATTGGACAACAGCTGGGTACATGTTTCTAGGCAAACAGTATTTAGATTTTATGGTGTATATGTCATTCTGGATAATTGCTCCCCTGTCTTTCCAATTCTGTTTTTCTTGCGGGGTAGCAGCGTTTTGTTGCTCTTTCAGGAACTTGAGGTCGGTGGGTAAAGTTTGTAGGTTGTAAATGGGGGCTATTTCACCAGCAACTCTTCTGTCCACTTCCCACCTTTGTCGTGCCACATCCTTAGCTGTCTGGTCGGCCAGATGATTGCCTCGTGCTTCTTCTGAATTTAATCTCCCATGAGCTTTGACTTTCAAAATAACCACTTCAGTTGGTAACAACAATGCATCCATTAATTCATTAATGGTCTCGCCGTGTTTCACAGGAGTACCTGCTGCCGTGAGGAACCCTCTGGTCTTCCAGATTAGGCCAAAGTCGTGTGCTACTCCTAAGGCATACCTGGAGTCCATATAGATATTTACACGTTTTCCCTCCGATATTCTGCATGTCGTTATGAGAGCTATCAACTCGGCTTCTTGAGCTGATTTAGAGTTAGGAAGTGAGGATGCTTGGAGTGTTTGGTCTTCGGTGGTGACTGCATATCCAGTATGATATTGACCTTGTTCATCCGCTAATCTGGAACCATCCACAAACAATACACAATCGGGGTTTGATAAAGCAGTTTCATGCACCGTGGGGAGATGAGTAGGTTCCATTTTCATTTGTTCTGTGGAGCTTCTGGGTCTGGTTCTACAGGAGGCATTTCTTCACATACCTCTGCTTGGTATCGAGGATAACCAAGTGTTTTGTGGTTTATAGTCTTCTTGGTGACCCCTGTTGCTGTAAGTTGGTCGAGTGTTGCAGTGCTCCACTCCTTGGCCATTGGCCCAAGGTCTTTCCATGCAAGATCTGAGGACTTAGTAAACGAAACATGGGGAACAGCCACTTCCCAATGGCGATACAGATATGATACCTCCATCCGCAGACAGACTAAGAGGACAATGTTCCCCTTGGAATCACAGAACAGATCTGTCAGTGTGATTTGCACCTCTACCAGGCTAAATAGTTCTTCTTCATAATGTAAATCAGGGCCTGGAGCGTCCCGAAACCACAGGGTGCAATGTAGGTGTGTTTCAGGTTGTTGATCATGTGGAATTGTAGATTTTTCGATGTGCAGCTCCATGCAGTCATCAGGATATATGTGTAGACTGTACCAGTACTGCTGAACTCCCCCCTTGGGAAGGGGCAGAAGAGTGGCCGGGTTCAGGGTATAACAACGTTGCAAAGAGACATTATCAGGCAGAAGGAGAGAAGTTTGAAGGTGAAGATGCCGTTGACAAGAGAGATGTTTCAGCTGAACTTGGTTAAGAATGGCAGCAATATCATGGGGGGCCAAAACGGTGAGCTTGTGGCCAAGTACGAAATCGTTGGTTTTGTCGAGGAGGGCACGTGCAGCGAAGATGGCACACAAACAGGATGGACCCCCTCTGGCTACGGGGTCAAGCATGCAGAAGAAGTATCCTATGGGACGTTGACAGGGCCCATGAGATTGAGTAAGGACCCTGGAAGTGTGGCCCATTTTCTCGGAGACAAACAGTTTAAAAGGCAATTCGTAGTTTGGAAGGCCTGGGGCAGGGGTGTAGCAAATTGCTTTTGTAGGGCCAGGCACCATCTTGAAAATTAGAGTGTTTAGTCGATGGGTGGGATACTCCTGAGTGACATCTAGTGGTCATTTTAGTAATTTATTGAATAATATTGATTATAACTAAATGGAGTAAATAGGCATTTTACTTTAGCGAATATTCTGTCCATAACACAGCCAAATGGCTCACTTATATACAAAATCTGAGCACAGTGACATGCCCAAAACACACCCATAAACACACCCAACGCATGCCCAAGAAATACAGTGTCACTGTGATTCAGCATAAAACATAAAATATGAAAAACACATAAAAACACACATTTCCCACATAGGAACCTGAACAGTCTATACATCCCCGGATAGCCTGGATCTGAGTGCTCAAGTTGTCCAAATAGCGCTCAGATCCCACGAACATAGCCGAATTGCCACCGGGGTAAAGTTGTGACCGACCGCGTCTGCCCAAATCCGTTGAAGGGATTCAGTGGTAGCAGCTGGTCATTTTCGGTAGTTCCATGCGAAAGAAATACTGAACATAATCCATAATTACAATGTGTAGCTTGTTCACCTCATCCATGCGAACGATTCCACTGAACAGTGCCCTTCCAGGTTGTAGAGAAATGAACGCAGGCGATTATGGAAGTCCAGTGGTGTTCAGGAGTTTCAGTGTCCACTTTTAGTTCCAGGAGCTCGAAGCCCAAACAACGCTGCCTGCGTTCATGGGAACAAGATGGCCACCACCTCGTGGTCGTTCATACGAAAGGCGGCCATCCAGATGAACAATTACAACACTGAGGTGGTTGTTATTGGGCTTAACAAACACACAGGTGGTCCCTGATTTGTGCAGTTGTTGGGTTCCCAAATGGTACAGGGAAATTACATAAACCAAGCCATTTAAAATGTATTTTACAGTTCTTTCTGCAGGGCCTATAGTCCTGAGGCCATGGCAAGGTCATGTGCGCCACACTACCTATGTCCTGACTTGTTCACATCAATCCTTCAACTACCAAAAGTGCAAGATGAGGTTGCCTGGATGACGTGAACACTTCTGAATTAGAAGTGACATTTTGCCAATGTTTGGCATTTAAGAATGTGCCATTCGAGCAGGCAGCATCCAAACTGCTAAGGGAAAACAGGTCACTCGGCCGAATGGTGTATTTGACGTGTGTGACCTGCGAAGTGGACCGAAATCAACAGTGTCGATCAGGTAAGTAAGGACACATTCCTGTCCAGAGAAAAAGGGGGATGGAAAGGAGTAGTGCCTGTTTTTAGGCGGTGGCAAATAAGCAGCATAGGCCTTATTTTAATATTGTTGGATATGTTTTTCAAATGATTTGACTCCTTCGCGACGCATGATGGAAAATTTCCGTCATGCTTGTCCTACCGTTAAAAACGCATTTGGAAAATTTCCGTCATTTACTCAAGTTAACCCCAGATCACCACAATCGATTGCGCTGTCCTTGCAGCTGTGATCACTCTGACAGCCTGTCAGAGCGAGCACATGTACTGCAGGGATTCCTGATACACCTCCCTGCTCTTCTGCATTCAGTGTGAAGTGCAGGGAGATGGATCAGTGCTGCTGATCTTCTCCCTGTTAAAAATAAATAAATAATTTAAGTTAATTCCCACACCTCTTTTACTCATCTTTATTAAAATTATCCCCTTCCCTGCCATTTGATCATTGACTACAGTGATCAAAATACAGATCACAATATTTTACTGTGATTTGATTTTTTTTTAACCCTTGAGGGCTAATTTTTATTTTTTTTAACCCTCAGGGGTTAAATATATTTAATTAATTAATTAATAAATTAATTAAAATATATTTAAATTATATATTTAGCCACCAGTGGTGGAACAAGTCCATCTTTTTCTTACTTTTTCTGTGTTTTAATTTTAATTTTATTTATTATAGGGATGTTGGTGTACACTGTAAAAGGTCTGAAGTTGAAGCAAAAATAGACAGATATACAGTCTTTTAAAATAGGTTCAATTAATGCACAGGGATTAAATGCTCAATGTAAAAGGAGTTTTTTGTATGAGACATTACAAAGGAATAAGCTTGAGATATGTTTCCTTCAAGAAACTCATCGTAAAGACGACTCAGAGATTAAATGGAAATATTCTAACTATGAAATTAAAGGATATTCTTCCTTATTAAACCATGAAAAGAGAGGTGTGGCAATTATTATGTTGTCCAAGATCAAATATGATTTATACTTGAACAAAAAGATCTGCCTGGAAGGTACTTAATTCTGATCTGTAAAACTGAAGATAAAATATACACCCTAGTAAATATATACACACCCGTAACTTTTTTTCTAAAAGATTTAAAAAAATGTTTTTTGATAGATTGGAAGAAATAAAAAAAATGAGTGCTATAGCTGGCGATATGAATATATTTTCTGATGCACTAAAACAAAGAAGTAACAATAAGATAAAAAACAAATCATTGAGAGTGGTTAAGAAAAATTTTTATGTTTTTCTAAACTTATTGGGGCAATATAATTTATTTGATATCTGGAGGGTTCATAATCCAAGAGAAAGAGTTTACCTATTTTTCAAAGGTACACGGGTTGTATTCTAGAATTGACCTATTTATGACAAATACTCAAAGTTTAAAAAATTATTCTAAGTTGAAAAATAGACGTAATATCATGGTCAGACCATGCACCTATTTTAGTTACCATGGAAAAAGAACACACTTTTAACGAATCCTCCTCAAGGATACTCAACGAGACTCTATTAACAGAAGAGAATACAAAATATTTAACCAACATTGTCAAAGATTTTTTTTACTATAAAGTGTCAGAATCAACACTATGGTGTACTTTCAAATCATATATGCGTGGCTTTTTTATTAAACTAGGAGCTGAAAAGAAAACAAAACAAGGAAAACAATTAAACAATTTGTATATTTTATTGTCACAAAAAGAAAGTGGAAAAAAAAAACTCACATAAGCTTAGTGAAGATATTAAAAAAATTCAGATCGAAATCAAAGAAAAAATTGAGATTAAATCCCAGAATGCATTAAGTAAATTAAGGCAATATTGGTACTATCAAGATAACAAAACAGGGAAACTATTATCAAGTAAGTTAAAATCTATCAAAAAAAATAAAATAATGAATAAAATAAAAGGTAATAACATTTGCCTTTCCCCTAAATAAATAGGTCAGGCCTTTTCCAACTATTATGAATCTTTGTAGTAAAATAAAGTGATAGTTCTGTGATAAAAGGCGCTTAAAAGAAGTGGATTGCAATACAATACACAGCAAAGTGGTAGCAGCTCACACACCAAAGATAGGCACTCTCCAACCTATTAACAATCGAATGTGTACAAAAAACGCTATTGTGCAAATAAATGCCAAATAGTGCAAAATGTGGAGCGCTATAACAATAAAATGAACACTTACTCCTGTGATTCTCAGGAGATATAGGTGGTTATACAACCCTTCTTTGCAGCAGCATGACTAGTGATATATTCATGCTGCTGCAAAGAAGGGTTGTGTCACTCTATATTTGACACTACATCTGCATACCAATTGTTATCTATATTTGATCATCTATTATACCAAGGATTTCTACACCAGGGTTAGCATTGCTTCCCTGTTTTCTCTGTTTTTGTTTCCATTTTGAGTACCTAACATGGATGTATAAGGACTTCCTTATAACCACCTATATCTCCAGAGAATCACAGGAGTAAGTGTTCATTTTATTGTTATAGCGCTCCACATTTTGCACTATTTGGCATTTATTTGCACAATAGCGTTTTTTGTACATATTATGAATCTTTATATAATCTTCCTGACACCAAGTTAACAAGGGAGCAGATGAATTGTTTCCTTAATAAAATATCATTGCCACGATTATCACATGATAGACTTTTTAAATAAACCAATAAAGCTTGATGAAATAAAAACAGCGATCCAAAATTTGCAGTTGGCCAAGCACCTGGCCCAGATGGTTATTCAAGAATTTTTTCAAAACCTTTATTGAACAAATTTCTCCTGCCCTAGAAAATCTATTTAAAGAAGTTCAAGAGCAAAAAACATTCCCTGAATAAATGTTCATTCCAACTATTTCTCTCATTCCAAAACCTGGAAAAGATTCCAATTTTGTTTCCAATTACCGTCCAATTTCTTTGATAAATACGGATATTAAAATGTTCTTTAAAATTTTGGCAGAGAGACTGAAGTCAGTGATCTCAGATATAATAAGTCGAGATCAAGTTGGATTTATTACTAACAGGTATGGAAGTGATAATATCAGCACTCTGATTAATATGATTTCCAACATTAACAATAACCATATTCCATCTGCTTTTATTACTTTAAATGCTAAAAAAAGCATTTGATTGAGTCAATTGGAACGTTTTATAACAGGTTTTGGACAGATTTGGGATGACTGGTTCATTAAAAGACTTGGTTATGAATCTATATACAAGTCCATCAGCTAAGATAGCAGGATATGGGACAATATCAGATTGGTTTAAAATAAATAACGAGACCCATCAAGATGGTCCACTTTCTCCTTTATTATATATCCAGTCCATTGAACCGCTAGCTGCACTCATTAGAGAGTCAAATAAAGTCTCTGGAATCCCCACGATAGTAAGGGAAAGTAGACTCTTATTATACGCTGATGATATAATACTTACTCTTAGCAATTTAAGTTCAGTTCCAGCTACTTTAGATATCATTAAAGAATTTGGGTTTTACTCGAATTATAAATTAAATCTGAATAAAACGCAGGTTATTTCTACCAATATTACAGATGAAACGAAGGAGTTCCTCCAAACAACATATTTTTCCTGGAACAAGGAAACAATCGATCATTTGGGCATTGAGTTATACTTTGATGTGGATAGGATCAGGGGCGGACTGACCGGTCGGGCACTTCGGACACGGTCCGAGGGCCCGGCCGGGAGGGGGGCCCGCCGCCAGGGCCGCCTTCAGGGGGCCCGGCGGCAGGGCTGGATTGGGGGCGGCATTTGGGGACTGCAGGTGCCACCGGGTGGCCGGCCCGGTGGCACACTGTGAGGGGGGCAGCCGGCCGTTTGATGCTGCAGCTGCCGGACCGGGTGGCAGCCTCGCCGGTCCGGCGACATTCCTCCTACTAACGCTGAAGAAGGAGGAGGAGGAGGAGCATGTGTCTGTCATGCTCCCTGCGGTTCCCACAATTCCCAGCACAGGATGTGGGAACCGCAAAGGAGCATGACAGACACATGCTCCTCCTCCTCCTTCTTCTTCAGTGTTAGTGAGCGGAATGCCGCCGGACCGGCGAGGCTGCCACCCGGTCCGGCGGCTCTAAAATGAAACGGCCAGCCCCCTCTGACTAGTAAGAGGGGGGAGAGATGGGGAGGGGGGAGAAAGAGAGGGGAGAGATGGGGAGGGGGGAGAAAGAGGGGGGACATAGAGATGGGAAAGGGGGAGAAAGAGGGGGGAACAGAGAGATGGGGAGGGGAGAAAGGGGGGGCAATAAAGAGATGGGGAGAAAGAGAGGGAAGAATGAGACACGGGGAGAAAGAGGGGGAATAGAGAGATGGGGAGGGGGAGAAAGAGACAGAGAGGGAAGAATGAGACACAGGGGGAATAGAGAGATGGGGAGGGGGGAGACAGAGAGGGAAGAATGAGACACGGGGAGAAAGAGGGGGAATAGAGAGTTGGGGGAGGGGGGAGAAAGAGAGGGAAGAATGAGACACTGGGAGAAAGAGGGGGAATAGAGAGTTGGGGGAGGGGGGAGAAAGAGAGGGAAGAATGCCCCCCCTCCCCTGTCCGCAGGCACCGTGCGGGCAGGGGAGGAAGAGAGGACCTGGGAGCTCACCCTGCAGCTCCTCTGGGTCCTTCTTGCGCGAGCACAGAGCGTTGCCGCGGTTACCATGGCAACGTTACTGCTCTTGCGAGAGTCAACTCTAGCCCTGGAGCTACGGGCTAGAGTTCACTCTCAACACTGTAACCCCCATGGATTCCTGGTGGTCGCAGTGGTGAGAGTGAACTCTAGCCCCATAAACACACTGCCCCCACACACACACCATACACATTCACACACTGCCCCCATACACACCATACACATTTACACACATTGCCTCACACACACACATACACTGCCCACCCATATACACACAGACCCCCATACACAGCCCCCCATACTAACATTGCCACACACATACACTGCCCACACACCCTACACATTCACACACTACACCCCCACACACACACTGAACCTTTCACACACATTGCACCACTGCTCCTATTCCCTACTACAGCCTCATATCCCAGCAGACCCCAGGTAAGTTGTCAAACTGTTCTTAAACGGTTTGACTACTTACTCTGGAGCAGTAGTGGTTATTGTGCATGGATTATTTCTTTAAATAATCTACAAGTGCCCCAGTAGCCAGCCAGCCAACCCACAGGCTGGCCAGTAGCCAGCCAGTTAGCCAGCCCACAGGCCAGTAGCCAGCCCACAGGCCTACAGCAAGCCACAGGCTTACAGCCAGCAAGCCACAGCCTGCCACAGCCAGCAAGCCACAGCCTGCCAGCCGCAGTCAGCAAGCCCACAGCCTGCCGGCAGTAGCCAGCAAGCCCACAGCCTGCCAGCCGCAGCCAGCAAGCCCACAGACTGCCAGCCAGCAACAGTAATTAAGGTAAGAGGAGCCAACTTGGCTTAGGTATCAGCGAGCTATGTTGTGTTGCTATATTGTGAATAGGAACCAGAGTGTTGGAGAGACCACCCTCCAGGCCCCATTAGACTCTAGCCTCTGCTAGAAATCCCCTCCATGGCCCATTAGCCCTCAATTGTAGTTTCTACTGGGGCCTGGAGGCGACTGTTTCCAGCAGGGGATATCTAATGGACGCTGAGATGGCCTCTGTTAGAAAGACCCCCTTCCAAGCCTTTTAGACTCTATTGTAGTCTCTAATGGGGCTTGGAGGGGATTCTATCTAACACACTCTCTAAAGGACACTGAGATAGCCTCCGCTAGAAAGACCCCCCTCCATGGCCCATTAGCCCTCAATTGTAGTCTCTACTGGGGCCTCGAAGGGCTTATTGCCCTTTTGTTCCTTGTGTCTAAAGATTGTGTAGGGTGTGGCTGGAGGCGGTGCATGGAGGCGGGACAAGGGTGGCGCTTGCTGCAGAGTATGGGTGGGGCCTGTAAGGGGGCCCTTGATTTATTTTGCCCGGGGGCCCTGAGGGTTCTCAGTCTGCCCCTGGATAGGATAGTGCCCTTAAATTATAACAATCTCCTAAAAGAAATTACAATTATTTTGGACTCATGGAATAAAGCTTGAGTTTCATGGCTGGGGAAAAATAATGTTGTGAAAGCTTACATAATGCCTAAAACAAAATATGTAATGAGAAATATTCCTATAAGAATTCCAGTTAAAATATTAAAACATTTTCATAATTTGATGTGGAATTATGTATGGGATAAAAAGAAGGCTAGGATTTCTAAGACAAATATGATGAGAAAATCAGATGAAGGTGGGATGTCTTTCCCTGATTTCTTTCTTATTTCTAATTCTATAATGTTTTCCCATTATCGAGTATGGAACACAGTTGGTAAAAACCCACCATTAAGGTATCTATACCAGAAATCATGTTGTAACTTAATGTGGATATACTTCCCGATGCTCTGCCTTACTGCCGAGCACCACGTGGAGCAACCCGGAAGTGGGGATCGATCACCTGGCGGCCCAGCAGTGAGGGGGGGGGGTTATTTCAGGATGCCATTGACATTGAGGCATCGCTGCATTACCGTTAGAGCAGCTGGAAGCGACTATGAAGTGTTTAGGAAGGTTTGCAAGTCACATGCAGGGAGGTGTGACAAGGGCTGTAAAAAGAAAGTAATTAAATTAAATTACAAAGAATTAAGCAGTGAGACTGCACGAGTCAATACGGCTCATGTGTGATGTAATTTCCGGTTGACACTGTCTATGTGTATGTTGTGCCGGAACCACTAAAACGTCCATATTGGAGGTGATCAACATCGCCCTAAATGTAATTATAGTATCTAAAAACTCAACTAAACTTAAAATTAACACACACAGGACCATTGATAACATATACATAACACCCTTTACCACATATTTAAATATTGTAATATGGTGATATGTGCTTAAAACTGCAACAAGGTGAAATACCATTAATGATAGGGAGCAAGGAAATACTTTATTTATGGTATATTGACATAGGGCCCAGCAAGGTGGATATAACCCTTATGTGGGAAATATTCTTATAAGAATAGTAAAAATCTATAAAATTAAATAAATAATAGAACAGAAAATACATACATATACCTTAAGCAAAAGAAAAAAAAACATATATTATAAAAAATTAGCAAACTCAAAATTCAAATTTAACCCATCTTATTCAAAAATCCATTTACTTTCCACCTTGCTGAGCTCCCTAAAATTGTCTTCCCCTCTCCCCTCTCTCTTTTTCTTACAGTTAGCCATAAAGCACAAAACCGATGAATCTTTATTATGCACTTCAGTAAAATGGGCTGATACACTGTGTTTGGTGTACCTCCTCTAGATATTCCCCATGTGTTCCAGTATGCGTGTTTTTAAATTCCTTGTTGTCATACCCACATATTGTAAGCCACAGGGACACCAGAGGAGGTACACCACACTGGTAGAGTGACAGGTCAGAATGTCTTGAATTTTATATCTCTTTTTGGAAACGTGATTCAATTTCGTCCCGTTTCAATTTTTTAAAACATGTTCTCCTACAGGCTGTACACATTTTGCAGGGGTAAAATCCTTTCTGTAAATGAAAAACATTCTCTAAGGGTGGATCCTTAAGAAAACTTTTTACTAATTTATTTTTATTATTTTTAGCCCCTCTAAAAACTATATTTGGTTCTTACCCTAAGAATTCTCTTAACTCTTTGTCTGTTTTAAGGATATGCCAATATTTTTTAAAAATATGTTTTAATTTGCCTAGAGTCCCCATTAAAACCAAAATGATGGGGATCCCACTAGGGTTAGTTTCCTTCCTCATCAACTTTTTGGGGTTATCCTTTTTGTATGTTAAAAGATCTTCCCTGTTGAGACTTTTAATATATGAAAAGGATAACCCCAAAAAATTGATGAGGAAGGAAACAAATCCCCATCATTATTAATAACCACACCTCTCTTTCCACTATCATTATTCAACCAAGTGCTAGTGTAGAGGCTAGTTTTGTGACAGATTCAACTGCCACCAATGCAAATTCACCCACATTGTCATCAGCCACAATGTGGTGGGTTGAGGTGCCAAAGCAAAGTTTGACATTACCTTACAAGATTTCCAGAAGAGTAAATTTCAAATTGTGCATCAAGAAAGTGAGTAAGGTGGAGAGTTAAGGGTAATATCTGTAGGTCCTGTATGAACCAACATCTGCAAAGACACCCCATGTCTGTATCACTGAGGGAAGAGCAGAAAGAGAAATAGGGCCAGCAGTAGGTAAACTGGTACAGCATCTGATTCTGCACAGCCAATGACTACCATTAATATCTCTTACACGATTTAGGCAGGCCAGGAGAGAAGTTGAGCCTAGTTGCACTAGATGACAGGGACAGATGGACTCCCAGTCTTCATGATCCCAGGAGCATTTCCACCAGGCCACTTCTGAACATTTAGTTGGATTTCATACTAGGGGCATGTAAAGACAGCAGGATAACAAAATTGCCCACGTAATTGCCCAGATAATCATTGTATGGGGAGCCTCCTTTTCCATGAAAGAAGGGAATTTCTTTGAGCAGCTGATACAGGCCCTTTCTCTGCAATATGTACTTCCCTCATGATTTACTTTCAGCATGACCATAGCTCCATAACTGTACTGCTACTCTTACTTAAGGAGCAGTTGGCTAAGGCTGTTGGTCAGTGGGTGCACTTCACCACATGTATATGGAGTTCTTCTAGTACTTCTAGTGGTTAGAATGTATACCTCTCCTTGATGGCACACAGGTGGTTGTAGTGGAGGAGGTCCAACCTTAGCAGCATATCATCTGTAGGGAAGCAGGGATATAAATCTCTCTTGCTACATGCTGAAGTGATGGACAGAAAGCAAATTTCAGTAAACATAGAGCAGGCAATTCGAGGAATGGGATCATATTTGTAGCGAGACGAGGCAGGCACCAATCTGCATGTTTGGTTCATGATCACTGACAGAACTGCTAACATGGTCTGCGACAAGTTTCCTTTGTAGGTGTTCCCTGTTCTGCACACATTGTCTATCTTACACAGCTGTCCAATGTAAGAAAGTGTTTTCTGAATACCCAGCACTTGCAACCCTCAACTAATGGAACAAACAGCTGTCCTCAATTTCAATCTTGTCCATACCTTTTATATGTGCTGCTGTTAGAGATTCATTCACACTTTTTTTGTGCCGAGGACATGATTTGAGAAGCAGAGAACTGACCTTTTTCATCCTTGTTTGTTCATATCGTTCACTGGTGTGATGTTGTCTGACTAAAAACTGACAGCTTTCTTCGCAATCCAATGCTGTAATGCCAAAAGAGCTATGAAAACAGCTTTCATCTCTCTGTTAATGGATGATTGAGCTGCTTCCTCTGCAGACCAAATGACCTGGCAAAAGATGTGTATAGGGATACACGGCCCAGCTGAACTTTGAGGATCTGTTGTAAAAGTGAGTCTTACCCTTGACAGGAAGGATAATCCTAGGGATGGGAATGTTGATGCTTTCCACCATTTCAGTTGCTCAGAACGCTGGTGGACAGATTGAATTCTCCATCTATATCGTCCCTTGACCAATTTCTTAGAATCTCCTACAGAAGCAGACTTATATCTGCTTTTTTTCTGCCAGAATGGAGAGCACATAGAATACACAGTCTTCCTGATTGAACATGTTGGCTCTTTCTGAAGAAAATATTTCCGCTCTTTTGAGCAGGCAGGTATAGAGAGAGTAGTTGATTCCACTAAAAGACCCAGGAGCTGAATCTTTTGTAGTAGGTGAAAGTTGAGACTTCTTCTAGTTGATTATCCAACTCTGGTCTTGTAACATTGGATAAAAATACAGGATAACCGCGCCTATCATAATTAGTGTATTAAAATAACTTAATAACACATTGGTGCAGTATATGAAGTTAAAGGTATAGTCCAGGCACCCAGACCACTTCTGCCCATTGGAATGGTCTGGGTGCCAACTCCCACTACCCTTAACCCTGCAAGTGTAATTATGTCAGTTTTCACCTTGCAAGGCTAAGTTCTTAGAACACGAAAAGTGCTTCAAGCAACGCTGGATGTCCTCACGCTATGTGAGGACCTCCAGTGTCGCCGAAATCCCCATAGGAAAGCATTGAATAATGCTTTCCTATTGGGATGTTTTAATGTGCGTGCGCAGCCATTTTGCGCATGCGCATTAGGTTTCCCTGCTGGCTGACGTTGGCGGGGATGGACAGAAGGCGGAGCCTGACCAGAGCAGAAGGACATCGCGCTGGACTCCAGTAAGTCACTGAAGGGGTTTTACCACTTCAGCAACTTGGGATGGGGGGTGGGAGGGAGAGGGGCACTACAGGGTCCTGCAGTGCCAGGAAAACTTATGTTTTCCTGGCACTGGAAAATCCCTTTAAGATACATACAGGTTGTAAATACAAATATTAGCACAATATAGGAAACTATAAAGTGCATATAAAGTGTGTAAAAGAACACTCCAAGAGCTATGCCGGTATTGGCGTGGACGGTATAATCCCTGTCTTAGGATATAGGCTGATCACAGGCCTTTATCTCACACATCTGTTTTATGAGCTCTTCTAATTGAGCATCAAACAAGTTATTTATTTCTAAAGGTTATTTGCACAATGCAGATTTTGTTTCACAGACTTATCTGTACCTGATGAAAGCACCACTCCCCTACTTGGTCTGTGTGAGCAGAATCCTAGATGTGGCCGCATTGTCTGAATAGCTAATAATCACCTTTGAATAAAATTGCTCCACATCATCTCTGCAACTCCTAACAGCATTGGGTCACCTAGGTGACGCGGTCCCTTTAAGAGTGTGACGTCATGCTTGTTTTTTTGTGTATCCATATCTTTGTACTTTTGACCTTGGCTATTCCTGACCTTGATTCTTGTAATGAACCACCTGTATTTTGTATAATACGTTTGTTTGCACACTCATGAACTGCTCGAGGCTTGAGTGATTATAGCCCGTTCGCATAGTACGCTAGTCCGTACTCTCCCAAAATCCAAGCAGGTCGAGAAGTTTCTTTGAAGTTAAATGAGCCAGGGGGCTAGTCTGTGTTCGGTAGCTCAATCTACCGAATGTAGGGAAAATAACTGGGACAAGGAAATACAGGGTTTTGTCACAATTATCTCTTGTAAAGTGTTACAACCACCCACTCTAAGGCCCTGTAATATGACTTTTGGGCCCTAACTTTGTCGGTATCCTTTTTACTGTGTGTAAGGATAAGGGCAACTGTGACGTTTTGATGCTGAATCTGCCGTCCATGACCTGAGCCACAATGGCCTTCAGGTAACTGAAGACAAACCCATAACATGAGCAAACAACTACTGTCGACATATCAATCAAAAATGAATTCACCAATCTTTTTGCGCTAGATCCTTCTAACACACATGTGCAGTAGTGCGGACTGAACTTTTGTGGAATGCAAGGCGAGAGGCGAGAGGAACTTTCTATATCCAATAAAGTAACCCTGCAAAAAAAACCTTAATACAATTGATAAAAAAAACAAAAACTCCTACTAACCATATAAATGCTGGCGTCCCAAAATCACTTTCAGTTCTTTCTTCTCCTAGTCTGTAAAGCTAATTTTTCTATTTTCGAACCATGTGCAGTTACTGTGCAGTGGTTTTTATGCTGAGGTTTCCAGCAATTGGCAGATAGGCAGTACCGGGTGGCACGCCAATCAGTAAGCAGGTTCTGAGCCTGCGTTCTGTAGTGGAACACATGCCCGAGAGGGGCATGTGTTCCACTACAGAACGCAGGCTCAGAACCTGCTTACTGATTGGCGTGCCACCCGGTACTGCCTATCTGCCAATTGCTGGAAACCTCAGCATAAAAACCACTGCACAGTAACTGCACATGGTTCGAAAATAGAAAAATTAGCTTTACAGACTAGGAGAAGAAAGAACTGAAAGTGATTTTGGGACGCCAGCATTTATATGGTTAGTAGGAGTTTTTGTTTTTTTTATCAATTGTATTAAGGTTTTTTTTGCAGGGTTACTTTATTGGATATAGAAAGTTCCTCCCCAACTGGTTCTATACTGCCACTATATGTTAGGACAAAAAATTCAATTAAAATAGAAGAGTGTGAAGTCACGTTTTGTAAATGATTCAAAACTGTTAAAAATATTTCCAAATAATTTTTCTACAAAAATGTCTATAGTGTGAAGAGACTGTCTCTGCAGTATAAAAGGCATTAAAAAGACAGAATTCATGTTTGCCCCCAAGAATACTTCTAGTGGATGTCACTCTAGTTACTTCCTATCACATTCTTGCAAGTTTTGCAGAACCATCATTAGACACTTTCATGTACTGAATTAAGACCCTAACACTCTATATAGAATTGTATTGTGTTGTGCATCTTTAGGGAAATGCTGAGTGACGATTGCTGGGAAAATGCAGTAGGCTTCCTAATCCCTCTTTATAGAGATAATATAATGATAATCTCAGCAATTGCCAGATTAAGACTTACTCGGCAAGGGAAAGAAAGTGATTCTGCTATATTTTGCTTTATGTAATAAGTCTAGTAGGAGTACATTTAAGCAATAAATACTGGTTTGTATTTCTAACATTAAAATGCTCCTCTGCGATAATGTAGTATTTTGAGAGCAAGTCACTCACTGAGAAGCTTGACACGTGGGAAAAACTTTCCAGCAAGAGGCATAGGTTTTTGGTCAGCTGCTTTGCACAGAATTCAATTGTCCCTTCTACTTTGCTGTTGCAAAATATATGATTTTTGAATTAATTTTAGATGAAAATATGATTTTTTGAATTAATTAAATAAAATATATATCTTCAATTGCAAGAACACATCAGTTGCAGAGAGGTATGCCATTAAATGTTACATTAATAAATAAACCATAATGAATTATTATGTAAAATTTATATTAATCTTTTGTTTAGCCTGAAACCTTTCATTCTCTCTTTTTTTTTACAGTGAAAAACTATGCAACGCATTGTATTGCACTATTTATAGTTTTTTTCTTTTTGAGTGGTGCAATGTATTTCTTGTACTTCCATTACCAAGTTGATGCTGTTCTTTTATATCGGAAGATATTTGCAAAAAGCAGATCACGAGAAGGTAAGCTTCTAAAAAATCCTAAAAGCACTGATCCCTCCCCCAAGATTATTATAAACACTAGGTACTTAGTTAGTTAGGTACAAATAAATTATTTTTAACTGTATTTAAAAAAAACAAAACAAAAGACAGTTTTATATGCAAAATGTAGGACAAATTAGCTGTAAAAAAACAGCTGGCTGGATCATTTTTCCAATTTGGCTATTTTGACATAAAGTTTACACTACATAATTCTACAATTTTTGGAATAGTAAATAAACCTCATAATAATTTGCTGATACTCAAAATGGCAATGTGTGTGAAACATTTCACATATTGTGTTGCTCCTATTTACTTAAAGGTTGTGTATGATCTTATGGTGGAGTTTTATCCTGAAAGAAATTTTGCAGTAAAAGAGCACTCTTTATTTCATCAAAGAACAAAATTGATGTGAATCAAAATTGTGGTCTAGTATTCACTGTCCAGATCATCAAAGTTAACTAAATACAATTAGATAATTAGAATGAATCTTACGTATTACGTTAACTGTTCTCACGGAATACCCAAGAGTCTCAATAGTCCTGGTTTTGGTGGGACAGTCCCGATCACAGGTCCTGTCCATTTGTTCACTTTAGTACCCTTGTGTCCTGTATCTGGGGACACCAGGAACTGTAAGGATTGTCAAGGTTGGCTAAAATTAGTTTTAAGACCCCTACTCCATATATTTGGCTTGTTTACTTAATTGCTTTTATTCACCTATATGCACATCTCTCTGTGATTTCTGTACCTCCCTTAATTTATTGATTCCAACCCATATTTCTTTGCATGACTAACCCTCACCTTAACTGTGCATAGATGAATCTCCCCATTCCATAGCTTTATTGTAGGCCTATTTTACCCTATTATCTCTCTCCCACGGAGTTAAAACATACCCTGCCTCATTTCAGAACAGAACTCAGATGCCCTCCCACCCTGCCTCTCATCCACCCAACCCTAGCTCATCTACTAAGTTATAGATAGTCGGCCACACAACTTTAATTCTGCAGAAATTACAGTTGAAAACACTAATCAGCACAATACTGCATTTTCTTAACCCCTTACAATATATGCCAACTACTCCTACTTTTATATTTCAAATCAATGTTTTATCAATCTTACCGCCACTTCTCTCAACCACCCAGCAGCCTCCACATTTCATCCCCTCTGCTACACCTCACCCTTCTCTCATCTCATGCCCTGCCCCCATTTCTATATTCTCTCTCTCCAACTTTCAAAATAAATATGGACCTCTCGCCTGTTATTTTCAAGTGTGTGCACTGTGTAATGCCCTCCTGCTTCTAGCAGCCAGGGCCCTTCACCTCCTCTGTGCACACTAAGCCTACCAGAAACCACATAAATCTCATCTCAGTACCTTGTAAATTCTCCTCATCTCATATTCAGTTTGCACTGTGGAACGCTATGTCTGCTGCAATCTGAAATTGACAACAATACACAACCTCTGCATTTCAAAATTGGTCACCTTACTAGCACTCACTGAGAACTGGCTGGCCCTGTCTGATAGCACTACTCCAGGTTTCTTTATGTTTTGGTGGGCTACAATTCTCCCACTCACAGACTTAACGACTGTAAATGATGTGGTGTAAGCATTATTCTCTCCCCCCAATAAATCTTTCAACCAATCTTGCTTGCCCCTGCCTTTTCTTTTCCTTCCTTTGAAGTTCACACTGTCTGCTTATTTTAACCCACTCCTTTAAGAACTACCATAATTTATTGCCTCATCCTGGTCATCCTAGCATATATACTGAACACTTTTCTATATGGCTACCCTACCTCCCCTCCTCTAGCACGCCTGCTTTTATCCCTGGGGACTTTAATATCCCAATCAACAACCTTAACAGCTCTGATGCCTCTATGTAACCTCCTTCTTCGGTAATGTTCTAATTCTATAAGAGTGGGAAACTCTTGATCTCATTTTCACTCTGTAACACCTCTAATCTCTCAAATTTTCACTTTACTCCGTCTGAGCAACATCTGCTGAACTTTGACAATGGAATAGCCTGTACCCTTGTCACACCACCCTCGGTACATCAATATCGTAGAAACCTCCAATGTCTTAAGTACAGCAATTCTCCAACAACATCCGGACTCTACATTTACCCATATCAAACATCATCTGTAGTAGCTCTACAACCTCCCTCTACAACTCCACCCACTCCTCTGAAGTAAATATCATGGCACCTCCTTTATTTAAACATTGTAAGCTACCCTGGCTACAACCCTGGCTCATTAAGCTGACCTACTACCTCCACAAACGCTCCAGAACTGCTGAAACCTGCTGGAGAAAGTCTCATTTTATGTCTAACTTCCTCCACTATATATTCACGCTAAGCTCCGACAGTTTGGTTCTTTCCTCCGCAAAAGAAAACTACTTCAACATCCTAATATTCATGCACTTCCCAGAATCCATATGCCTCTTTTACAGCGTTAACTCTCTTTTCCACCCTGTTGTAGCTCCTTGTCCTGATAACGTGACCGCTATAAACTTCGTAAGGCACTTCGCAAGATTTCAATGATCACGAAAGAGATATCTAATCTCTCTCCTACCCCTGCCAAAAATCTTCCCAACTTCGTACCCTCTTTTGTTTTATCTTCACTCGCACCTGCAACACTAGCAGAGGTTTCTGCTCTGCTTTGGTCCTCCAGCCTATTCCCTCACATTTAATATATGCTCTGTCTCCTTCTCTTGCTCTGCCCCTCACTACAATCTCAATTTCTCTCTTTTCTCTGGCATATTTCCTTCAGCCTTCGAGCATGCAATTATCACCCCAAATCTAAAAATCTAACTCCCCATCCAATTACAGCCCTATCTTGCTACTACCATTTGACTCCAAGATCTTCGAGAGAGTTGTGTACACTAGATTGATCACTAGATTGATCAAATTACTTACATCCAATTCTCTGCTCGACCGCTTCAGAACAGATTCCATACTTATTACTCTGTTGAAACTGCCCTGACCAAAGTATCCAATGATTTAATTGTTCCTTAATTGCTTAATCCAGACAGTGCTACTATTTAATTCCCCTTGACCTTTCTGCTGCTTTCCTGGTTCTCCTCCTAACTCTTCCAATGCTCTTTCAGTGTCTCTTTTTCTGGCTCTTCCACTCCTCCACAACCTCTCTCTGTCCCTGGTCCCCTACTGCGTCCCTTAGTAAACTCTTGGTAAAGCTTTTTTGTCTTCCAATCTCATTTATATGCAGATGACAAGCCAATCTACCTGTCCTCTCCTGATTTCTCGCCATCGTTCTTGAATTATCCCTCTGACTGCGTCACTGCTATTTCCAACTGGATGATTGCTTATTTTTTTAAACTTAACCTGTCCAAACAAAACTTCTTGCCTTTCTTCCCTCAAGTATTGCTGCTCCTGTGTCTGTCTCCCTCCAAGTCAATGGCTGTGTCTGTCACCCTCCAAGTCAAGTCAGCTCTACCTCGCAGGCTTGCTGCCTAGGTGTTCTCTTTGACTTTGACCTCTCCTTCACCTCTCAAATCCAGTCACTTGCCAAATCCTGCTGCTGCTATTTTAAAACATAGCTTGCATATGCTCATATCTGTCACCAAATGCGGCCAGGGTGCTTGTCCATGCCGCTATCATCTTTCACTACTGCAATCCGCTTCTCAGTGGTCGTAGGCATTGCCAGCTGGTTGGCTGGTCTTGCCAAGTCTACAATAAATGTGGTGGCAAGGCTCTTCTTCCTGTCTGCCCGCACCTCCCATGCTTTCCCCTCTGCCAATCCTTACACTGGCTCAATTTAAAATTCTGGTGCTTGCTTACAAATCTCTACATAAACCTGCTCCTTCCTACTTGTCCTCACTGATACACAAATATGCACTGTACAGGCCCATATGCTCTGCTGAAGATCTGCATCTATTCTCTGTTCATACTTGCACCTCTGATGCCATCTTGCCTATGGAACTCCCTTCTCTGCTCTGTTAAACTCTCACCCAGACTTAGTACCAGATCATTAAAAACTCACTTCTTTAAGAAAGCATATCAGTTAAACTGTTGATAGCTTTCCCTCAACGCACCTTAGTAATCCAGCCTGCATCCTCCCCTGCAACTGTGACTGTGACATCCACAAACTAACCCTTCACTGTAAAGTACTCCAGTAACCTACTTTTTACCGTACATATATCCTACCCTTACAACATTTGCCACTTTATCCCACTACCTCTAGAATGTAAGCTTGTTTGAGCAGGGCCCGCAACACCCTCTGTTCCTGTGCATCCAGTTACAGAATTTGTTGGCACTTTATAAATAATAATAATAATAATATCCCTATGTTGAATTCAGATGGATCAGAAGAAAGCTGATTACAAATAATCATGTTCACCATCTATATGAAATAGAAGAGAAAGATAGCCATCCTTTCTTTTAGCTTGTCATATTTATATTTGTTTACACTCTTATTACAACATTTTACTACTTACCTGGGGTCTTCTATACGTCACCTCTTCCAGGAGAGCTTGCAGCTCTTTTAACTGAGCTAGCCTGGTGGTGCAGGGTTTAACTCGTTGGCAGAGAGCAAGGCTTAGTTAAGGGGAGCTAACAGAAGTAATGTGCAGGAGGTTATGGCTGTCCTGGAAGCGATGATTAGTGCCTGGCAGACCATAGGAAAGCTTGAAATCCATTGACAAATGATTTGACTACTTATGCCAGCAGGGTGCCAGGAAATTCCTGGCACTGTAAGCACTACATAACTCTGTAGTTGTTATGGGTTCTGGAGTGTTTCTATACTATGAAGCGCTTTAAGAAATGCTGATATAATTAGGGTCTCTTCCTCAGTGGTCTGTCCCATTTCGGCCAAATTAAAATTTTTACACTTACATTAGCTTGTTGGGATGTAATTCCAAGACTAACAAATAACCACAGTTCATAACCACACATTTCATATGCCAATATTATCTATGTATGCAATAAATGCTTGATTTTTGGAAAAGCATAAACTATGGGTATTTTTTCATATAATTAGTACTAATTAGTATATGACTTGCAGATGGAAAAACATATGATGCATACGTGATCTATCCAACGCATTGTCAATCCAAGCATGAAGAAACTGAATATTTTGTTAACCATATTTTAATTGATGTTTTGGAAAATAAATGTGGATACACGTTATATGTTCCAGGAAGGAACAATGTGCCTGGTGAAGGTAAGGATGCATAGAAATATGCATACCATGGAAATATTTCTTGCATTATGAGTTTAAATTATGCATAAATATACAGGTTTTTAGATTACTCCTTTTGTTAACGATTGTAGTGATAACAATTCTGAATTTCAAACTGGGCACCAGTCCAGACAAAGTAAAATATAGTCGAATAGTTAGGAGTGCTTCAGTATGTTTTATTTCAGTTGCTTGAATATAATATTAAATGTTGCTATGAGTTATTATATACTACATATGGCAGAGGCGTAACTGGAAACCACCGGGCCCAGGTGCAAAAATTGCCCTGCTCCCCGACCGCCAATGTGTCTCATTCTCTCCTCTCAAGACCCTCCATATGCATCATTTCTTCCACCCAGCTCCTTCATGAGTTTCATTCCCCATGCTGCCCCCATGTGTCTTATTTCATCCCCAGCCTCTCTATGGGTTTCATTCAACTCCCAGCCCCTCCATGTGTCTCATTCCACCCCATGCCCCTCCATGTGTCTCATTCATGCCACAAGCCCCTCCATGTGTCTCATTTGCCCCCCAGCCCCTCCATGTGTCTTTCCCCCCTAAGGTTCTTATTATTTCCCCCCCAATCACCTCCATGTGTTTCATCCCCCCACACGTGTCTCATTCCCTCCAAACATCCCCTTCAGGTGTTAAAATCCCCCCCAAGTCCCATTTCCCCCCAAGGCTTTTCACATGCATCACCCCCCTCCAGTCTCACACACTCCATGTGTGTCACCTCCCAATGCACCCCTCCGCCTTGTGTCCCATTCCCTCCCAAGCCCCTGCATGTGTCTCAGCCCTTGCCCCCAAGCTAGAGCCATGTGTCCCCCCCCCTTTGTACCTGCTCACCACAAGCGGTACCACCGATCAGACAGGAAGTGGTCGCTCAATGAGCACTTCCTATCAGACCGTCGGCTGCGCTACACACAGGGCAGGAGAGGAGCAACACAGCACAGTGCTCCCCTCCTGCCGTTCACCATAGGATTGTGCGCCGCGGGCCGGTGTGGCAGGGCAACTGTCCAGAAGGTTTGCAGGTGGCCCAGGGTCGCAGGTGTTACAGCGGCAGCCGCGCCCCCTGAAGTAAGTAGTTATGCCACTGACCCATGGACATAAGCTGTAATCTCCAAATAATGTAAAATTGTAAAATGTATTTTAAATGTTTTCTATGGTTTTCATGTCCATAGATATTGCAAGTTGTGCAGCGACAAACATAGAGAAAAGTAGAAGGCTTATCATCATTCTATCGACTGAAATGGAAAATATAGAAACATTGTACGAGCAGCGGATTGGTCTTCATAATGCCCTGATAAAGAATAATGTAAAAGTTATTATTATAACAATGGGCAATATAATAGATCACACACAAATGCAAGAATCTCTCCGACATGTTGTGAGACAAAAAGGAACTATTAAATGGGACACCTCCAATAAAAACCTGACACCAAACTGCAAATTCTGGAAGCTCGTGAGGTATCACATGCCGTGATGAAAATGCATTATTTTTCTTTCAAGAATATCAACATTGATTTTCTCTTTTTCCTCTAGAAATTAAAAATCCAGCCAATATACTTACTTTGCAAATGTAATACTGCCATGATTATTGCTATGAAAATACATTTTTGCAATTTCTGACAAGGTTTTTGTATTGCAGTGTTATAGTTCTTAGTGCAAGCTTCTTAAATGTTCAGTATATGCAATATGCACAGAATTGACTTTAGTAAATGGCTAATGACATCCCAATGACGCTCCCAGAGGAGGAGTTACACCTTCGGCAGTAAATGGGTAAAGCTCTGTATGTGCAGTGGTTCATAGCGAAATTATGCAGATACAGGCACCAAGCACCATGACCACTTTAAATCATTGATGGTGCTTAGAGTAACCCTTTAACTAGGCCTGTATGGCTCTGTACATCTTATTAGACCCCATGCTGTTTAAATTTGTGAGTTGGACACCTAAGCTCATGTTTCCACTAGTAAACAATACAGTAGTTGACTACTTGAATTCAGGGATCACGCTGCTGATAACGTAACCTCTCTATGGGACATAATTTAACTATCTTATCTTATTCACTGGAGATAACATCTGGCATGCAATCATGGCCTCCATCCCACACTAGTGATGGAACTAATATAGAGAGGGCCTAGTGCAAGAATGTTTTTTGGGTGTCCCGTCTAGTGCAAGAGTGGAGAAAAGATAGATACCCGTCGTACAACTCCCACGATGCTATCCCAGATGGGGATCTACCATTTTGCCATTCTTGTAGGGTTGTATTTGTGAGTAGTGTTTGTGAATTTGAATGTAAGCATATTTTTGTACAGAGTATGTGTGTGCATGTAGGTGTGTATTTGTATGCACTGTTACCATTGGAATACAGTGGTGTACTTGTGTGTAGTGTTTGCGTTTTAATGCAGGGGTGTGTGTTTGTATGTAGTGTTGGCTTTTAAATGCAGGTGTGCTTTTGTGTGTAGAGTTGGTGTTTGTATATAATTTTAACATTTTAATAAAGGGGTGTGTTTGTATGTAACGTTTGTAATTGCATGCAGGGATGTGTTTGGATTTAGTGTTGGCTTTTAAATGCAGATGTACATTTGTGTATAGTGTTGTATGAGTGAATGGCATGTTTGTATATAATTTTGGAGTTTGAATTCAGGGGTGTGTTTGTATATAATGAATGTGTTTGATTGCATGGATGTATGTACATACATACTAACACAGATATACATACACATTGACATGCAGATACACACATAAACACACTGATACATGCACACACCTGGACACATGCACACACCTTAAAATACAGATATTAACAAACACAATGGCATATACACACACTAGCACATACATACACACTCAGATTCACACTTTGACACACATATACACACACACTGGCACATCCACACACATAGATACACACTGACACAAACATGTTCACACACTCAGTTACACACAGACACACAGGTACACATGCAGGGGTGTATTTGTGTGTGGTGCTGGTTTTGGAATGCTGGGATACATGCATTGCCACATACATACAGATGCACACTTACACAAACACTGAGATACACACAGGAATACAGACACACATGCAGTGGTGTATTTGTCTGCAAAGTTGTTGGAATGCAGGAGTGTATTTGTGAGCAGTGTTAGTGTTGGAATGCAGGGGTGTATTTGTTTGCAGTGTTTGCAGTGGAATACTGGGATGAATGCATTGCCACATGCATAGATACACACTTACACATACTGACACACACATATATACACACATGCTCAGAAACACACACGCATCCAGTTGACACACTTACACGTACACATTGACACACAAGTACACATTCACAGGTATACATTCACACAGATACACATAAACACAGATGTACATTCACAGACACACAGATACACACACACAGCCAGATACACACACAGCTAGTCCCTCTCCTCCTTCTGTGTGTGCCTCCTCCACCTTCCCAGCGGCACTCTGTTACTTGGGACGAAGTTATCTCACTTCACTTCCACTCAGCAGGCAGCATGAAAGGGGCACAGACCAATTTCTTTTGGGGCAGCTATTTTAAAGCCCCCTAGGAGTAACTGGGCCCAGGGCAGCTGCCCCATTTGCCCCCCCTTTAAAGACGGCCCTGTTTGATATCCAACATTTTTTTCACTTTTGCAGGGCTTCAGGGACTGTACTATAATTTGTGGACCTGAAATGAACTCCTCCGCAACCCAAGGTATAAGCATATGCCATCTACCACAGCATAGAATTATATTCTGGTTATGATTGATAAATAGTGATGCACCGAACGGTTCGCTGGCGAATAGTTCCTGGCGAACATAGCATGTTTGCGTTCGCCACGGCGGGCGAACATATGAGCGGTTCGATCCGCCCCCTATTCGTCATCATTGAGTAAACTTTGACCCTGTACCTCACATTCAGCAGACACATTCCAGCCAATTAGCAGCACACCCTCCCTAGCAGACCCTCCCACCTACTGGAAGCATCCATTTTACATTCATTCTCAAGCTGCATGCTTAGTGAGAGGAGGGAAAGTGTAGCTGCTGTTGATTAGATAGGGAAATGCATAGCTAGGTTAGGGTATACAGTGTCCACTACAGTCCTGAAGCACTCATCTGATCTCTTCTGTAAGGACAGCACCCCAAAAAGCCCTTTTTAGGGCTAGAACATCAGTCTGCTTTTTTTTTTTTTTCTGTGTAATGTAATTGCAGTTGCCTGCCTGCCAGCTTCTGTGTCAGGCTCACAGTGGATACTGTGCCCAGTGCCACCACTCACTCACTGGTGTCACAATAGCTTGCATTTAAAAAAAATAAAAAACATTTCACTATAATAGATTGAATAGCAGTTAGTGGTCTGCCAGCTTCTGTATCAGGCTCACAGTGGATACTGTGCCCAGTGCCACCACTCACTCACTGGTGTCACAATAGCTTGCATTTAAAAACAAAAAACTTTTTTCACTGTTATAGATTGAATAGAAGTCAGTGTCCTTAAAGCGGGTGTGTCAGGCTCACAGTGGATACTGTGCTCAGTGCCACCACTCACTCACTGGTGTCACAATAGCTTGCATTTAAAAACCAAAAACTTTTTTCACTGTTATAGATTGAATAGCAGTCAGTGTCCTTAAAGCGTGTGTTTCAGGCTCACAGTGGATACTGTGCCCAGTGCCACCACTCACTCACTGGTGTCACAATAGCTTGCATTTAAAAACAAAAAACTTTTTTCACTGTTATAGATTGAATAGCAGTCAGTGTCCTTAAAGCGGGTGTGTTACGCTAACAGTGGATACGGTGACCAGTGCCACCACTTAGATCTGGTGACACAATAGCTTGGATTTAAAAACAAAAAACTTTTTTCATTGTTATAGATTGAATAGCAGTCAGTGTCCTTAAAGCGGGTGTGTTACGCTAACAGTGGATACGGTGACCAGTGCCACCACTCACTTGTGTCATAATAGCTTGAATTTAAAAACAAAAAACTTTTTTCACTGTTATAGATTGAATAGCAGTCAGTGTCCTTAAAGCGGGTGTGTTAAGCTCACAGTGGATACGGTGCCCAGTGCCACCACTCACTCATATCTGGTGTCACAATAGTTTGCATTTAAAAACAAAAAACTTTTTTCACTGTTATAGATTGAATAGCAGTCAGTGTCCTTAAAGCGGGTGTGTCAGGCTCACAGTGGATACTGTGCCCAGTGCCACCACTCACTCACTGGTGTCACAATAGCTTGCATTTAAAAAGAAAAAACTTTTTTCACTGTTATAGATTGAATAGCAGTTAGTTGTCTCAAAGCTGGTGTGTCAGGCTCACAGTGGATACTGTGCCAGTTCACAGTGCCACTCCTATCTGGTGGCACATTAGATTGCACGCGCAGTGCCCCAAATTTGAAGAAGGAGGACCGACCAAGCATCTTTTTCCATCTCCCGGTTCCTAAAATCGATGCCATATACACGTCCCCTGATAGGGGACGTAACAGGGATTAAACTGATAAGCATAGTACTACTTAACACACCACTCCTATCTGGTGGCACATTAGATTGCACGCACAGTGCCCCAAATTTGTTGTGATCTGTGAGTAAGGTAAACGGTTGTCCATACAAGTAAGGTTGCAGCTTTTTGAGGGCCCACACCACCGCCAGGCACTCCTTTTCAATGGCAGTGTATCTACTTCCCTGGGCAAAAGTTTCCGGCTTAGATAAGCCCCGGGTTGCTCGCCGCCATCTGCTCCGACTTGGCTCAGTACTGCTCCCAATCCAACATAGAAGCGTCTGTATGGACGAGAAAGCGTTTAGTTGGATCAGGAGCAGAAAGTACAGGTGATTTAATGAGCGCCGTCTTGAGCTGTTGGAAGGCCTGTTCACACTCTGGGGCCCATACTACTATCTTGGGGAGGTTTTTACACGTTCCTATATGGCACTTACTGGGCTTTAGGGTCAGTCCAGACTCCCTAATCCGGTCTAGTACGGCTCCTATGTGGGTCAGGTGTTCGGGCCAGGAGCAGCTAAAAATGGCTATATCATCCAAGTAGGCGCAGGCATACTCCTGAAACCCATCCAGTAGCCGATCTACCATCCTCTGAAAGTTAGCCGGGGCATTCTTCATCCCGAATGGCATGACCTTAAACTGATACAGGCCAAACGAGGTGACAAATGCCGACTTGTGGATGGCGTCCTTGGCTAATGGAATTTGCCAGTACCCCTTGCACAGATCTATTGTGGTGAGGTACTGGCCTCTGGCCATTTTGTCTGGGAGCCCGTCTATCCGGGGCATAGGGTAGGCGTCTGAGGTTGTTTTATCGTTTAGCCTCCGGTAGTCTACACAGAAACGGGTCGTGCCGTCCCGTTTCGGTACTAGTACTACCGGGGAGGCCCAGGGGCTGTCAGAGTGTTCTATCACCCCTAACTGCATCATTTCCTCAATTTCTTTCCGCATATTTTCTTTAACTGTTTCGGGTATGCGATAGGCGGTTTGGCGAAGGGGGTTCTGGTCTAGGGTTTCAACTTTGTGAGTGGTTAACGGACTGTACCCAGGTAGGTTGGGAAACATGGCCCCCTTGTCCTGGATTAGTCTTTGGACCTGAGTTTTCTCCTGGGGGTCTAACTGTTCTCCTAACTGTACTTCTCCCAGGTCTCCGCTCTGGCCCTCTTGGTCTAGGAGATCTGGGAGTGGCAAATTATCATAATCTTCAGTGGCAGGTGCACAGATCGCGGTTACCTCTTCCTTGCGTTCGTGGTATGGCTTGAGCATGTTCACATGGAGCATGCGCTTGCCTCCCGTGCCTGTGACCGCACCGATCACAAAGGAGGTATCACAAACCTGCTCTACCATGGGCCCTGCCAGGAAGCCTGCAGCTTGTCCTTGTGGACAGTGTCAATCCATATCTGCCAAGTGACCCTATGTAGGGGGAACAGTCTCTATTCTGCTCTGTGTCAGTGTGTATCAGGGATCTCTGAGGACAGGTGTCAATCCATATCTGCCAAGTGACCCTATGTAGGGGGAACAGTCTCTATTCTGCTCTGTGTCAGTGTGTATCATGGTCTCTAAGGACAGGTGTCAATCCATACCTGCCAAGTGACCCTATGTAGGGGGAACAGTCTCTATTCTGCTCTTTGTCAGTGTGTATCAGGGATCCTTAGGATAGGTGTCAATCCATAACTGCCAAGTGACCCTATGTAGGGGGACCAGTCCCTATTCTGCTCTGTGTCCGTGTGCATCAGGGGCTCTGAGGACAGGTGTCAATCCATATGTCAAGGTGTCAATATGTCATATGTCAGGTGTCAATCCATATTCATTGTGATTTAGGAATGTTAGGTGATTTCTGCCCTTTATGGATTAAAACCAGACTCTGTATCAACTGTGTAATTTTCCATGGGAGTTTTGCCATGGATCCCCCTCTGGCATGCCACAGTCCAGGTGTTAGTCCCCTTGAAACAACTTTTCCATCCCTATTGTGGCCAGAAAGAGTCCCTGTGTGTTTTAAAATTCGCCTGCCCATTGAAGTCTATGGCGGTTCGCCCGGTTCGCCGGTTCGCGAACATTTGCGGAAGTTCGTGTTCGCCGTTCGCGAACCGAAAATTTTGTGTTCGTGACATCACTAATCCTGTGTTTCTTGAGACAAAGTTACAATTTCTGGTTCTTAAAGTCTGTAACAGGAAGAAGTGCTTTTATCAGAGTCTATAGAGATGTTCAAACGGCTACTAGATGCATACTTGCAAGAACAGTATATTCAAGGATATAATCTTTCAATGTAGGGTAATAACTGCTTGATCCAAGGATAAATCTGACTGCCATTCTGGGGTCAAGAAGAAAATTTTTTCCTAGCTTGTTGCAAAATTGTGCTTCAAACTGTGTTTTTTTGCCTTCTTTTGGATCAACAGCAAAAAACAATGTGAGGTAGGCTGAACTTGATGGACGCAAGTCTCTTTTCAGCTATGTAACTATGTAACTATGTAACTATGTAACGTGCAGGTACACTTTAAGTTCACAGTCTATTTAGCACATCATTCACATGTTAAAATGTTAGCCCTCTCAGTCCCTCCTTTTATTTTTTAAGAATAACTCATTATATTCTTATTATATGGGAGAGGGTTAAGTATTGGGTTGGTAATGGCTAAACCCGATAGAGCCAGCAAAAATCGGGTTATTCCCATATTCACATCATTGCTGGTGCCTTGTGTGGCCCATTACCATTAGTTATCTCACAACTAACCATAGGATATAGTGTGATTTAAAATAAGGTAAGGGAGAAAAAGGTAAGTCCTATAATTATGCACCATGCCCATGGGAGAAAACTCAGGAGAAGAAAACCCACTCATCAACTACCTGTGTGGGAAAACCTCCTGGTGCCCATGGTTCTCCCAGGCATGTGACTCTTCCATGCATCTGTCTAAGGTAATTAATATTTCCCATAACCACGTGGGAATGTTGCTGTACCGAGATGTGCCCGCCGTTCCATGCCGCTCCCTGGAATGAGCAGATGTGGCGGGTGGTGGCCGGACAGGTAAGAAACCGGTGGCATTCCTCTTAGCCTTTGGGAATGACACCACAATGAGGTGCGCCCGCAAGGGACCCATATCCATATCACGCCGCCTGCTGGGACCCATATCACGCTGCCTGCTGGGTCCGCTCTGGCGGGCGGCGTGAATGGTACTCAGCTTACATCAAAAGTACACTTTCGTTATCTAATCCTACACCTGTCCTTAGGTCTGCTAACACTTCTCTCTCAAACTCTGTAAAAAAAAGGGAACAAAGAAAACGTTGTTACAAAATACTTTAGCATAATTCAGAAAAAAAAATAGATAAGTCTTTTAAAAAGCAGTAGAAAACAGTCTATATTCCATAGGTTAAATTCCATAAAGAGGATGGTAGTAGCAAGATGGCTAACAGCAAGACAATATCAGGTTTCACATGTTATCAGCACTGCGTTTATTGCTCGATTTGCACCACAAAGCTCCATACATTACTTCCAAATTCCAAATATTATTCCGAGAGCATGCGGCATTAGACAACACTTTCAGGACTATCCAGGTACTTGCATGCACAGTTTATGTCCTCATAAGCAATCATCTCAGTATTCTCATGGGTTGTAGCTGAACAGGCGCCATTCCAACATAGTAGAGAGTTAGCCAAAAGAGATTGGTGATGAGCAGTTCCCCAAGATCAGACAGCACAAACTATCCAGGATGATTACTACAACATACACAAACAGAAGTATCACAAAAACAATTCCTAATAGAATAGGTTTACCAACATTAATTGACCAATTACCAAGAGCAAACGTACAGTCAAAACCCAAGTGTAAACCCCTAGATTAGGGGTACTCAAAAGGCAGATTGTCATATGTTTTAAAACTATAACTTCCTTGATGCATTGTCATTATAAAGCATTCTACTGGCATGCAAAGTATTATGGGAGTTGTAGTTCTCCAACATGTGGGGATCTATCTTTTGGGCTCCCTGCCATAGATAGTGTAGGATGACTTCTTTCAGCTTTGTTTTGTATTTCATACAATTTGTCCATTACAAAATTTTACATCTTTTCCCTATAGAACACTTCCTTACGTGAGAGAAGCATTTATTCTACACAAAAACAAGATGAGTAACTATCTTATAGCTTAATGTAGATGTTGCATACGAAATGAAGAATTAACTTACATTTCTTAAATTTTCTAAATTCCATGAAGGATTTTGCTCCTCCCTTGGATGTTAACTCCTAATTTAGTAATTTAAAACTATACTGTTATTAAAGAAATCGTTGCTCTTGAGACCTTCAGAATTGGATTTGTTAGTAAAATTAAAACACTTCCTTGTTCTAAGACTAAGTCTGTACAGAATCTTAACACATCCATAAAGGGACAATTCCCAAGAAAACTATTCCCAAACCTTGATTTAATAATCATAAATAATTCAATACTCTTGGATAAACCTCCAAAGTGAGCTCATTTCAAAACAGTTGTATACAAATGTAAAAATATAAAAAATATCTAAAAAAATTACATTTATATCTATATCAAAAAATATCACAATATTAAATCAACTTAAGAGTTCATCTAAAAATACCAAATTTAGTCCTTAATTCTGAGAAGCATCAGTACTGGATTCTTCAACTATTCTCAACAATCTCTCACTACAATAGCCAACTCTCTGCCATTTGTTCATAAATGAACATTGCTAGGGCAATATTACCTAAATAACACATCACCTCCTTGTTAAATAAGCATATGGCTTATTTATTTAATTGTCTTCTTTTTGAGTAATTTTGCTGAATTATATTCTAATATGTTCTCCCAGCAAAATACTTTCAATTTACTGACACGAATATAATGCATTATTTTCATGGGTTATGGTTGCCTCATTTATAAACGTAATCATTTTAGCAGAATTTTTCTGATCTCTATTAGGAAACACCATTCCCCCCATGAACAACGGGGTACTTTAAAGGAAACAAGGAGCCTATATAACAAATTGGGGGAACTAGAGGCAATAGCATACACTAAACAATATGATATAATAGGCATAACAGAAACATGGTGGGATGAGACACATGACTGGGCAGTTAATTTAAATGGGTATACGTTATTTAGGAAGGATAGGAAAAACAAGAAGGGTGGTGGGGTATGTTTATATGTCAACCGTGAGTTAAAGTCAAATCTTAGGCATGTGGAGTGTGACGAGGAAAAGGTGGAGGCTTTATGGGTAGATATCTGCTTGGGGAAAACAAAGGGAAATCAATTATTAGTTGGGATATGTTATAAACCACCTAATGTAAATATTAATGAGGAAGAACAGCTGTTAGAGCAAATTGAGAAAGCTGCAAATCGAGGTAACACGTTAATTATTGGAGATTTTAATTATCCAGACATAAATTGGGAAAGAGGGACTAGTACTTCAGCAAGGGGAATCAGGTTTTTGAATGTGTTAAATGACACCTTTATGTCACAACTGGTACAAGCACCAACTAGACAGGATGCTTGTCTGGATCTTGTCATAACAAACAATGTTGATCTTTTAACCAACATTCAAGTAGGGGAGCATTTGGGAAATAGTGATCACAATATGGTAAATTTTGAAATAAACTCAAAAAAGCAAAAGCAGGTGGGGTATACTAAAACATATAATTTTAAAAAAGCCAATTTCAATAAGATTAGGGCAGCTCTACAACATATCGACTGGCATAAACTCCTTAGTGATAAAAACACTGAGGATAAATGGAAACTGTTCAAACATATATTAGAAAGGTACATTTCTCAGTATGTACCATTGGGTAATAAATATAAAAGAAACAAATTAAAACCAATGTGGCTTAGTAGAGAAGTAAAACAAGAGATTAAAAATAAGAAAAGGGCATTTAAAGCATTTAAATCAGACAAATCAAAGGCATCCTATTTAAGATATAAGGAAGCCAATAACACTTGCAAAAAGGCAATTAAAGTGGCTAAACTAGAAAATGAGAAATTGATAGCTAAAGAATGCAAAACCAACCCCAAAAATTTTTTCAAGTACATCAATTCTAAAAAAACAAAAAATGAAAGTGTAGGTACACTTGAAACAGAGTTGGGTTTATTAGCTAATGAAGACCAGGAAAAAGCAGAAATTTTAAATAACTATTTTTCTTCAGTATATATTAATGAGGATCCTATGGCAAGAGATATGCAAATGTTTGCTGCAAAAAACTTGCAAATAACTTGTGACTGGATAACTCGAGACAAGGTGCTACAGCTATTAAAGAAAATTAATGTAAATAAAGCTCCGGGGCCTGACTGTATTCACCCACGAGTACTTAAGGAGCTAAGTGGGGAAATAAGTGAACCTCTGTATTTAATTTTTCAAGATTCTTTTGTTTCAGGTGTTGTACCGGAGGATTGGAGGAAGGCAGATGTTGTTCCTATATTTAAAAAGGGTTCAAAATCCTTGCCTGGAAATTATAGACCTGTGAGCTTAACTTCAGTAACTGGGAAAATATTTGAAGGGCTATTAAGGGATAATATTCAGGAATTCATTGGGAAGAACTTTGTTATTAGCAATAATCAGCATGGTTTTATGAAACATAGGTCATGTCAAACTAACCTAATTGCATTCTACGAAGAAGTAAGTAGAAGTATAGATCAGGGTGTTGCAGTGGATGTGATCTACTTGGACTTTGCCAAGGCATTTGATACGGTTCCTCACAATAGGTTAGTTTTCAAACTAAAAGAAATTGGTCTAGATGAATATTCCTGTTCTTGGGTAGAACATTGGCTTAAGGACAGAGTACAACGAGTTGTCATTAATGGTAAATTTTCAGGCTGGACAAAAGTGGCAAGTGGTGTCCCTCAGGGTTCTGTTTTGGGACCACTTCTATTTAACATATTTATAAATGATCTTGAAATAGGCATTGAAAGCCATGTATCAGTGTTTGCAGATGACACAAAACTTTGTAAAGTAATAAAATGTGAGCAGGATATTGCTTTGTTGCAGAGAGATTTGGATAGATTGGGGGACTGGGCACTAAAATGGCAGATGAAATTTAACATAGAGAAATGCAAAGTTATGCACTTCGGGGTTAAGAATGCACAAGCAACTTACACACTAAATGGTAGTGAATTAGGGATAACCACACACGAGAAGGATTTGGGCATTGTTATAGACAACAAATTAGGCAGCAATATGCAATGTCAATCTGCAGTTGCTAAGGCCAGTAAGATTTTGTCATGTATAAATAGGGGCATAAATTCTCGGGATGAAAATATAATTTTGCCTCTGTATAAATCGCTGGTAAGACCACACCTTGAATATGCTGTGCAATTTTGGGCGCCTGTTCTAAAGAAGGATATCATGGCACTGGAGAGGGTCCAGAGACGAGCTACAAAATTGATAAAAGGAATGGAGCATTTTAGTTATGAAGAAAGGTTACAAAAATTAAATCTGTTTCGTTTGGAAAAACGGCGCCTGAGAGGGGATATGATAACTTTATACAAATATATTCGGGGCCAGTACAAACCTTTATCTGGAAATCTATTCATAAACAGGGTTATACATAGGACACGAGGTCACACATTTAGGCTGGAAGAAAGGAGATTTCATCTAAGGCAAAGAAAAGGTTTTTTTACAGTAAGAACAATAAGGATATGGAATTCTCTGCCTGAAGAGGTGGTTTTGTCAGAGTCCATACAGATGTTTAAACTGAAATTGGATAAATACTTACAAAAACATAACATACAGGGATATAATTTCTAATTAGTGGGGTAATAGCTGATTGATCCAAGGAGACATCTGACTGCTATTTTGGGGTCAAGAAGGAATTTTTTCCTAGTTTGTGGCAAAATTGGAAGTGCTTCAGACCAGGTTTTTTGCCTTCTTTTGAATCAACAGCAACAACATTTCTGAGGAAGGCTGAACTTGATGGACGCAAGTCTCTTTTCAGCTATGTAACTATGTAACTATGTAACTATGTAACTATGTCACGGCCTGTCCTTTATTCAGTGGCCAGCCTTGCCTTGCCTGTTTCCAGAGAGGCCTGTGCTGCCCTGCCTGTTTTCAGAGAGGTCTGCTCTGCCCTGCTTGTCCTGTTTCCAAAGGCCCACCCTGTCTACTCTTACCTCTCCTCCTGCGGGCATGCTGGGTGATATGTGTTGTCTACAAACCGAGACGGAAAAGTGTCCAGCTGCCTGCCTACCACCCTGCAATTGCAAGCTGTTTTAGTGAGTTACGGCGTAAGCCTGTTAAACTCATCACCTTATCCAGTAAGGGGCTAACCACCCTCTGAACCTTTTTTACTACTTTTTCTGTATTTATGTAATGATTTTAACTCTGCATGTAGCAGACAATACATTTATGTCATTTTTTTTCTTATATTTTGGCTCTTCAAGCTAATTACTGTTATAATGACATTTAATTTTCATATATTATGAGATGTATAAGAGATTTATTAAGCAGATGTGAGTTGATTTAGTAATCATTGTTAACCATCTGCACTATCATTGCATTTTTTATTCTCTTTTTTTACATATTATCATCATTGATTGGAAGAACCATCTAACATTTAAGGCGTTTGTATACCATTTTCTCCACTGTCTCTAAGTGGTGTTTCACTTTACTCCACTCATTACTATGCACAATATGTGTTGTGTGTTCCCCATGCTGCTCCATGATACCCTTAGGCTTAGTGGTGTCACTAGGGGGGGCCAGGGGGGCCATGGCCCCCCACATCATGCTGGCCATGTGGTTAGATTCTATTCCCTCAGACTGTGTGTTCCAGCCCGAGGGAATGCAGGACAGAGGAGCTGGAATGGTGCTGGGGGCTGTTTGTGGCCGGAGGGAGCACTGACAGGCTCCCTGACAAGGCTCCGCCCCCAAATAATGCCCCATCTTCTGCACATAAGCCCGCCCCACCATTAAACAGACAGCCATAAGATGGCTGTGTGACCCCAGCAACGGCCTCCAGTGACAGGTAGGCTTAATATGCTTGTGTGTGTGTGTGTGTGTCTGCCTGCCTGCTAGTGAGGAAGCTTGTGTGTGTATGGACTCAGCAGTCTTTGTGTGTGTGTGTCTATATGGACTCAGCAGTCTGTGTGTGTGTGTCTGTGTGTGTACGGACTTAGCAGTCTATGTGTGTGTGTGTGTATGGACTTAGCAGTCTGTGTGTGTTTGTGTGTGTATGGACTCAGCAGTCTCTGTGTGTGTGTGTGTGTGTGTGTGTGTATGGACTCAGCGGTCTGTGTGTGTGTGTGTGTGTGTGAGTATGGACTCAGCAGTCTGTGTGTGTGTGTATGGACTCAGCAGTCTGTGTATGTGTGTGTGTGTATGGACTCAGCAGTCTGTGTGTGTATGGACTCAGCAGTCTGTGTGTGTGTGTGTGTGTATGGACTCAGCAGTCTGTGTGTGTCTCTGTGTGTGGGCTCAGCAGTCTGTGTGTGTGTCTGTGTGTGTATGGACTCAGCAGTCTGTGTGTGTGTGTACTCAGCAGTCTGTGTGTGTGTATGGACTCAGCAGTCTGTGTGTGTGTGGACTCAGCAGTCTGTGTGTGTGTCTGTGTGTGTGGACTCAGCAGTCTGTGTGGTGAGCGGTGAACCGTGGCGAACAGTTCGGCGAACAGTTCGGGACATCACTAGTTGTATGCAGAAGATTTCCAGCGACCCATTTTCTTTATGATATGTGTCGGAACCTGACTACTTGAGGCTGCAGTGGCAGCCCCAATACGGAATGAGTGTCCTGAGAAGGAATTTGGATTGAGGCCAAGTCTGAGTAATACAGAATGTATGTATAGCATGAACTGTTTAGTAATAAGTGGCTTTCCCAGTAGGGACAACAGAGGCAGTTCTGGATTTCTACTATGCTGATTTTTTATCAAATTATCTAGCACTTGAACTGGGCACCATTTGGAACCGGTAGGGAAATACTTAATCTCCACTGGTGGGCCTGCTTAGTTTGTTTTTGTGCGGGGGATCGATATGACATAATGATCGTTTACTTCGGTTAAGTTTTTCTGTTTAAGGCAAATGTCAATGTCAGATATTTTTTCTACTGAAAAATCTTTGGGTCTTAGAAACCCGAAAAAGGCCAAATAAGCTGCTGATTTAATTACCAGGTTAGTGGTATGTTCAAAAGGACTTTTATCTAATAACTTGGAGATTTCTTTAAAGATGTTACTGTCTATGGGGAGTCTTTTTTAGGGATTTTTGGATTTTTAGTCTCTGGATACCTTTTAGTATGTTTTTTATTTACTGACAACCCTGCCTGTGCGAGAATTCTACTGTGAGCTAATAACTGGTTTAATGCACGATTAGGTCTTTGAATTGCGGAGGAGTTTTGGGTTGCTTGTTCGCTGTAAGGTGAAGTCTGAAAAATTCCAGTAAATTAAAACGTGACAAAGCATCAGCTGCATTATTGAAAATGCCTGGAACATGAATACAACAAATGTAAAACTGCAAATTTGCTGCCAACCATGTAAGTTTCCTTACTAGCTTCATAATTGACAGGGATAGAGAGCGGCCTTTGTTAATTATGTTACAAGCTGCTACGTTGTCAGAAAAACACCTAATTGCCTTAACCCTCCAATTTTCTCCCCAAATTTGTGCTGCTGCTACTATTGGGAAGATCTCGAACAGTGCTGATGTTTTGTCAAAGTTTTCTAGGGTAGCTGTTTCGGGTGGCCAACTGTCATATACCCATTCGTCTCCGAATATCGCAGCGTAGTTTATAACTCTGGCAGGTCCGTATATAAATTAGATTCATTTGTAGTATTAAATTATCTGTTTATTACCAGAAATTTGTTTAAGTTAAACTATTAAAGTATAATGTTTGTGGCTAAATTATGCCTACATTAAGACGACTGAGTTTACCGAGTCTACTAGTTTAGGAATGTAGAAGAGAGGAGTGAAATAGAGTCTTAAAGAAAGGAATTATTACTAACCGAAACGTAATTATGTAATTCAGCGTATTTAATATATTCCGAAAGTTTGTCCCTAGAATTGAAAGGAGAGTGATTTCAAAGGTAAATTCCATGATTTAACATCTTTGTATCAAAGAAACAAAATAACAGACTTGCGTATTTGTAATTAACATATACCTAGATTACTTAAAACGGAAAGGAGGACCACGAGAGTCCTAAACAGGAGAGTAATATGAAGAGGGGAAAAGGGGGTCCCTACCTTTTAATAATTCTAAAGATACACACAACAAGACAGGTGGGAAGAAATGTAGCAAAAGAGAGTCCTGCAGGCTAGACACAGGAACCAGTTACTAAAAAACTGCCTGCTGAATGTCTAGGATCCTAAAAGGCACGCCCTCTAAATCTTCCCAGAACAGGGACCCTAATTGAAAAAGGGGGTAACTAAAGAAATAGGGAAAGGGAGCAAATGTAAAGGGAGGTATCCCAAGGAGTAAATATTGTGCAAAAAACTCCTATAAAGGTCCACTTGCCCTAGTTACCTCGGCACTGTGAAAAATCACCAGTGCCTACCAAAGAAACTCAGTCCCTGCCTGTCAAAAGTAAATAATAACTGATAAAATAAATTAAATTAAATCAATCCATCAGTGCTACCAAAAAAGTGCAAAACAAAGAAAATAAAATAAAAAGAAGCTCGACGCGCGTTTCAGCGTTTCAACACGCCGTCATCAGGAGCAATAAACTTTTGGAGTTCCCTGTAGCGATTTAAATACACCTTGTTACAATCTATAAGATGGAAAGCAGCTGTTGTGTACCACGTGTGTTGCCGACAATACTGTTAGCTTATTGGTCAGCTACCTCTTAGGCCCGCCTCTTGTCCGCCGCGTCATATGACGTGGTCTTAGAATGAATGAAGGGGCGTAATAATGAGGTTTAGACGATGTCCACATGAGTTCATCCACAGGATTTTTTATTCGTTACAATATAGTTTGGAGACTTTATTAGGATACAGAACTAAAGGAGGGTTTACATAGTGATAACGATATGTAGTTTACAAGCGCCCAATGCGCATGCGCACATATCGGTTAGCAATTGGTCCAATGCGTATCCCTCCTATCCATCTGTCGATTGGATCTGTCACTTGTCAGTCACGTCGTAAGACGTGATACTGAACTGAATCGAGGGACATAATGTTTAAATAGTGCCCCCATAAGACCCAAGTCGGATGAGTAATTCCGTAAGGATTATTAAATTGGTAGCAATATAATGAATAAAAGTCCCGTTATGATCGCTAGTTATTAATAGTAGTAATCACCAGGAATGATTATAAGCTATGGCTGTCCATTGGTCCATTGTCTTTAAAAGTCTATCCATCCGCCAGATACAGTCCTGGCATAGGTAGGTGGATAAAATACAGGAAATAACTGTGAATAATGCCCCTATGGGGTCAACATGAAAATATACACGAAATTCCCATAGACAGAGACCCATTATGGACCGCTAGGTGACAATATGATCTTAACATAATTGATTAAATACCCTGGTGAAAACTGATACTGTACGATCTTAACATAATAAATTAAATTGAATAAATAAATATCCTGGTAATAACTAATACTAAGTAGTATAAATTAAAGATGCTCAAATGTTGCCACATGATACACAATAAAAATTAATTAGTAAATATTAACCATATACCCTGAGTATATATGTCCAAATTGTGGACATAATTAAAAAGCCTATGATATATGTATATTAATATATTGATGTAATAACGGAAGGCTGATTAAGACATTACAGTAAAGGCTCGCAATCCAAAAAAGTTGATGACATAAAGTCCAGGTGATAAGCATTTGGGAACAGAAGAAGTTTTGCAAAATAAAAAGATCATAATAGTGTGTACATTAATAATGTAATATATTTAATCCATCGGGGGACTAATGAAAATTTCCCTATAAATTGTTTATATCCAGTGTAGAGAGAGAAAATAGAGAAAACAGAGACAGAGAAAAATATGTCGAGAGATATGGCAAATTAGAGAAAAGCGGTAAAGGAAAAACCCTCATTTAGGCCAGCAGGGGAGAGGGTCTTGAGCCTGTAGATCCAATAGGATTCACGTTGTCTCAGTTTCTTATCCCAATCGCCCTTACGTTGAGTTTGTGGGATATGTTCTATTCCCATGAACTTAAGTTTGTTGGCAGAATTCAAATGGTGAATTCTCAAATGACGTGAGATTGGGGTTTCTAAGGGTCTTCTAACCGAATTTACATGTTCCCTAATCCTTAGTTTGAAAGGTCTAAACGTTTTCCCCACATATTTAACGCCACATGAACAGGTAAGTAAATAAATGACACCTTCCGTCCTACAATTGATAAACGAGTGGACTGAAAAGGTTCCTTTATTACTACTGTCCGTAAATTCCTTAGATTTTTGATCAATAAATTCACATGCGCTGCAGTGTCCGCACCTATACGTCCCCTTGGGCAAATAGTTTTGAGACCCTCTTTTAGGGGGGGATAGATGGCTCTGCACCAGTGTATCCCGTAGGTTTTTGCCCCTCCGTGCTGTCACAGAGGGAAACATGGTGACTACCTGTTTGATTTGTGGATCAGATGTTAGGATTGGCCAAAATCGCTTCAGTGTACCCATCATAAAGTCCCAACCTGCATCATACGTGGCAATACATCGGTCAGGTAGACCAATTGTTTCAGGTTGTGGGAACCTAACCCAAAATCTGAGCATCTTTTTGGATAAGATTTTGTCCCCTATGGTTGCAAAATTACCCTCTTACATAAGGGACACGAAACAGATGCTTAATTTCTTGAAGGATATCTCCATACCGGAACAAGCACTTCTATGCAGTCTGGATGTGGAGTCGTTGTATAGTTCCATACCACATATTCAAGGAATTGATAATATCAGAACTATCCTTGAACATGAATTGCACACTCCAGTCGCATACACAGATTTGGTTTCCAACATACTTAAAATGGTCCTTACAAGAAATATCTTTATCTTTAATGGTACCATCTATCAGCAAATTAGGGGGACAGCTATGGGGACTTCCTGTGCCCCCTCATATGCTAATCTCTATTTGGGGACCTGGGAAAATCTCATTAGATCAGCCCCACATTTGAGCTACTTCATGGAAATGATATTCTGTTGGAAACGCTATATAGATGACGTTCTGGTCATATGGACAGGGAGCAAAAAAGACTTTGAGACCTTTGTAAGCCTCCTTAATGTGAATGATCTGAATCTAAGATTCACTAGCGAGATAGGCGGCAAACAACTTAATTTTTTGGATATTACTATAACCATTTCCGGAGGAAGGGCCTCAACCACCCTTTATAAAAAACATACTGCCACCAATAGCCTGCTAAATTGGCATAGTCATCACCCCCAACCCCTAAAGGCAGGTATACCAATTGGGCAATACCTAAGATTGCGGTGTAACTGTTCTTCTATAGATGACTTCAAAGCCAAGGCATGGGATCTCAGGCGAGCCTTTAAGGATAAGGGCTATCCCAATAGAGTGTTACGCAGAGCGTACACTAGAGCAATCAGCACCGAACGTGAGTCACTCTTAACAGATGTTAAGGTGCAAGCACAAGATCAAAAACGAATCCGATGTATTGCCACGTATGATGCAGGTTGGGACTTTATGATGGGTACACTGAAGCGATTTTGGCCAATCCTAACATCTGATCCACAAATCAAACAGGTAGTCACCATGTTTCCCTCTGTGACAGCACGGAGGGGCAAAAACCTACGGGATACACTGGTGCAGAGCCATCTATCCCCCCCTAAAAGAGGGTCTCAAAACTATTTGCCCAAGGGGACGTATAGGTGCGGACACTGCAGCGCATGTGAATTTATTGATCAAAAATCTAAGGAATTTACGGACAGTAGTAATAAAGAAACCTTTTCAGTCCACTCGTTTATCAATTGTAGGACGGAAGGTGTCATTTATTTACTTACCTGTTCATGTGGCGTTAAATATGTGGGGAAAACGTTTAGACCTTTCAAACTAAGGATTAGGGAACATGTAAATTCGGTTAGAAGACCCTTAGAAACCCCAATCTCACGTCATTTGAGAATTCACCATTTGAATTCTGCCAACAAACTTAAGTTCATGGGAATAGAACATATCCCACAAACTCAACGTAAGGGCGATTGGGATAAGAAACTGAGACAACGTGAATCCTATTGGATCTACAGGCTCAAGACCCTCTCCCCTGCTGGCCTAAATGAGGGTTTTTCCTTTACCGCTTTTCTCTAATTTGCCATATCTCTCGACATATTTTTCTCTGTCTCTGTTTTCTCTATTTTCTCTCTCTACACTGGATATAAACAATTTATAGGGAAATTTTCATTAGTCCCCCGATGGATTAAATATATTACATTATTAATGTACACACTATTATGATCTTTTTATTTTGCAAAACTTCTTCTGTTCCCAAATGCTTATCACCTGGACTTTATGTCATCAACTTTTTTGGATTGCGAGCCTTTACTGTAATGTCTTAATCAGCCTTCCGTTATTACATCAATATATTAATATACATATATCATAGGCTTTTTAATTATGTCCACAATTTGGACATATATACTCAGGGTATATGGTTAATATTTACTAATTAATTTTTATTGTGTATCATGTGGCAACATTTGAGCATCTTTAATTTATACTACTTAGTATTAGTTATTACCAGGATATTTATTTATTCAATTTAATTTATTATGTTAAGATCGTACAGTATCAGTTTTCACCAGGGTATTTAATCAATTATGTTAAGATCATATTGTCACCTAGCGGTCCATAATGGGTCTCTGTCTATGGGAATTTCGTGTATATTTTCATGTTGACCCCATAGGGGCATTATTCACAGTTATTTCCTGTATTTTATCCACCTACCTATGCCAGGACTGTATCTGGCGGATGGATAGACTTTTAAAGACAATGGACCAATGGACAGCCATAGCTTATAATCATTCCTGGTGATTACTACTATTAATAACTAGCGATCATAACGGGACTTTTATTCATTATATTGCTACCAATTTAATAATCCTTACGGAATTACTCATCCGACTTGGGTCTTATGGGGGCACTATTTAAACATTATGTCCCTCGATTCAGTTCAGTATCACGTCTTACGACGTGACTGACAAGTGACAGATCCAATCGACAGATGGATAGGAGGGATACGCATTGGACCAATTGCTAACCGATATGTGCGCATGCGCATTGGGCGCTTGTAAACTACATATCGTTATCACTATGTAAACCCTCCTTCAGTTCTGTATCCTAATAAAGTCTCCAAACTATATTGTAACGAATAAAAAATCCTGTGGATGAACTCATGTGGACATCGTCTAAACCTCATTATTACGCCCCTTCATTCATTCTAAGACCACGTCATATGACGCGGCGGACAAGAGGCGGGCCTAAGAGGTAGCTGACCAATAAGCTAACAGTATTGTCGGCAACACACGTGGTACACAACAGCTGCTTTCCATCTTATAGATTGTAACAAGGTGTATTTAAATCGCTACAGGGAACTCCAAAAGTTTATTGCTCCTGATGACGGCGTGTTGAAACGCTGAAACGCGCGTCGAGCTTCTTTTTATTTTATTTTCTTTGTTTTGCACTTTTTTGGTAGCACTGATGGATTGATTTAATTTAATTTATTTTATCAGTTATTATTTACTTTTGACAGGCAGGGACTGAGTTTCTTTGGTAGGCACTGGTGATTTTTCACAGTGCCGAGGTAACTAGGGCAAGTGGACCTTTATAGGAGTTTTTTGCACAATATTTACTCCTTGGGATACCTCCCTTTACATTTGCTCCCTTTCCCTATTTCTTTAGTTACCCCCTTTTTCAATTAGGGTCCCTGTTCTGGGAAGATTTAGAGGGCGTGCCTTTTAGGATCCTAGACATTCAGCAGGCAGTTTTTTAGTAACTGGTTCCTGTGTCTAGCCTGCAGGACTCTCTTTTGCTACATTTCTTCCCACCTGTCTTGTTGTGTGTATCTTTAGAATTATTAAAAGGTAGGGACCCCCTTTTCCCCTCTTCATATTACTCTCCTGTTTAGGACTCTCGTGGTCCTCCTTTCCGTTTTAAGTTTTCTTATTGAGGGTTATTCCCTTTCTTGGGAGAGTAATTTCAGGACTTTATAGCACTCATTCATCGGTCGTAGTCACGACCCCTGAATCAGAGCCACTACTTCTTATTCGATATACCTAGATTAACCTGTATATTCCTGTGTATTATTGACGCCAAAATGCTTAACATTGCTTGCTGCATACCATGTATTACACAAAATGTAACTTTCATACAAATGATTAGCCGAACAAAGTACGTGAATATAAACTCACGACCAGGTATTAAAGAAAATGAGACATGCGAACAGTGGTGACATATGAATAGGCTTTTAACGAAATAGTTTATACGAATGATTTCCCGATCATTGGTTTGAGCCGAAATGTTATTAGTATGTTTGCACGAATTATAACTCAGTATGCTCTTTGTCTTTTAATTTCCCATATCAATGAAATGCCAGTAGAGTATGTGAGTAGAACTGGCGAATTGGTACTTTAGTGAAGCCTGAATTTGTAACGGACCTTATTTGATGAATGTACAGAGAATCAAAGGGGAGGGTTTTTTTTTTTTTTTTACTAAACTGCCTAACTAATTAAGATACCTTAATGTAAATAGAAAGCATGAATAATGGGAAACTGGCTTAGACATTCGTGTTACTCTGATTAACATAAACATTTATGTTAGCTTTAGTTCCTTATGACACGCTATATGCTCCTGTATTTTTAATAAACATGAATATAAATTGTGCAATTCAGCAATTCAGGTTGTGTAATTCATGAAACGTAGACCTTATGTTTAACTGTCGTTTTAAACTGCACAAATTTTTAAACATCTTAGCCTATATGCATGAAATTAATATAAACAAAATACTTTTTTAACGAATGATATGCGAACTGAGTATCACATGGTAGCGTTTGTATTGGCGAAACTACTCACGATTGAAACTAGAACTTGCTGAACGCTGTGTATCGCGTACTCGTGTCGGGGCGGAAATTACGTCAGAGGTCTGCGCAACCCGGAAGAGGAATTTACGGAATCGACGAAGACAGGTAAGCAAGGGGTTTACTGGGTTATATAGGCCTTAAATCCCTCCCACAACTTCAGGCATACACCTTCTATATGTAGCGATTTTCGCTATATTTATGTGCACAGAGGGCCCCCTGCTGCACACTCTGTCCTCCTTTCCAGCTGCTCTCTGTCTAACTTTCCTGTGCCTTGTGGCCGCTAGACCATTGCCACGGGTTACCATGGCAACGCTCCGCACAGCACGCAGGCCTGTCTCGCGAGAGTTAGTCAGAGATGAGCTGGAAAGGAAGACAGTGTGCTGCTGGGCCACCACTTCAATGTACCGCGGCTGGCTCCCTCCACCATGCCAGTAAGAACCAGGGAGGGGGCAATAAAATTTAAATATACACAAATAAATTTTAAAAAATACTCCCCTCCCCCCTATTTTACACACAAGCACACACTCTGCACTACACACACACACACTACATTCACTAAACACACTCTGCACTACACACACACACACTACATTCACTAAACACACTCTGCCCTACACATACTCACACTACATTCACTAAACACACTCTGCACTACACACACACACCACATTCACTAAACACACTTTGCACTACACACACACACACACTGCATTCACTATACACACGTTGCACTCACTACAAACACACTACATTTACTAAACACACTTTGCACTCACTACAAACACACTACATTCACTATACACCCTACATCCACTACAAAAACACACACTCTGCATTCACTACACACACACTCTGCATCTAATGCATGCATACAAACATTACAAACATTACACAAAACGCACAATCTGCATCAACTATACACACTGCATCCATGACACACATACTGCATCCACTACACACATTCTACATGCACTATACACACTGCATTAATAACACACATTCTACATCCACTATACACATACACACACTTCATCCTTGTGGGCGTACTCGGGGCTGGCCCCGGGGACCCAGATTTTGAGCTGTGTCAGGGGCCCTAAAATTTCTGATAGTAGCCCTGCTCAGCAGTCTGTGTGTGTATATGGACTCAGCAGTCTGTGTGTGCGTATGGACTCAGCAGTCTGTGTCTGGACTCAGCAGTCTATGTTTGTGTATGGACTCAGCAGTCTGTGTGTGTAAGGACTCAGCAGTCTGTGGGTGTGTGTGTATGGACTCAGCAGTCTGTGTGTGTGTGTGTGTGTATGGACTCAGCAGTTTGTGTGTGTGTGTGTGTACGGACTTAGCAGTCTGTGTGTGTGTGCGAATGGACTCAGCAGTCTCTGTGCGTGTGTGTGTATGACTCAGCAGTCTGTGGGGATGTGTGTATGGACTCAGCAGTCTGTGTGTGTGTGTGTGTGTGTATGGACTCAGCAGTTTGTGTGTGTGTGTGTGTATGGACTTAGCAGTCTGTGTGTGTGGGAATGGACTCAGCAGTCTCTGTGTGTGTGTATGAACTCAGCAGTCTTTGTGTGTATGAACTCAGCAGTCTATGTGTGTGTAAGGACTCATCAGTCTGTTTGTGTGTGTATGGACTCAGCAGTATGTGTGTGTGTGTGTCTGTATGGACTCAGCAGTCTGTGTGTGTATGGACTTAGCAGTCTTTGTGTATGTATGTGTGTGTGTGTGTGTATGGACTCAGCAGTCTTTGTGTGTGTGGACTCAGCAGTGTGTATGTGTGTGTATATGAACTCATCAGTCTCTCTCTGTGTGTGTGTGTGTATGGACTCAGCAGTCTGTGTGTGTGTGTGGGCTCAGCAGTCTATGTGTGTGTGTGTGTGTGTGCACTCAGCAGTCTGTGTGTGTGTAAGGACTCAGCAGTCTGTTTGTGTGTGTGTATGGACTCAGCAGTCTGTGTGTGTGTGTGTGTGTGCAGACTCAGCAGTCTATGTTTGTGTATGGACTCAGCAGTCTGTGGTGTGTAGGGACTTAGCAGTCTTTGTGTATGTATGTGTGTGTGTATGTGTGTGTATGGACTCAGCAGTCTCTGTGTGTGTGTGGACTCAGTAGTGTGTATGTGTGTGTATATGAACTCAGCAGTCTGTGTGTGTGTGTGTGTGTATGGACTCAGCAGTCTGTGTGTGTGTGTGGGCTCAGCAGTCTATGTGTGTGTGTGTATGCACTCAGCATTCTGTGTGTGTGTAAGGACTCAGCAGTCTGTTTGTGTGTGTATGGGCTCAGCAGTCTGTGTGTGTGTGGACTCAGCAGTCTATGTTTGTGTATGGACTCAGCAGTCTCTGTGTGTATGGACTCAGCAGTTTGTGTGTGTGTGTGTGTGTGTGTGTGTATGGACTTAGCAGTCTGTGTGTGTGTGTGTGTGGATGGACTCAGCAGTCTCTGTGTGTGTGTATGAACTCAGCAGTCTGTGTGTGTGTTTGAACTCAGCAGTCTGTCTCTGTGTGTGTGTGTGTGTGTTGACTCAGCAGTCTATGTTTGTGTATGGACTCAGCAGTCTGTGTGTGTGTATGGACACAGCAGTCTGTGCAGCAGTCTGTGTGTGTGTATGGACTGTGGGTGTGTGTGTGTAAGGACTCATCAGTCTGTTTGTGTATGTATGGACTCAGCAGTATGTGTGTGTGTGTGTGTGTCTGTATGGACTCAGCTTGGTGTGTATGTGTGTGTGTGTGTGTGGACTCAGCAGTCTGTGTGTCTGTGTGTGTGTGTGTTTTGATTCAGCAGTTTGTTTATGTGTGTGTGTATGGACTCAGTATTATGTGTGTGTATGGACTCAGCAGTCTGTATGTGTGTATGGGCTCAGCAGTCTGTGTGTGTGTCTGTATGGACTCATCAGTCTGTATGTGTGTATGGGCTCAGCAGTCTCTGTGTGTGTCTGTGTGTGTATATGGACTCAGCAGTCTGTGTGTTTGTGTGTGTGTATGGACTCAGCAGTCTCTGTGCGTGTGTGTGTATGACTCAGCAGTCTGTGGGGGTGTGTGTATGGACTCAGCAGTCTGTGTGTGTGTGTGTGTGTGTATGGACTCAGCAGTTTGTGTGTGTGTGTGTGTGTGTGTATGGACTTAGCAGTCTGTGTGTGTGGGAATGGACTCAGCAGTCTATGTGTGTGTGTGTATGAACTCAGCAGTCTGTGTGTGTGTATGAACTCAGCAGTCTATGTGTGTGTAAGGACTCATCAGTCTGTTTGTGTGTGTATGGACTCAGCAGTATGTGTGTGTGTGTGTCTGTATGGACTCAGCAGTCTGTGTGTGTATGGACTTAGCAGTCTTTGTGTATGTATGTGTGTGTGTGTGTGTATGGACTCAGCAGTCTTTGTGTGTGTGGACTCAGCAGTGTGTATGTGTGTGTATATGAACTCATCAGTCTCTCTCTGTGTGTGTGTGTGTATGGACTCAGCAGTCTGTGTGTGTGTGTGGGCTCAGCAGTCTATGTGTGTGTGTGTGTGTGTGCACTCAGCAGTCTGTGTGTGTGTAAGGACTCAGCAGTCTGTTTGTGTGTGTGTATGGACTCAGCAGTCTGTGTGTGTGTGTGTGTGTGCAGACTCAGCAGTCTATGTTTGTGTATGGACTCAGCAGTCTGTGGTGTGTAGGGACTTAGCAGTCTTTGTGTATGTATGTGTGTGTGTATGTGTGTGTATGGACTCAGCAGTCTCTGTGTGTGTGTGGACTCAGTAGTGTGTATGTGTGTGTATATGAACTCAGCAGTCTGTGTGTGTGTGTGTATGGACTCAGCGGTCTGTGTGTGTGTGTGTGTGGGCTCAGAAGTCTATGTGTGTGTGTGTATGCACTCATCAGTCTGTGTGTGTGTGTAAGGACTCAGCAGTCTGTTTGTGTGTGTATGGGCTCAGCAGTCTGTGTGTGTGTGGACTCAGCAGTCTATGTTTGTGTATGGACTCAGCAGTCTGTGTGTGTATGGACTCAGCAGTTTGTTTGTGTGTGTGTGTGTGTGTGTATGGACTTAGCAGTCTGTGTGTGTGTGTGTGTGGATGGACTCAGCAGTCTCTGTGTGTGTGTATGAACTCAGCAGTCTGTGTGTGTGTTTGAACTCAGCAGTCTGTCTCTGTGTGTGTGTGTGTGTGTTGACTCAGCAGTCTATGTTTGTGTATGGACTCAGCAGTCTGTGTGTGTGTATGGACACAGCAGTCTGTGCAGCAGTCTGTGTGTGTGTATGGACTGTGGGTGTGTGTGTGTAAGGACTCATCAGTCTGTTTGTGTATGTATGGACTCAGCAGTATGTGTGTGTGTGTGTGTGTCTGTATGGACTCAGCAGTCTGTGTGTGTGTATGGACTTAGCAGTCTGTGTGTGTGTATGGA